CTCACGCTCACAGTCATCAAGCCAGTGGTGGAAATTCCATATTCCTATAACAGGCGGCGAGTTACATTCACGGGACTACCAACGATTGGCTTCCCACAGATTGGTATTCATTCGATCTTCCCCGAATAAATCACCTAGCGGGCTTTTGAATTCGCAACCTTGTGCCAGCGAGTTGTGTGCTCTGGCGACAGCTGTGCGTGTGTCCGCGTTGCATGCGTTCTGTGTGTAATGTGTAATGCCATTATTCACTGTGTTAGCCGAGATCGGTTGGATACAAATATCACGCGTGGGTGCGACAGGCCGTGTCTCGTCTGTGAGTCGGGTTGCCACCTGTCCTGCCGTTCATCAAGACGGCCGATGCCCGAACCGTGGCTGGCCTGGGAAATATAAAAATCTTCCAAAGGAACATGAACAGACCCGGGTTTTTGTTAGTTGTGCAATATAGGAATAAGAATAGGGTTTGCCCTTTCTGGCAATAAAACAGGTGTTAAGATGTTCAAACATCAAGCAGAAACCTTTTTGGAAGGAATCACGTCTGCATTAACCACACGTACTTGAACGTGCAAACAAAAACATGCTCTGGTAATGTATGCATTGTCTTTGAAACGGATTCACTGACAATGCATATGTGTGGCTAATACAAACATGATCCCTTGCAAAAGTGTTCTGCTTGGTGTTTGAACATCTGAACACCTGTTTTATTGCCAGAAAGGATCAAACTTATTCTTCTACCTTGATACTGACAGTAAATGTCCCATGTTGTACTGCAGGAACACACCCACTCAATATCATGAAAGTGCATGCAGTTCTCCACTCTTCCTGTATTGTGCGATATCAGGCTTCCTATTCTTCCATTGATATGTCACAGTTATATTAGTGTCTCAGAGGTGGCCACTCTGTAAGTCTACGGATGCAATGCCTCCCCCGGTCTTGCACTCGTTGTTTGCTTCAGTAAACCACGTGGTCAGCCCCGCTTGTTGTGTTTTCAGAGTTGTCGTCCTCAGACACGACACGTTCCTTTTTGACATTTTTGGGCGGTTTTGTTTTTGCGACATTCATTGTTGTACTCTACTTCTTCGCTCCCACGTTCGTGTTTTCCAACTTCACCAACCTGCACTGACCGGTATGGCCAAGTACGGTCAAATAACCTTCATTGCCCGCACGGCACGCATCCAGCAGTGGACCGCCAAAAGGCGCCACGTTGCATGTTGTGTGTCATGCGTTGTGTGTGACGCCATCCGGGCGCCAGTGGGCGCTACATTCGCCACGATAACACATTATTTTATAACTGCCGAACCCATTCGTGACCCCGGATTGCGACAAAAGCATGGCAGTTACCAGCGCGGGAGAGAGGGTCCACTGTAGGACCTCGATTGACTGGCCAGCAGGTGGTAGCTGCGGCGGTCACGGGGAGGTGCACAGGCAGGCGACCCAGCCACAGACATGAATAACTCTAAGGATGCGTTCCTGACCTTAAGATGAATCTTAAAAATATATATAATATATGATAATCTAGCCAAAGATATGACATTTAATGTAAAAATATTGGGAGAAAATATTTCTCGTTTCGGATCATTCAGAAAGTATTTTTAACACGGTCTGCACGTTTCTCATTTTGTTGGCACGAAGACCAGGTAAAATGATTGCATCGTACATAAAGTATCCGAAAATCTGAAAAAATATTTAAAAAATTGTCCTTACCAAATATAATTAACAAATCCTACATTTTGATTTATCCGGAATTCAAAAATCCGAAAGTCCTACAACTCTGAATCCGAAATGCATCTCTCATAGAAACCTTTTATATTTAGCAGCGTGAGTCAATTAATAGTGCGCGTGTGTGGAGCGGTGGTGCAGCGGTTAGCGCGGCGCTACAAACCCGATGACTCGAGTTCGATTCCCGCTCACGGCCAACACCAGTGACTGTTATCTCAATCGTTCCTGGGCCTCACCTAGGTCGACTCAGCATCAAATGAGTACCCGGTGCGGTGTGTAAACATCGCCACTGGGGAGACAAAGGCGGTCGAGCGTGGCGTTGGCCACCCACCCCCTCGTGTGCCGTGCCGGCCTTCATCGGTGCTCGCTAACAGCACTTGCCCCTACAGTCTGTTCAGGCTATACGGGGATCTTTTGTGTGTGTGCGCGTGCGCGTGTGCGTGCGTGCGCGTGTGTGTGTATGTGTGCGTGTGTGTGTATGTGTGCGAGCCCATGTCCTTGACACCAGGACCTACCGTGGAGCTGATCTGCCCTCTGACCATCGACTTGTCATCTGTAAGATGCGCCTGCCATTCTTCTGCTCCGGTAGTGGGTGTACACCCAGGACCCCATTCCAACCTAAAGTGGCCTGGTCTCATTTATCTGATGAAAGTTGCAAGCGAGAATTCCATCATCGCTTGCGGCTGGGGTTGGCATCGTCCCCCACTCCTCCGGATGTCGAGGGTAAATGGGCGAGGTTTAGGACAGTCACTCATGCAGCTGCATTGGCTGCTTTGGGTACGCGGTCCAGACCTCTCCAGAGACCCTGGCTGACAGAGGAGGTGTTCAGGATAGTTGAGAAAAAGCGACAGGCCCACTGTCATCGGCTATAGAATCCCACGTCAGAGAATGAGGAGGTTTACCGCAGCCTTCGCTCGGAGGTTCGGAGAACCGTGAGGCGCTGCAAGGATGGGTAGTGGTCGTGGGTTGCTGAGGAGATGGAGTCTGCCCCAGTGGCCCGCGATCACAAATCTCTATTTAACTCCATCAAAAAAGTAACCTGCAGCGCCACACCTATTACCATCATTAGGGGAAAAAAACGGTGATCCAATCTCCGACCCCCACGAACAGGTTTGCAGATTTGCTGAGTATTTCTAAGGTCCTGGGGGAGGGAAAATCCCTCAGCCAGGAAAATATCGTGGCACAAAGTGAGGATGACCCTGCTGAGGCTGCGGTACCTCAAATATTGGAAGAAGTCACCCCTGTGAGTGGCTGGCTGAGGTGCCATCTGTTGAGGAAGTACTGAAGGCGATCCGGAGTCTGAGACCAGGAAAGGCAGCGGGCAGAGATGATCTCCCAAGCGAAATGCTGAGGGAGGGTGGCGTTTGTGCACAGACTGCCCTATATGACATCATAACAACAGTCTGGACCGCTGGACGGGTTCCGCAGGATTGGAAGGATGCCCTGGTGGTCCCCCTCTTTAAGAAGGGGGACGGCACAGACTGTAACAACTACAGGGGCATCTCACTCCTCAGTGTGCCGGGAAAGGTCCTGGCAAGGATTATTCAACAACGCCTTGCCAGGCACGCTGAGGAGAGGCTTGCGGAGCCCCAATACGGTTTCAGGAAAGGGCGGTCCTGCACAGATGCCATATTTTCTGTCCGTCTGCTACAGCAGAGGTGTAGGGAATTCCAGCAAGACCTACATCTCTGCTTTATTGACCTGGTCAAGGCCTATGATACCATCAGTAGGCCTGGGCTCTGGGTTGTTCTTCGTGCTTTTGGAGTACCTGACCCTCTGCTCACGATCATTAAGGACCTTCATGATGGTGAGCGGGCCCGGGTAAAACTACGTGGTCGGGAGTCAGAGCCATTCCCTGTACACCTTGGGGTGCGACAGGGATGCCTTCTGGCTCCCACATTATTTAACATCTATTTTGACCACGTAGTTTGTGAAGCCTTCAATAGCTGTACCGGGGGAATCTCCATATGGTACAGATATAATGGGAGGCTGATCGATGCCCGGGTGCGGTCAAGGGATGGCTCCTTATTGCTCAACCACGTTATGTATGCCGATGATTTGGTAATAGCTGCTCATTCAGAGGAGGAGTTGGAGACGCTGCTGCTGAGACTGGAGCGTGCCACTACGAGATGGGACCTTACCATCAGCCCCACCAAAACTAAGCACCTGCCTGGGTATTTTGTACCATCGGACACTCCATCCCCACAACTCCCAATCGGTGATGGGGAAGTTGTGGAGAGAGTGGGGAGTTTCCCATACCTGGGCAGTGTGCATATGACCGGCTCCAGTTTAACAGCAGAGGTCTCACTCCGAATCAGTCGAGCGGCAATATCTTTTCATCGGTTGCGTAACGCTGTGTGGAAGCTACCTGGTCTGTCGCTCCGCACTAAGCTTCAGGTCTTCTCGGCCACGGTCATTCCCTCCCTTCTCTACGCTTGCGAGACGTGGAACCCCATAATGGAACATCTTCGCCAGTTAGAAATATTTAGGCTGGCCTGCCTACGATCCATCCTGTGTTTAACCAGGCTGGATTGTGTGAGCTCACACATCCTTGAAAGATCTGGGCACGGTCCTATCGGTGAGCTCCTCCGGCAGGCAAGGCTGCGTTGGCTGGGTCATGTAGCCTGCATGCCCAGCCACCGCATGCCCAAACAGCTTTTGTTCGGCCGGATCGAGGGGGCTAGGCGGGCGCGGCATGGGCTAGAGAAGAGATGGAGTGATGTGGTACAGGAGAACGTGGAGCTGAGTGGACTTGCTAATGACTGGTACCAGCGGTGTCAAGATCGGCCTCTGTGGAGAAGGCTCTTGAAGGACGTTGCTGGGCAGTTGGAGGCAGTCGCCCTCCAACAACAACGGAGGGCGGAGGAGCGGTTGGCACAGTAGGGGGCACAGGTGGTGCATCAGCCAGTCATCTCAGTCAGTCAACCCGTGGCACCTTGGTCTGCCCAGTGACCTCCTGCCAGCGGGCGTTCGACACTTCACGTGGCCTCACGGTGCACATAGCCTGGCACAAGCGTCGTGATGACGTCACCGCCACTTAGTGGCGAATGGCGGTTGTTGTATGTATGTGTGTATGTATGTGTGCGCGTGTGTATGTATGTGTGCGTGTGTGTATGTGTGCGTGTGTGTATGTGTGTGTGTATGTATGTGTGCGTGTGTGTATGTATGTGTGTGTGTATGTATGTGTGCGTGTGTGTATGTGTATGTATGTGTGCGTGTGTGTGTCCGCACAAACAACGACACTGAGAAAACAAGAAACGAGCGAGGAGATGGGAGTCTGTGGCTAAGGAAAGAAGGAAATTTAATGAGGTCCATGCACTGTGTTAGTTAATCCCAAATGTCCTAAATACGGCACTAGCCAGACTAAAACAATACGGACATGAAATAAATTATATTTTACAACACAAGGCAAATGGTCCAGAGTAGAAGAAGGATTAGCACAGTTAGATACAAGCAGTTACTGTAAATAAATATTTTTTTGTTTAGCACGTAATAATATTCTGAATACTGAACTCATGTACTGTATATTTTCCCCAACAATATAGAGCAATTATATCAAATATCGTCGACGATAACAAAGGTTAAGTATTTTCTTTTTTTTGTTTTTTTTTGTTCGTGTATTTTGATATTTTTTTGTTAATTATCTCTAACAACATTTAATTCCCCCAAAAAATATATATTACAAAATTAATACTGAAAACAGTGTTACTTCTTTAACCTATGGTACAACTGTAAGCATGTCGAGGATATGAATGCAGATCGTCGCTGGCGCAGAGGATAACCCTTTGGGAACCCTGTGGACCGACCAGCAGGCAGCCCCCTACATGCGAGAGCATTTCTTCATTTTCAAACGCAACGAACTCAGCCACCCTGCCGTGCACCCAACCCCAACGGGGGGTTTTGTAAAGCTCGGCACAGATCCGAGCCTGGGCGAGCTGCTTTAGATTTGGTGTGCACCAGCCCAGGGGCTTGCCGGATGATGTTCTCGGCGCGGCTCTTCGGGCTGTGACCAGGCGATGGTGTGACGCTGCCGAGTGTCACCCCCTGAGTGTGGGGAGCTGCTGGGGGGGTTCGTCGCGGGTTCTGAAGTTTCCTCCCGCACGAATGCACGCACACTCGTGGGACGGATTTGGCCAAACATCCCCAAAAAACAGCGAGCGGAACCCTCTCGACAGAGAGTCTCGAGGCCCAATGAGGCTTTCCGGGGGGGGTCAATTATCCGCATTGCATTTTTGAATAATCGGCAACTGCTTTGGCAGCGGTACGCACATCAGAGGCCCCACCGCATTCGACACGAACACCGCCTTAGCACAGACAAACATCGAAAAGGGTTGGCCCTTCTTCAGAGCTGAGGCTTGGCAGGCATCGTCTAAGCCGGGGGTCGGCAACCTGCGGCTCTGGAGCCGCACGCACTGCCGGATTATCCTCATGGCAAAAGTGGCTACACATGTTGCTGCTACACATGGTGCAGCAGCTACATGGTGTAGCAGCTACACCATTTATAACATCATATGCTATGTAGTAGCTACATATGTAGTAGCTACGGGCCCCGCACTTTCAAGGTCCCCGCACTAAATGCTTTCAAGCTATCAATTCCGGTTCAGTGATTCTGTGCTTGCTCTATTACTATAGTACTATACCGCCTTCAACTTTTATAAACGACTGGGTGTTTAAGGTTAGCGATTTGTCGTATTATCTGGCTGTATAGCAAAATAAAACGTACATTTACTTTACTATACAAGTAAAAAATTTGTGTTTTAATATTTGTGTTTTTTAAAAAAATTTAGGGCCCCTTTATAACATCATATGCTACAGGCCCCGCACTAGCTTAATCCGGCACTGGCCGCGTGCGACTCCTCTTCTGGAGCTGCTTCGTGACGTCATTCGTTAAGGAGCACCACCGTCTCTCGTATTCACTGCGGCGGCTCTTGAAATACTGAACGTTTTACCAAATTCGAAAGATGCCCCTTGTTGTTATTTTGGTTGCCGACCCCTGGTCTAACCTGGCGCTGGAGATCACGCTTTACACGGCGGTGTCGCATATATTAAAAATTAAAAAAACTGTGAAGAAAGTTGATGTGAGCAGTCCGCAATTGACATGGAGATTTTTTTTTCTCAAAAAAATATCTTCAACGAAACGTGGTGGTGCTGCTCTAGATCTACGATCAGTTACATTGTTCATAAATCTGACTTTTAAACTGTTCAGGTCAACCTTCTTCAAAGCTTTTAAGGGCCTCTCGGGAACCCTGAAGGAGTATCATGTCATGAAATATTAGCCCATTATAATACGTTTTATGTTTTAAGGCAGTGATAATATATGCATCGGGGGAAGTTTCCTTCTATTTTATAATTCTTTGTGGGTTGAATTAACAATTTCCACTTCCATATCAAAATATTAATGCCATGTAATAATGTGTCTCTCTTTATTATGAAATACAATTCAAGTCTGCCAACCAATTAGCCTTGTGAACCAATGGCTCAAGGACCACCGTTTTCCAGCAACACGCTCAAAAAGCCACAGCATGCTGATGAGACCCAGAAAGTTTAAACCCGAGCCATGGTTTTCCTGCTTCAACAAACGCAGCAGGAAAGCCGTCATCCAGGAGCCTCACTGCCTCAGCGACTCAAATGCCATTTAACGTAATTTTGGCAACAAACCAGAACTTTCCTTGGTAATTTGTTCTTACTGCATTATTAATGCATGTTTAATGCAACGATTTGACTTTAATAGCCAAAATGTTAACATGAAATAAAATGTCGTACATGTAAAATTAAACGAACTCCCCACCTCACCCCACATCAAATCCACCCCCCACAATCGTTGAGAATGCTCGCCTGTGACTGCCTGGGTCCCCCCCCCCCCCACCTTACCTCCCTCCCCCCCCCCGCTTCGCTTCCACAGGGCCCAATGTCCTCACCGCCAGCGAGGCAGCAGCTAAACAGCGCACGGTGGTCGGGCCGACATCGAGGAAAGAAACTACGGCACACGCGACTCAAGGACAACGACACACATCCCCCCCCCCCTCCGATACGCACGCCCCCAGGGCCCGAGATGCTCAAAACGCCAAAACACTTCGATGTGAAAGGACGTCACGAAACGACGACATCTTGAAGCAGGAGGAACGGGGTTGGTGGGGCAGGCGGGCGGGCGGGCGGGCGGGCGGGTGGGTGGGTGGGGGCAAACCAAAAAAAAATTACAAAAAAAATTGATGAACATTTCCAAGCATTTATTCCTTTCCTGTTCGTACTCTTAACCGTGTTATTATTATTAATGTTATTAATTATATTATTGAGCCAACCGTTAAAATTATATTTGACATGTCGAGGAAACACCTGCTGTCTCAAAATTTCACTGCCTTCTGCCACGAGGGTCGTCATCACAGCACTCCTCTTTACCGCCGCCGCCGCCGCCGCTGCTGACGCCGCTGCTGCCGTTTGCTTTTTTGCTATGCGACTACCATACTGAGAACAAGTCCTTAAAAAATAATCTCACAATACAATTTAAAATATATATTTCTATGACACAAACGACGAAGGAAGGGTTTGAGAGGCAGGGTCGGGTGCGGGGAGGCGCAGGGACGAGGCTGACGACGAGGAACAGCACGACAAAAACCGGCGATGGCAGATCCTCCCCGTGGCTCCCGTTGGGGGGTGGCGGGTGGGGGGGGTGGGGGCGTGCGTGGCATCGTCGGGCTCCCAGGACGGACGGACCCGCGGACGGGCGAGCGGGCGTCACAATCTCGACCGGACTTCTCTGCGCCGGTACAGCTGGGTCACACGTGGGGGTCACGGGGGTCAGATCGGTGGCGGCAGGCGGGCGACCGGGCAGGTGGCGGGTGACGCACGGGGCCGGTGGGGGGTGTGGGAGTCGAGCGGAAGCAGGGGAGGCGATGACGAACAAGGGGGTGGGGAGGGGTGGGGGCGGGGGCACGCGTGGATCGCTCGGCGCCCGGCACCTACGCCCCCCCGCACGGCGCGCAGCCGCACTTGAGGACCCTCTCGACCTCGTCGAGGAAGGAGGAGCCGTCGGAGCAGTGGAAGGCGTACTTCTGGCGCTTGACGCGCAGCGCGCTGCAACAGCGCGTGCCGCCGGTGGCACCCGTGCAAGCCCCGCGGCACTCTATTCGCCCGACCTTGCGTTCGGAGCGGCAGGCTGCGTAGCCCCGCTGCTTCTGGATGTAGTCTCGGACTCGCTCCTCCTTGCAAGGGCTCTCTGCGGAGGTGACGGTGAAAGAGAGGGAGAGAGCGGCGGCGGGTGAGCGGGGAGGTCAAGGGAGCGCGCCCGCAAATGGTGGATGTAAAGGGCACGTTCACGCTGGATTGTAACGGAATGTAGGAGAGAGTTTCAGTAAGTGAAGGGACTTCTAATAGTTCTGTAACGTATGTCGTACAGAAAGTGGGCACGGCTCTGATCGTCGAGTGTATCTTTTTTCTTTCCAGATCTTACCACTAGATGGCAGATGTATCGCACGATAAAATATAAGTGGCACCCTTGCACGACTGCACTTTAGAAGAGCACAGAGCTGTTATTCACGTTTTTGTCCTCTAAGGGTGTACATACCAGTGAAGTGTATTACATACAGTGAGGGAAAAAAGTATTTGATCCCCTGCTGATTTTGTACGTTTGCCCACTGACAAAGAAATGATCAGTCTATAATTTTAATGGTATGTTTATTTGAACAGTGAGAGACAGAATAACAACAAAATCCGGAAAAACGCATGTCAAAAATGTTATGAATTGATTTGCATTTTAATGAGGGAAATAAGTATTTGACCCCTCTGCAAAACACGACTTTAGTACTTGGTGGCAAAACCCTTGTTGGCAATCACAGAGGTCAGCCGTTTCTTGTAGTTGGCCACTAGGTTTGCACACATCTCAGAAGGGATTTTGTCCCACTCCTCTTTGCAGATCTTCTCCAAGTCATTAACGTTTCGAGGCTGACGTTTGGCAACTCGAACCTTCAGCTCCCTCCACAGATTTTCTATGGGATTAGGGTCTGGAGACTGGCTAGGCCACTCCAGGACCTTAATGTGCTTCTTCTTGAGCCACTCCTTTGTTGCCTTGGCCGTGTGTTTTGGGTCATTGTCATGCTGGAATACCCATCCACGACCCATTTTCAATGCCCTGGCTGAGGGAAGGAGGTTCTCGCCCAAGATTTGACAGTACATGGCCCCATCCATCGACCCTTTAATGCGGTGAAGTTGTCCTGTGCCCTTAGCAGAAAAACACCCCCAAAGCATAATGTTTCCACCTCCATGTTTGACGGTGTGGATGGTGTTCTTGGGGTCATAGGCAGCATTCCTCCTCCTCCAAACACGGCGAGTTGAGTTGATGCCATAGAGGTCCATTTTGGTCTCATCTGACCACAACACTTTCACCCAGTTGTCCTCTGAATCATTCAGATGTTCATTGGCAAACTTCAGACGGGCATGTATATGTGCTTTCTTGAGCAGGGGGACCTTGCGGGCGCTGCAGGATTTCAGTCCTTCACGGCGTAGTAATTGCTTTCTTGGTGACTATGGTCCCAGCTGCCTTGAGATCATTGACAAGATCCTCCCGTGTAGTTCTGGGCTGATTCCACACCGTTCTCATGACAATTGCAACTCCACGAGGTGAGATCTTGCATGGAGCCCCAGGCCGAGGGAGATTGACAGTTCTTTTGTGTTTCTTCCATTTGCGAATAATCGCACCAACTCTTGTCACCTTCTCACCAAGCTGCTTGGCAATGGTCTTGTAGCCCATTCCAGCCTTGTGTAGGTCTACAATCTTGTTCCTGACATCCTTGGAGAGCTCTTTGGTCTTGGCCATGGTGGAGAGTTTGGAATCTGATTGATTGATTGCTTCTGTGGACAGGTGTCTTTTATACAGGTAGCAAGCTGAGATTAGGAGCACTCCCTTTAAGAGTGTGCTCCTAATCTCAGCTTGTTAACTGTATAAAAGACACCTGGGAGCCAGAAATCTTTCTGATTGAGAGGGGGTCAAATACTTATTTCCCTCATTAGAATGCAAATCAATTTATAACATTTTTGACATGCGTTTTTCTGGATTTTTTGTTGTTGTAATTCTGTCTCTCACTGTTCAAATAAACCTACCATTAAAATTATAGACTGATCATTTCTTTGTCAGTGGGCAAACGTACAAAATCAGCAGGGGATCAAATACTTTTTTCCCTCACTGTAATGAAAATGTATTACAGTTACGACAGTATGAAGCATGTCAACATTCACAAAATGGATGGAAAGCCATAAATCGGAGAGTAAGCATGTTTATGATGATGACAGAAGAAAGAGATTTGACGCTTTCACTCCAGCCAAGGTCGCGCATATTGAAAGGCTGATTTTTTTACGAGAGGCGAGTCGTGATTAAAAGTTATAATGCAATTGATAATGCACACAATACTTCATGGACATAAAAGCCCACGACTCTGAGGCGGGAAGCCAAGCTCAGTGTGGCTCGAAAGCCACACGAATGAGGAATTTGGGCTACTGGGCGCCACGGTGGCGAGATGTTAACTACCTCGCCTGGTATACAGGAGGTCGTGGGTTTCATCCCGACCCTGACGGTTGCTGTATAATTTGGAGTTTACGTTTCTCACTCTCCGTGGTCGTGTGGATTTTTTTCTCCGGGCCCTCCTGTTTTTCCCTCCACATTTAGACTTAACATGTTTTTTGAGTATTGGGCTGCTATACATTGACACGTGATAAGCTGCTTTGTTGAGTTATTATCTGTGGCCAGGTCGCTTCTGAAAAATAACTATATAGCTCAGTGTGGGCCTTACCTGCTAAAATAAAAATAGTTTAGTTCATAATATAGTTGAAGCACATGTTAGCGGTCAGAGCGATGAAATGTGGTCGTAGGAAATTAATTTATTCAGTGGATGATTCGATAATTCAGCCAAGAGAGCCCTGCCCCCTGGGACTCATCTGCACAGACCTCTGAGAGAAGCCCCATACGTGGCAGGCGGTCGATAGTGATGAGGCTGTGAAAGCAGTGGTGACATCATCGTAGCTTTAAAGATGAGGAAAAGGAAAATTGTGCTGCTGGCCATACGAAGCTCCGGGGAACAATGGGACATGTGTGTGCGGGTGTGTGCCTTTAGTGGGGTTGACTAGGGTCAGAAATAGAGTCTGTCTTCATATTGATGCTAAGAAATGCTCTCTGAAAAATAACATTTGTCTCATTAGTCCCTTAGTTATTAAAACACCCTTTGTGTGATCGTCCAATGTGTCAGGCAATGACCCCTCTTTGGATTACTATTCCATTGGATTAATATTCCATTGGATTCCTATTCAATTGGATTACTATTCCACTGGATTACTATTCCATTATTCCATTTAAACCCAACTCGGTGCCATTGGTATGCCCAGTAGTGAATACGTTGAGATCCTACTGCTCTTTGCATTGGAGACCTGGGTAACCCAAAATTATATTAGATTAATACAAAAAAACAGTTGACATTTGAGGATATGTGAATTGTACATACTGCGTGTCCTCATTTGTTCTCGTCATTAACCTTTCCAGGAAAGCCTCACTGAGTCTCAAGACTTCATCGGGAGGACCCTTCAACTGGGATGGCTGGCCACGTCCATGACTCATCACTGCATAGTCCCTGACATTTATTTATTTCACAGACCATGACGTGCTTTTGCAATCAAGGTCAAGAGGTCAGCCCCCGCGCCTTGCCATCACTCCCTTCTCGTTGTCAATTCCCCACCCAATTTACAAGAGCGGCTTTAGAATTTGAGCTTTTAATTCCTGCAGTGGCGATCGGAGTCAATGCGGACCGCTTTGGGGTACCGAGGCACCAGCAAAGGGTCACTTCAGAGCGAGCTGGAAAACGCTTCAGTTCAAAATATGAAAATTAAAATTAAAACATTGTTGACCTTTCAGAATGTTCACGATGCAGTGTGACATCACGGCATGAATAATGAACGTGCGCTCGCTCGCTCAAGGCAATATGAGCTCCTGCTACTTTTGAAATGAATCATGCATTTCGCGAAACATGCCGGCCTCCGACTCAACGGTAGGGTTTAACACCACTAGCGCGCGTTATTGCTGGTCACCGCTTTAAAGGGGGGAATGAGACCTACGCAAGCAGTGGTAGCGAAATAGAATCGGGGAAACCACATCCGGGGGGTGGGGGGGGGTTAGAGGTTTATGCTGTTAGTGGACAGAGTTCAAAAGTGAGACGCTTGCAGCAAAAAAAACTGACGACGGTTTCCACAGGTAAAAAAAAACACGGCGAGCGTAAGGATTCTATTAAAGCTCGATTCTAACGGTCGCAATGGAACTGTGACCCTGCATCAATCGCGAACCGGGGATAACGAGCACAATCTTAGTTTCCAGCTCAACTTTCCGAGCTGACCGTGGCTCAGAAAATACACGAATACAGCCACGAAAGAAGTGACAAATGGAGCGGAAGAGAATGGGTTAACGGGAACGCATTTGAACAATGTGGTTTATATCGAGCCGGAAAGACACCGTTCAAACATCCAGGTCGGTGGTAGCCTCATCCAATCATTGTTTCCCCTGGGGCCGATAAAATTGTATACACCACTTTGTTTGAAGTCGACAATCGGTTCCACTATGGCGAGAATGCACTCGGCCATGAGAATGTGGAAATTCCACCGCTGGTTTAGGGCCCCGCTGATGGAAACGAGCTGAGCCCAAACACTCGTTTTGAGTGGCGGAACAAGTTCGATGTCGATTATCTTATTTTTTTGTAATCCGTTTTTTCTTCTGCCTACGTCGATGAGAAACCGTCGTGAGATTTGCGACCGACGCTGGCCCGTCCCCCTCACCCCATCTCACCTGTAGGGAGGCAGAGCTACGGTTAGTGTCAGGCCTAGCGCTAGCGGTGGCGTTAGCGGCAGAGAGACCGTCCGTGCTGTTAGCCTGGCTCTTATTCACTTTGGCTTCAGGAAGGAGAGGTGCAGACAACAAAATAACAGGACAAGGAGACACGTATAAACAAACAACAAAACAGGGGGGGAGAACAAAATAAATAATAACAAAAACAAAGGAACAAACAAACAGAAACAAAACAGAGAGACAGACAATCAGAGGCTTCCACGCACATAAAGGTGGAATTGAGTAAAGCACAGCGAATGCCCCCAGCAAATCCAAGAGGGTTTTGTCTGATCAGAGGAGCCCATCGCAAAACCAGGCACGCAAAAAAAAAACGTTCCACGGGTTACCCTTTGTTGTTAAGAAAAATACACTGAAACTATTACTGCAATAAACGAGCAACAGTTGTGCCTTACATAACGGGGCGACGACGAGAAGGGCCAAACTATTTCAGTGCGCTGACCACAGCGGCAGTTTTCCGAAACGAACGCACACATGCGCACCGGCACAACCAAAGATCCCCCGCGTAGCCTTGACAGACTGCTGGGGTAAGTGCTGTTGGCGAGCACCTACGAAGGCCGGCACGGCAGCTAGGAGGGGGGTGGGTTGCAGCGCTGGGCCCCGCCGCCTTTGTCGCCCCGGTTGCGACGTTAACTCACCGCAGCAGACGCTCACGTATTCACACACACGCAGTCACACTCGCGCACACGCATGCTGCAAACAACACTCCCGCAAGCGTTCGTGCATTTTTTTGTTCTATGCGGACGATTTAAAAAGAAAGTGAACCTATGAGAACATTACCAACCCCCGCCCCCTCCCCACACCCCCTCCCCCCCCCACCCCCCTCCCCCCCACCGTACGAGTTGCACGGCAAGCGCGGCGCGGCCGCACCGCGTACCGGCCGACGGCGGCGTTTACCTCGGTCGCAGTGCTCGCCCGTGTAGCCGCTGGCACACTCGCAGACCGGCTTGCCGGGCGGGGAGAGGCGGCAGCGGCCGTGCTTGCAGCGCAGCGCGCGGCACGGGTTGTGCAACTCGTCCCCCGCGACCCCGGCGACGCCGCCGCCGCCCTCTTCGGGGTCGGCCTGCGAGCACAGGACCCCGGAGTAGCCCGGCTCGCAGCGGCAGCTGTAGGAGTGAGCGTCGGTGGGCACGCACGTCCCGTGCACGCACCTGTGTGCCCGCGTGCCGAGAGGCGTGCGGAGATGGCGGGGGCGGCGGGGACAGAGTTAATGTCTGTCTGAAGAAGGCAGAGTTGTGATTGAAGATTGTTTTTGTTGTTGTTGTTGTGTGTGTGTGCGGGGTGAGGCCGTCCACATGATCAGGTCAAATATGTTCGTTGTGTAACCCTCCACCACCCGACACAGCCAAACGACTTATATTGCCACGTGGTGTACAAGCATTGAACTACGTGCCAGTTATTGCTGTTTCAGCTCGCCATCTGGTAAGTTGGTGAGAACGATCATCACAACTAATAACCAGATCGTTCCGTGGGCTTGCCCAATCAGCATTGTGTCTGTTTATAGTATAATTTATTACAAAGGGATCTGAAACAATCAGCAGACGGACAAAACGGTGAGAACAGACAGGCAGCTGGATGGACACAGACACACTTGGATGGAAGGAACGAGCGCACGGACAGACGGACGGGGGGCAGTGACGGGCACGCTCACTTGTGTCCCGCGCAGGGCTCCGAAATGCGCCGGTCGCACCGCTCGCTCGCCCAGCCGGGCTGGCAGTCGCACACGTAGCCCAGCGGGTGCGCCTCGGACGGGCGGCACGTGCCGTGCTGGCAGGCGGCGCGCTGGCACGCCTGGCAGCCAGGCAGCACGCCGCCCCCGCTGCCCCCGGCGCGCCCCTCGCCCAGGTCCTGCAGCTCGCTGTTGATGTAGAGGCGACGCAGGCAGCCGCGGAAGCTGCCGGTGCCGTTGTGCACCGCCGACTGCATGAGGGCCGCCACCGCGATGTCGTTGGGCATGCCTGTTGTGAGTGTGAGTTGGTGTACGAGTGTGTGGGTTGGTGGATGTGTGAGTGGGTGTGTGTGTGAGTGGGTGGGTGTGTGAGTGTGTGGATGGGTGCGTGAGTGGGTGTGTGTGTGTGGGTGGGTGTGCAAGTGTGTGGGTAGGTGGGTGGGTGTGTGAGTGGGTGGGTGTGAGTGGGTTGGTGTGTGTGTGTGGGTGTGAGAGTGAGTGGGTGGGTGTGTGAGTGTGTCGGTGTATGAGCGTGTGTGTGCATGTGAGTGCGAGTGTGTAAGCATGAGAGGTGTGAAGTCACACAAACAGAAATTCAGATGATTTCAATCTATTATTATTCGTGCTTAAAGTAACTTTATTACAATTTCGGATTATTCAGTGTGCAAGATGGGCAATGGACAAAACCAGTAATGGAATGGGCACCCAGAGGTGTGGATGCTCCCCCGAAGAGCACGATCGCCACGGAGACGAAGCGAGGAAAGCCGCTCGTGCGCAGGAGCCAAAATAGATCGTGGCATCGTAGAGCCACGTGGAAAGGTCATGGGGCCGATAACAACGATGGCGATGATGCTGGACGATGGTTCGCATTCACGAGCCCCTTTGTGAAAGCGTTGAGCCCAATAGGGGACCAACGCAACTATGACGCTGCCGCCACCGCCACCGGCGCTGCCGCGCCGTCGCGTGGGGGCTGGTCGTGACGGCGCTACCGACGTAGCGAAAGCTCACCGCCCAAGTAGAGGGGGCTGTGCATGGCGATGGGCGACGGCTTGGTGGCCCCAGGGATGCTCTTGGGGACTCCTCCGTCCACCGACAGCTTCAGGCTCTGCTCCAGCGTCACCAGCTCCACCGTGTGGAACTGCCCATCGTTTATCGTCTCCAGGCTGGGACGGCACGAGACAGTTTAGCCGCGTTCACTCTCGTGTGCTTTTGACGGTGCAATCCTTTGTTTGCTTTCACGCTATTTGGTCCCCAGTGAGCTCACCGAACCTCCAGTTCGCACGGTTGGCTACGAATGGTGCGAATAAGTTAAACATACGTTTAGGAACTCTCCCGGTGAAGTGGTTATAACCCCATGTTTGACAACGGTCCGTGAAAGTGGATATCAGTGAACTAATCCTGAGATCCCTCAATGGTCTCCTGGGCTCTCCCTGGCTAGAGAGAGCATAGGGGTCTCGATGAATGTAATGAGATTGTACGCAAATCAATGGCACTCTATGCAAGTTAATTTAAGAGCTGGTATCTTCATGTAAGTCTAAGAGTTTCTGTTTAAGCGTATAGAGGCATCTATACAAGTTTATTTAAAACTATGAATGATTTAAGCAGACAATGTCTCCATATATCTGTCTCCACACGAAAATAAGCTTTTTTTTAAATCCAACCCAATAACCCTACGGGCCTTCTGGAAGTGTATAATTTAAATGGCACCGATCCATAACAAGCGAACTCTGGGTTAGTTTTGACACGGTGTCTCATCAGCAGAGACAGCCTTGCTTGAATCCATGCTGGTGAACTGCCAATATTACAGGCAAGGGCCCTCTCTTTAAGATATGTGTCCTGGTTTGACGCAAAATTACATAGCAAAACATAACTTTATTTAATGTACAAATATACATGCTCATATACTGGGTTGGAGAGACGTACTGACGGAGGAATATTGTCTCCTTATTTATTTTGCTACTTGTGTTCTCCGCAATGAAATTGATGACAATTATTTCTGTTTAGTACAGCCACGGTCTCTGTGTCCTGAAAATCAAAGTGTTTGAGTGATGTAGTTTTTCTGTAATTGTTTAATCCTACGTCTCCCCTAAAAATGAGATTTCCGGTTTAAAATTAGTATTTATTTCAGCCCTTGTCAAACCACTGCTAGATGGAGATCTCCACCCACTCGGTCGGTAAGGGGGTTTGTTTAACCATACTTCACCGTGGCTGGGTTACACATTGGTGAGGTTTTAGCTACCTTTCCTGGAATGTAGGAAGTCGTGGGTTTGATCCCAACCCTGACTTCCGTATATTTTGAGTTTGCATGTCTCTCATCATCTTCATCACGGTGGCTAGGAAATATAAAACTACCTCGCGTGGTCACGTGGATTTTTCTCCGGGTCCTCCGGTTTTCCCTCCACGTTAAAAATCAACATGCGCCTGTAGTATTTGGCTGCTATAAATTTCCACGTGATACGCCACTTCTTTGAGCTATCATTTGTGGCCTGGTCGCTTCTGAAAAAGAGCTGTATAGCTCGGTGCACCTTGCCTGGTAAAATAAAAAAAAAATGTTTAGTTTAGTATAAAGGGCCATCCATCTATCTATATATCTATGTAAAGATTACAATGAAATCAATGAGTATGCAAATTCCAGACTTAAAACGCGGGGGGGGGGGGGGTGCTTAAATGAGATCTAACAATCCGACCGAGAATTCTGATGGCCACGAAAAGAAGCTCCATTACAAAAAATGGCAGGGCATAAATGAAAGGGCCCTTTGAAGTGAATGTAAGAGGAGTGCCCTGGTGTGGCTCGCTCGACGGGAGCGACACACGGCAGCAGCCGGTTGGTACGTCGCACAAAAAGCTCTACCCGGTGAGATTGGGGAATTTGAATCTAAAAAGATAAATGCCCCGCATGCAATGTTCTAAGTGGTGTGCAGATGGAAATTGCTAAAATCTTATTAACACATGTTCGGCCCTTTTAATTTGCGTGGCTTATATATATAAATAATCAAAGAATGTCCTTACATCGCATGCAATGCTCGCGTTCGTCATCACCACGAGGCATGGTCTATCCACTGCTGGATGGAGGGCTCCCCATGCTGCTGCTTCCCTCACCGTCCCTCGGATGCTACGGTCCGCCTCAGTCCTGCACACGAACCGGTCTCGTCGCTCCATCTCTGCGATGGTCGTCCTCTTTGGCGAATTCTCTCCTTTTTACTTTGGCTAACACGTCCATCCCGTCAAGTGGCCATCAGTCCCTCTCTCCAGTCAATACGACGTCTTTCTCTCTCTCTGATTTGCGTTTGTTCCCTGATCCACACGCTCCTCTTTCTGCCTCTCAGTTTAACTCAGAGCGTGCGTGCGTGTGTCTCGTCTCCCGTGCTTATTTGCGCGGAGAGCCGTGTGGGGGGGGGGGAGTTGCAAGGGGGGGGGGGGGGGGCGAGACGCAGGCAGTAATTTCTAAACTGAATATTTTGTATCCTGCACGGAGTTTTGATGTAACGCAGCGCTACGTGACTAAACGTGGCCGCGTGTTCAAAAGTCATAATCTGGCTTGACGGTGAGCCAGAACCCGTCAGCCCCCCCCCCCCCCTCTCCGCGAGCCGTTTCTCTTTCCTCGAGCAGATGAGCGCTGTCTGCTGTGATCACCGCTACCGTTTCTTCAGAGGGCCGCCACAAATCTCAACCCCCAAGTCCAACGTCCCGGCCTGCCCGCCCCTGCCCTCATCTGGACACCATCACCCTCACCTGTACAGCGTGCTGGTGGGGGAGCTGCCCCCGTCGTAGGTCACTCGCACGCGGCCCCTGTACAGCTCCACGGCCACGTGGTCTCCCTCCCCGTTGTACAGCAGCATCCCGTTATCCTCATCCGTCGCCACCTGAGCGGACGGGGAGTGGGGCAGGGACACGAAACGTGATTTTAATGATGACATTTCGTAGAACATTATGCTTTAATACTTCAATGCAAGTGATGTCACTGCGCCGCTATGGCGACGGACGTGTTGTGGAGCTCGGGAACAGCATGAGGGGGAAGTGCTAAAAGGAGCAACCTCCACCCTTCCACCTTCCTCCTCCTCAAACCCAGAGCCTAACATCACGCGCCTAATTATAGCATTCGTTCTTCTTGACCGGCAAACTCCCGGCGTTACACGCAAAGACGACACGCCGTTGTCGGACGACGAGTCCGTGCCGGGCGGCCTCCTCAGCGCCCGCCCTTCGCCCGCCCACCGCCCCCGCCTCACCTGCAGGCTGATGTTGGTGTGCAGGCGGTTGCGCGGCGAGGGCAGCTGCAGGTAGGCGTCGCGCTGCACGAAGTTGACGCTCACGAGCTTCTCGCAGCGCTCGCCCTCGAAGCCCGGCAGGCACTGGCACACGGGCGACGCGTGCTGCTCGATGCACTCGGCGCCGTTCTGGCAGTCGTGCTCCAGGCACACGCTGGCGCGTGGCAGCACCATCGGGGGCACCTCGCAGAACAGGCCGCTGGGGAGGCGGTGCCGGACGATGGCAGGCGGGGGGGGGGGGGGGGGCGCGAGGGGGGGGGGGGGGGGCGCAGGGGGAGGGGCAGAGAGGAGGGCGTGCGGCGGTGTTCAGAGAGAAACGTTTAAATCGTCGTCGTTATTTACAGAGCGTCTCGCGGCACCCAAAGTGCTTTTACCAAGCGTGTTCGTGTACGTTGAACTTATTTCACACCGTACGTAGCCAACCGTGCTAGTCGGAGGTGCGGCGGGGGGGGGAAGGAGAACAAACTAAACGTTCATGCTTCAGGTGTCACACGCTGGCAGTAATACAGCCAGTATACATTGAGGAGTGTCAAACTGCTAAACCCGCTGGGCTATGAGAAGGATGGAGGCTAGGGCAGTCGAGAAAGCCGGCGCTCATGAACTCTCATAGCGAACTCTTCCCACATCCGACCGCAAGCAATCCGTCACTTTTCAAGGAAGGGGACCGTACATGGCAACGCAAGGCCCCGTCGAGAAAATGCGTCTGAGCATTCAAACTCAAAATAAAACCATTAAACTATTTTTTTATTTGACCAGGTAAGGCCCACTGATCTATATAGCTCTTTTTCATATGTGACCTGGCCACAAGAGATAGCCAAACGAAGTGGCTTATCCACGTGGACATTTATAACAGTAGCCAAATACTATTAATGTGGAGGGAAAAACCGGAGGACCCGGAGACTAATCCACACGACCACGGGGAGATAGAGAGAGAGAGAGAACACTCAAACTCCAAATATACAGCAGGCGTCAGGGTCGAGATCGAACCCACAACCTCCTGCAGACCAGGCGAGGTAGTTAACATCTCCGAGCCACCGTGATGATGATGATGAGAGAGAGACACGCCGTGGCACACCTGTAGGCTTGCGGGCAGTTGCAGGTGTAGCCGTTGACGGCGTCCACACAGGGTGCACCGTTCTGGCACTTGCTGCCCTGACAGTCGTCATAGTCGACCTCGCAGTGGTCACCCACGTAGCCCGGAGCGCACTCGCACCTCGAGTGGTGAGGCCGGGGGGGGGGGGTAGAATCACGAGGATGAGATTGCAATTAAAGGGGAGGGGAGAGGGGGATTGCGAAAGACGTCCAACGTTTCACAGTGGAAGCTGCCGCAGTGCCGCAGATGGGGAAACGTCGGACGTTGCCGTGCCGACCGGCACGCGGCGCGTGCAAATACGAGCACGCACCGGCGGAGAGATCTTCATATACGGGGACGACCACGGGACCAAAATTGTGGAACGCAAATCCCGAACCGCGCAGTGCACAATATGCCGCAAAACTGCTAAGCGAGCGAGTGACAAAAAAAACGTGGAATGCAAATCTGCGAACTTCAGGACGCAACGTCACACGGTGCTGAATCCCAATCCGCAAACCACGAATTGCAGCTCATGACAAACGGTTCAACGAAAATGCAAATCAATAAACATAAATCGCTAATTGCAAAACATAAGTCACTGAATGGGAAATCCCAACAGTGCAACTTTGCAGCCGCGGAGATGACGGAACGTCCTGACATGCACAGAGCAAACTCCCCAAAGGCACCCGTGCAGTCAGTTTCGTGTAAATCACCAATTAGTTTAGCATTAGGGGCCTCCCTGAAACCACTGCCGGGGTCACAGATAATGAATTTACGGTGGCGTGGGGTCGTGGGACCGCTTGCTCTGGATCAGATCCGACCTACTGTGGCCATGACTGTAGCCACGGGTGATAGCGCTGGGGGTACATGGCCCCCCGCTAGAAAGCAGAACCGCCACACAGCCCCGAACTGACTGTTGGGGCAAGCTCTGTTAGCGAGCACCTATTAAGACCGGCACATCGCATGAGGGGGTGGGTGGCCAGTACCACGCCCGGCCGGCTTCGTCTCCCCAATGCTGATGTTTTACACACCACACCAGGTACACCGTTATGGTCGAGTCGACCTAGGGGAGGTCCTGGACTAGTTAAGATACGCATCACTGATTTTGGTCAAGAGTGGGAATCGAACGTGGGTCGCCGGGTTCGTAGTGCGGTCCGCCAACCGCTACGCTACAGCTTCTAAACACACACACACACAAAGACATGGCACCCACACTAACGCTCACTTGTATCCCTTAAGCGTCATGATGCACTTGGAGTCGTGCTGGCACGGGTTCAATTCGGGCGTGCAGAAGTTCACGCGGTCTTCACAGAGGTCACCTGCAGGGACGGAAGGGAGACAAAGGCAAGGTGAGAACGGAGGTGAAGGCGTGCAAACACATGCATGCACACACAAACGCACACACGCACACACACACCCGCACGCACGCGCACACACACTAACACACCAAGGCCAAGTTTAATTGCTGCAGACTGTTGGGGCGACTGCTGTTAGCGAGCGCCTATTGATGATGAAATTACAGGCTCAACCTCGACTCTCCCATGACTTGGCACGAATTCCGGGGTCAGAATAGAATAGTCAATAATCTTTGGTCTCCTTCTGGGTTCTTTCGGTAAAGTCACGTAGAATGGGAATAAAATAATAAAAATAATAAAAATATCATAAAAAATAATAATAACAGAATAATCTTATTATTTTTATTATTTTATTCCCATTCTACGTGACTTTACCGAAAGAACCCAGAAGATGAATCCCTGCAGTCACGAAAGCTTTAAATCGAAATTTATCTTAGGTCTCGTTTATTCTGCCTCCTTTATATTTAAATTGTCGCTGACGAGGGTTTGTTTCACATGTCGTGGCCATGAGAGTAACGGTAACATTTGCGTACGAATTCTGCCTGTTGTCAATCTTTGCTGCTTACACGCGTACACACACACACACGATTCGATGCACGTATCGTGAGTATTAACACCAATTTAAATCGCCGAATAAATTAATGGTTACACGCCTGCCAAACGACTCCAATGAGTGCAGGAGGAGCGGCGGCATGGCCAGCAGCATGCCACACCCCAGCTGCCTTTGCCTCCCCAATGCTGATGAGCCGGGTGCTCATTTTTTGGCCGTCTTGATCTAAGGGAAGCCCAGGCAAGGTTCAGATATTTTACATTTCCCACCACTGCTGTGCCATTGCACCCATCTGTGTGCCTTTACACTTGTAAAGTCACACAGATGTAGTCTTAAAACAATAAAGTATTCCAGGGCATGCTTCCAGCATACCGCAACAACAAAAAAAACCCAGCTGCGTTAGTGACCCGGTACTGAATAAGCCCTTTGATATAGCTGGCACAATTATTTTCTTTCTCTCCATTTTGCAAAAATCCATTTAATCATTTTTGTCGGCAAGGCTTGGAACAAAAACAAAGCCAAGTCCGACGAAAAACTTCTGCGATGATAGAACGCAAACCAAAAAATCTGTAAAACCTCACTCCACGGCCGTTTGAAAATAAAAAAACCCCAAAAGCAAACGTACGGAGAAAGCAACTGGACCACGAAATAAAACCCAGCGAGCTTTAGATTTGCGAGGCGTGAGGGGGGGGGCAGCACTTGTATGCCAGAGGCCCAGTGACGTCGTCGCCGTCTCACTGGCGGTCAGATGTGTGAGAAGAGACGAGTCACGCTGGGGTGCTTGGGGTGGCTAATACCTTCTCCATCCCAAGTTTACACTTTGAGTTTACACTCCCATAGCCGCAGCGGCAGCGCTGCCACAGCTGCAGTTTAGGTGTTTGGGGTCAAAGATCGTAATAGACCCTTGCACCTTGGCAGCTGCGCACATTGCTCCGAGTTATTTTGCCTCACAATTACACAAGAGAGAGAGAGACAGGCACGGGCAGACAGCACAAGGGGGAAAAAGTCAGCCTCGCATCAGATTACACATTTTTTTGAAAAAAACATTTAGTGAGGGTTTTTGGGAGTTTTTCAATTTTTGGTGGGTTCTAAACGGCACTGACACGAGTGTGTTTATCTTTTTAAACGTTTTAATTTTTCTGGTGCCTCATAAAAAAAAAATGTTTAAAGAGGTCCAGAAAGCAAACACATTAATCTGACGGTGCCACAGTGCGGGGGCCTTAGTAAGCTGCACAAGTCTGGCTGTAATAAACATTACAGCTGAAGCGTGCCACCAGAGTGCAGTTCCCACCAACCACGTCCGCTCAGCAAATATACGAACAGAGAGAGCTTACCCGCCACTTAAACATGGTGCACGGTACGCCGATTAACAGGGTTGTCTCTCTGCCTCCGAATAAACGACGATCGCTCACAACGAACACGTGAAACAAAATACAAATGATTACGCAAAGGGGCGTCCTCGACAAAAGACAAAAAACCGAATACCCGTGGAACTGCGGAGACGTGGTGCCTTAACGACCCCCCAAATTGAGAATGACACGAACTGTAAAGAATTGGGGAGGGGGCGGGAGGGGGCTGGGGTAAGAGTGCTGGGTACGAAAGAGCGACAGGGGAGGCCTGCCACGTGGCGGTCGGTCTGCTTTGCGAGCGACGGGCTGCACCTGGTAGTACCACATCGCAGTGAAGAAGAAGAAGCAAACTCCCGCGCGGAGCTACGCGACTCGCTCGTCGCGTCATTCCCGGCCGCCGCCGCCGCCCTCCCCCCGCGTTGGCAAGCGGCGACAACTCCTCGCACGAGCCTCGAGGGAAGGCGATGGCAGCCCTCGAGTGCCACGCTGCGGAAGATGTTCCCACGGGGAGAGGGCACGCGGCCGTGCCCGCCCGCAGCCTCCCCTCGCGAAGCTGCGGCTCCAGTTCAAGTGAGCAAGGTGAAGGCGGCGCTCCATTTTAATTGGTTCACAGCCCCTTTGAAAATGTGGTAGAAATGTCCCGTTGCCACGGTGGGGCGAGTGAGTCGATCTGTCGAACCGGCCGCTGTTGGGTTCCTCGTGGAGCGCCGCTTAATGTCTTTAGCGTCCCTCCTCGGAGGGATGATTGGGGGGGGGGGGCAAGTCGATCCACGACCGGGATTTTAACTCTCGTGAAGCTGCCGAGACGGCGAGGGCAACTCGCTGACCGCCACGTCACCTCGCCGGTCTCCCCTGTTTACTCGAGCTTATTGCTCACCCAGAGGGATCATGGGGAAGGAGGATTAGACGCAGTGATGGACGCGTGAGGGATTACGTTTTAAGCGAGCGCGCCGTCGGCTGGGGCTGTAAAGATTCGCCCACGGAGCGATTCGACGAATTCGCACAATCCAGGGTTGCAAATTTGATTCGGGGATTGATTCGTTTGTTTGTATGTACAGTGAGGGAAAAAAGTATTTGATCCCCTGCTGATTTTGTACGTTTGTCCACTGATAAAGAAATGATCAGCCTATAATTTTAATGGTAGGTTTATTTGAACAGTGAGAGACAGAATAACAACAAAAAAATCCAGAAAAACACATGTCAAAAAGTTATAAATTGATTTGCATTTAAATGAGGGAAATAAGTATTTGACCCTCTCTCAATCAGAAAGATTTCTGGCTCCCAGGTGTCTTTTATACAGGTAACGAGCTGAGATTAGGAGCACACTCTTAAAGATCTCACTTCATGGAGTTGCAATGATCATGAGAACGGTGAGGAATCAGCCCAGAACTACACGGGAGGATATTGTTAATGATCTCAAGGCAGCTGGGACCATAGTCACCAAGAAAACAATTGGTAACACACACGCCGTGAAGGACTGAAATCCTGCAATGCACGCAAGGTCCCCCTGCTCAAGAAAGCACATATACATGCCCGTCTGAAGTTTGCCAATGAACATCTGAATGATTCAGAGGACAACTGGGTGCAAGTGTTGTGGTCAGATGAGACCAAAATGGAGATCTTTGACATTAACTCAACTCGCCGTGTTTGGAGGAGGAGGAATGCTGCCTATGACCCCAAGAACACCATCCCCACCGTCAAACATGGAGGTGGAAACATGCTTTGGGGGTGTTTTTCTGTTAAGGGGAGAGGACAACTTCATCAAAGGGACGATGGACGGGGCCATGTACCGTCAAATATTGGGTGAGAACCTCCTTCCCTCAGCCAGGGCATTGAAAATGGGTCGTGGATGGGCATTCCAGCATGACAATGACCCAAAACACACGGCCAAGGCAACAAAGGAGTGGCTCAAGAAGAAGCACATGAAGGTTCTAGAGTGGCCTAGCCAGTCTCCAGACTTTAATCCCATAGAAAATCTGTGGAGGGAGCTGAAGGTTCGAGTTGCCAAACGTCAGCCTCGAAACCTTAATGACTTGGAGAAGATCTGCAAAGAGGAGTGGGACAAAATCCCTCCTGAGATGTGTGCAAACCTGGTGGCCAACTACAATAAACGTCTGACCTCTGTGATTGCCAACAATGGTTTTGCCACCAAGTATAAGTCATGTTTTGCAGAGGGGTCACATACTTATTTCCCTCATGAAAATGCAAATCAATTTATAACATTTTGACATGCGTTTTTCTGGATTTTGTTGTTGTTATTCTGTCTCTCACTGTTTAAATAAACCTACCATTAAAATTATAGACTGATCATTTCTTTGTCAGTGGGCAAACGTACAAAATCAGTAGGGGATCAAATACTTTTTTCCCTCACTGTACATACGTATGCATGGTATTATGTTGAACTTATTTTGCAACGTATGTACCCAACCGTGTTAAACGGAGGTGCAAATGAAATAATTAACCTTTTATAACCTGGTGTGTGTGTGTGTGCACGCACATGCCCTGTTTACACACACACAAACATGGCACAGCATGCGTGGAACATGCGCACGCGTACACACACACACACATGTGCATGCATACACCAAAGACAAAGATCCCCCGTATAGCCATAACAGACTTTTGGGGCAAGTGCGCACACACATACACACACACATGCACACGGTCGTACACAGCACACGGATCCTGTGACAACGCGCATGCAGGGCGCACGGCGCAGCAACAACTCCACGCTTTCAGCTACAGCGGCAAAGACAATTTCTTATATGTGTCCCTTCGAATACAAAACTCGCGTTAAACATCCACATCGCACGGAAACACGACGGCGGCACACTGACCTTCCTCCACCTCATTTATGTCTGCCGTTTGCAGCGGGGAGAGAGACACACAAACAATAAACAAGGCAAGACGTTTAGAGCAATTGCAGTGAGATTGCAGATGCCTGGCATCAACGGGTGGAGTGGTTGTTCTCTTGTGTGTGTGCGTGCGTGTATGTGTGTGTGCGCGTCCCTGTGCGCGTGCGTGCGTGTGCGGTGGTGTAGCGGTTAGCACGCTGTGCTGCAAAACCGTCGACCCGAGTTCGAGTCCCGCTCACGACCACCAACAGTGACAATTATCTAAACCGGTTCTTGACCTCCACTGGGCCGGCTAAGCCTCAACTGAGTACCTGGCGTGATGTGTAAACATCACCACTCCGGGTGTGGTGATGGCCTTCAGAGGTGCACACTAACAGCCCTTGCACCAACAGTCTGCTAAAGGCTACATGGGGGATCTTTGTCTTTGTGTGTGCGTGCATGCGAAGAGCGCAGGCTGCCCGAATTATTGCTGCCGCTTTCCGTTACAAAAAACAGGGCCGCGGGTCAAGATGGTCTAACCGTAAGGATTGAAAACCCGAAAGAAAAATAAATGGCAAATTAGAACGGGCTGCCGGAGCAGTGGCGACTAAATGGTGCTCAGTGGGAATACCAAGAGCAGCGTGGCCACGTGCCGGGAAAATGTGCCGAGACTCAGGGGCGGCGGACCCCACTCTGCACCGTCCCTCCCTGCCCCCCCCCCTTCCACCACCTTCCAATTTCTCCGCAATTTCTGCTGCCCCCCCCCCCGTCCCACCGCCCACCAACGTCCCCTCCACACCAGCTCCCCACCCCCCCACTCCGTTTCACCTCCCGCCGTTACTCTCGCTCAAATCCCCAACGACCACCGCCGCCCCCTCCCTCCCGCCATCGGCAACTCGCCCCCCCCCCCGTGTTTTGGACAAGGAAGCCATTGAGGGAGGGAGGGAGGGGGTGCCACGGCGAGGCCCCCCTGTCAGGATTTCATCACTCGGACTTAGCCAATTAAGCTCTGGCGTGGCTGGGCACTCACGTGAGAAGCAAGCACCTGCTGATGCCCGCTAATGCGCCGGCAACCTCCGCTCAACCCCACTCGTCTCACCGCTGACCGGTCGCTTCGCCACGCCAGGCGCTCCCGAGGCCCCTGTTCTGCTCCGGTGATGAGCCGATGAGTTGGGAACGGGTCGGGGGGGGGGGTTGGGGAGGTGTATCTCTTTTATTAACGCTTTTCAGCTCAGGTTGAAAGCAATAATGCATTAGCGCCGTCCCTCCGTCCGTCCGCCTGAAATGCATTACCTCTTGCGAAGATGACGCAATATGAGTGGCGTTGCTATAAGGGACTCACCCTATTGAAAGCCAGGCCAAATTAATCTCAGGGTGGCCCCAAAACTTGTTGGACCAAAATCGGAGGAAAAATTACCTATTTGAAAATATGAAAAATCCAATTGCATATTGACAGCTAGCAGCCCAGCTGGCTGGCTACCCTAATTCTGCAAATTAACGAGACACACTGTGAAACGCCACTGCCAAAACTGTTGGCCAACACACGCATTTCTTATGTTTTGATGTGGCGCCAATGGCAAACGCGGGACGCATTTTTTTTTATCTGCACGCGATTGGGGTTCACCGGGGAGGTCACGGGGGGATGATGAACGCGACGGGAGCTTTGTGCCATACGCGGGGTTACGATCTCCACCGTGGTCAGATCGATTCCCTCGGTGTCTCAGCACTGGCAATCCTCCATGCATTTGTCTACCCCCTCCCCACCCACACCATGTCTCTCTCTCCCTTAGTGAAAAAAAATATTTTAAAAAGACATGTGTTGTCGTCTCAGTGAGCCCTCACCTGGTTTAAATACATTTTACGAACGTTTGTACATTCCACTCGCGGCGATCGCACGGCCTGGCTGGCTTGGGATAAAGAAGTAGAAAACAACAACTACATTTAGCGCAGAATCACGTGCGTAGGAATCCGCAATGCTTACGCTACATGCAAACCACCACGGCGTGCATCGCGTCAGCCGCGGCAGTGACGCACGGCAGAGGGATCGTGACTGCACGGGGAAAAGATGAGCGATGACGCGTGCGGTAATGATGTGTGTCTACATCGTATACTTCATCATAATCATAATAATGATTGACAGCCACGTCAATCCACTGCTGGATGAAGAACCCCCCACGCGGTGTCAGTCACGGGCGGTTATTCTTTGACGATACTTTGGCATTCTGGGCAGTGGGTGCTGATGAAGGGAGGATTTTAGAGACCGCTTCAGATATCACTTGGCAGCAGATCTTTACTGGGGTCGGGAATCGAACTTGCACGGTTCGAGGCAGCAGCTCTGTATGCAGCTCCGGCCATGCTGGCTGCCTCATGCAGTTCAAGCAGCACGATTCTGGGACCGTTGGGGACGATTTTTTTCTCGTGTTCATTACCGGCGTGACTCGCCACGTAGCAAACGTCACTAAATTTACGAGGTACAGAGTGAATGTATCCCCGACCATGCCCAAACTTGGAGGAAACGCGTGAGAGTACGCACCGTGTCAACGTCTGTCAATGTTTTGATTGGCTCCCTTTGCTTTCAGGTTTCCCGATGGCCACAGCCAGGGGGTTATTTCTATCTCACAATTTGTACAATTCTCTCTATTTCCTCTACTTGCTTAATTTTGTCACTTTCTAATTCCTAAAGTTATATTACACGTTTTATAGATTTGCAATTTTAAGAGATTTAAGCCTTTTCTTTTTCCTGTCTTATTCACGCTGTATTGTATTAATGAATCACAATTTTTTTTGTCTATATTTGAAGTGTATTTAAAACATCACCTTTGCAAAAAAGGCCACGCCGTTTCACGCACCTCAGTGCGGTTTATTTCATCTCCTGGTTGAAAAAAGGTTACAAAAACAACATCTAAATGGTTTTTTTGGCCTAGTTATAAGCACAAAAACTTTACACTTCTCATGTTTGTTTAAAAAACTCACTGCCATTAACCGTTTCTAGAGGGGTAGCGTAAAAATGCGGATCGACGTTTCCAAGGGAGCTCCAATCCGGTTTAATGCGTCAATAAATTTACGCACTTGGCGGCGAAGGCACCTTTGACCGTAAAACAAATATTATCGTGAACCGACAGCTGTTAGGTCTAGAAATAGGAGCGCGGAACGCGGATGAACAGAAACATCTTGGGGCGCGATGCGGCCCTCCCACGTGCGCTGCATGCGCCGTGGGCTGTGCGTGCGTGCGGAAGCAGCAGCAGCACAGACGGCGCGCATGCGAGTCCAATAGTCCAATAGCCCATGCACGACCATTGTGTTGATACAGCTGAGCAGCCAGCAATCGTGGGTGAGTGAGTTAGCGGGTGGGCGAGTGAGCGCGTGGGAGAGAGAGCGTGCGGGTGGGAGAGAGAGCGGGCGACTGAGTGGGTGAGTGGGAGAGAGTGGGTGGGCAGGCGAGCGAATGGGAGAGAGAGCGGGCGGGCGGGCGGGCGAGCGGGTGGGAGAGAGATAACGGGTAGAGAGACAGCGGGTGGAGAGAGAGCGGGCGGCCGAGTGGGCAAGAGAGCGGGAGGGAGAGAGAGCAGGAGGGAGAGAGAGCGGGTGGACGGAGAACGGGTGGAGAGAGAGCGGATGGAGAGAGAGCGGGTGGAGAGAGAGCGGGTGGAGAGAGAGCGGGTGGAGAGACAGCGGGTGGAGAGAGAGCGGGAGGGAGAGAGAGCGGGTGGACGGAGAGCGGGTGGAGAGAGAGTGGGTGGAGAGAGAGCGGGTGGAGAGAGAGCGGGTGGAGAGAGACCGGGTGGAGAGAGCGGGTGGAGAGAGAGCGGGTGGAGAGAGACCGGGTGGAGAGAGACCGGGTGGAGAGAGGGCGGGTGGAGAGAGCGGGAGGGAGAGAGAGCGGGTGGAGAGAGCGGGTGGAGAGAGAGCGGGTGGAGAGAGAGTGGGTGGAGAGAGAGTGGGAGGGAGAGAGAGAGCGGGTGGACGGAGAGCGGGTGGAGAGAGAGTGGGTGGAGAGAGAGCGGGTGGAGAGAGAGTGGGTGGAGAGAGAGCGGTTGGAGAGAGAGTGGGTGGAGAGAGAGCGGGAGGGAGAGAGAGCGGGTGGACGGAGAGCGGGTGGAGAGAGAGCGGGTGGAGAGAGACCGGGTGGAGAGAGAGCGGGTGGAGAGAGAGCGGGTGGAGAGAGAGAGCGGGAGGGAGAGAGAGCGGGTGGAGAGAGACCGGGTGGAGAGAGAGCGGGTGGAGAGAGAGCGGGTGGAGACCGGGTGGAGAGAGGGCGGGTGGAGAGAGCGGGAGGGAGCGAGAGCGGGTGGAGAGAGCGGGAGGGAGAGAGAGCGGGTGGAGAGAGCGGGAGAGCGAACGCCTCCTCCCCGCGGCGGTTCCTGGCAGTATGGGAATGGTGCGCAATGTGCCGTGGCACCTGACAACCAAGGCATGAAATTTAATGAATCTGCGCTAAATTTGCCATAATTGTGCTTTCTCAAGATACACTCGCTTGACAGTCCCTTCATGTGATATCTAAAATACATTCGAGCAACGGTTAAGCCACCCTGAGACTTCTTAAAGCCAATCCGATACGATAATGAGGTTACGTCTTGTGTATAATATTCAAAATAAATACCCGCGCATTCCGGGCGTGCACGCATTTTTTGCATTACATAGTCTTTAGACTCGCACTGCACTAAAAACAGCTGCGTGCAGTGGAAAGGTTTTAAAAAAAAACATTTTAATTGTTGTGTTTTGTTAAACTGTGTGTTTTGGCTAAACATTCGCCCACCCCTGGTGCCCGCTTGGAGCACCTTTTGCTTGCACAGCCTCGGGGCTAAACGGATCGGCGCAGGCAGCCATTAGAAAAATGAAAAATCCACGGGGGGGGGGGGGGGGGGCGGGAAGTCCCGTGAAGATTTTTTTTCTTACCTCACAATATAAAAAAAATTACGTCCTGCTCGGAAACCATGGCAGGTGCAAGCCCAGCGCGACGATTTCGGACGTGAGGAAAACTAATTTTTTTTTTCCGCGTGAAAAGAGAGAGAGAGAGAAAAAAAATGCGAAATCCACTACCACCCCCACGCAGAAATCTGAAGGTAAATACGTCGGCGCGTAAATAAGCGTCGGGCGAACAGGAGCGACTCGCGAAACGAGCTGTGAAGTGCCGGTAAATGGGTTTCGTCAAAACAGCCCAGCAAGGGGCCCACCTATATTCCAGAATAATGTGTCGAACGCTGACTTAAACGAAAGCCGTAAAGAATGCGAGGTGAACGTGCGGCTCGGTGTTACGCACGTACGTGCGTTGAACTTATTTCGCACCGCACGCAGCCAACCGCGCTAGCTGGACGTGTACAGAGACAAACTGAGCCTGGATTGGGATCCACGTTTCGGCTCCTTGTCTTTAAACCGGGTTCTCAAGTGCGTTGATGGTCGGTCTAAGCCTGGGCACCGATGGTGACTGTACAAAAGACATATGTCTCACATTAAATTAGTTTTTTCACTTAGTCTGGCAAAAACCCAGCATTGAGAATAAAAAAAACATGTATTGGATTTACTGCCAGGCGACGGACGACTCTCGAACACGGTGCATGGAAAAATGCGCTCCTGAGTTGCGGATAAAACTTAAAAGGGATCTACGAATTAGTTCCATCATATTTTATACCACAGGTCATCCTCTAACCACACATCTGTGAAAGTTCCAAACAGATTCTTCGTCTCGAGCCAGAGCGCCAATTGCACAATCGCAATAATTTAAATGATTAAAAAAACAATGCCGAAAATCTCAGCTCATCACGAATGACACCCAACCACGCCACCCCGCCCCTAGCCCCCCGCCCGCAACTCACGCCGAAGGGATCAGGGGAAACAAGTCCCTCCCGCTCACACGCTCGGGAAAATCTCGACGCGGCTCAAGATGCCGGCCCCGTCTTGACCGCGAGGCACGAGAGCGAGGGCTAATTGGCATTCCGTAAGCGCATTAAAACGTCACGTCCTTTCACGCGGCCGCGGGGGTCACGAGCGCTGGCCATAACACGACTTCGCCCACCTCCTTCCCGCAGCCACGATGCGTCCCATGCCGCCGTGGTGCCGAGATGTTAACTCCCTCGCCTGATATGTAGGAGGATGCCTGTATATTTGGAGCTTGCGTGTCTCTCTCCCCGTTGTCACGTGGATTTTTCTCCGGGTCCTGTGGGTTTTCCCTCCCACGTTTAGAAACTTGCGCTTACAGTATTTGGCTGGTTTATATTTCCACGTAAGCCACTTCCGTTGCACCATCATTTGTGATAGCAAGGTCACTTCTGAAAAATACCTATATAGCTCAGTGGGCCTTACCTGGTAAAATAAAAAGAGTTTCGTTTTTAAAATAATAAAATTTAGTCTGCTAGCGACGAGTTGCCAGCTCACGTGATTGTGCCGATGCCCGTGGACTGATTGATGTGTGTGTTTGCGGTAAAGCTTGTCGACCTGATTTGATTTTATTTTCAAATTACCGACGATACAATCCGCATGTCTGAAGCTCCCCGCAATGTATACAATTGCATTGGGCTGCACCTCCCAGTGTGAGTGCAACTGTGCTCTTGTTCCACGGCTTAAGTATTTTTTTTGTCAGCATTAGGGTGCTTACGCATATATTTTAGATACATTACGTGTGTAGAGTATATAATTACGTGCGAGTATATGTATTTATGTGTGTGATAGGTGTGTGTGTGTCTATTTATATGTTGTTGTTTTTTTATCTCACGTGTTCGCACACAAAAGCCTCACCAAGTCTCGCGACTCTTTTACAAGGAGGGTCCTGCCACGTTTGCGTTGCTACGGAGATTACGAATGGGTAATTTGCCGTTTAATTTCTCAACTTTGCCATGTTTGTTCTCCGACGCCTGCACACGCAGTGGCCTGCCCTTCACGAGTGAGATCGCGGGGATCTTTGAACGTCCCACTACGCTCAAAGTGGACGTCGTGTGGTATTTGTGGTGTTTGTTTTACGGCTAGCACCACACCAGCGCAGTATTAATCGGGACGAACCTCTGCAGCAGGCGACGAAACGCGTCACCGCCCGTGTGCGCGTACGTCTGGGTGCTCGCTGACAGCACTTGTCCCGACAGTCAGTCAAGGCTACACGGGGGAACTTTGTCTTTGCTGTGTCCCTCGCACGGGGTTGTTAGCGCGCACAATCGCATTCACGTCTCGTCACTCCACTCTCCCCCTCCGCCCCCCCACCCCACGCTCACCTGTGTACTCGTGCGTGCACAGGCAGGTGTAGTTGTTGATGCCGTCCACACAGGTGGAGTTGTTCTCACAGTCGTTGTCTTCGCAGTCGTCGATGTTCACCTCGCACCGGTCTCCCTCAAAGCCGTCGGCACAAGCGCACCTGGCAGAGGGCAAGCGGGTCAGGGCGGAGGAGGGGGAGTCTGCGGGGAGTGGCGGTGGTGGTAGTGGTGGCGGTCGCGATGATGATGATAAAAGTGGTGATAATAGTGGCTGTGGTGGCAGTGGTGATGCTTTAGGTGGTAATTGTTGTAGCGGTGGTGGTTGTTGTAGCGATGGCGGCTGTGGTGGTGGTGTTGGTGACAATGGTTCTGGTGGCGGTGATGATTATGATGATAGTGGTGATGGTAATAGTGGTAGTTATGGAAGTGGTGGTGGTAGTGGTCATGGCGGGAAACAGGTGGAGAGCTGCAGGTGGTGGGTTGGGCGGGGGGAGTTAAAACTAAACTATAAAAAATATTTTTTATTTTGTCAGGTAAGGCCCACTGAACTATTCAGCTCTTTTTCAGAAGCGACCTGGCTACAAATGATCGCTCAATGAAGTGGATTATCACGTGGGAATTTAAAGCAGTGAAACACTGCTTAAAAATAAACGCATGCTTCGAAAATGTGCCGGGAAAAACCGGAGGACCCGGAGAAAAATCTACGTGACCACAGATGGGAGAGACACGCAGACTCCAAAAATACGGACGTCAGGGTGAGGATCGAACCAACGACCTCCTGTATACGAGGCGAGGCAGTTAACATCTCGCCACCGTGGTACCCAGCCGAACCTGGCAGGTGCCGCTTCCACTGCCACCAGCACAGCGGTTATGGCACCCTCGCCGCCAATCGGCGGCGCGTCAACACCTCCACCCCCCTCCCCCTCCGGACGATCCCCGTCGAGGACCTTTCAAAGTGGCTTCTTCCGTAAACATCAACAAACGTGCAAGTCGATACAATTGCTATCGGGTTTCAAAGTCGATTTTTTTCGTGCGAGGAATTTGTTTTTACCGCGATGGGCGACGCTGCCGATATAAAAAAAAAACGGTTTTACCCAGGAGTGAAAAAAAATTGCAATGGGAATGGATCGCCCCTTTTTGCGCGCACGGTTTCCAGATTTAAAGCGCACGAGCGCCTGCCTTTTCAGCAGCGCTCGAAAGGTGCCCCCCTCACCTACTCGCTGAACTCACAAATCGCAGGGGGATTACCCGGAGACAGAAAGCTGCTGGTGTAAGAGTTAGGATTACGGCTGGCGGCTGGGGGGGGGGGTGGGGGAAGGGAAAGAACCGGGATTGCTTTTGGGCCCGGGGTTAGATGCAGTGCCGTGCATGGTGCTAGGGTTAGGAGTTCGGAGTGGGGTTAGGAGCGTACTTAGATGGCACTTCTAAAGTTCTAAGTGAAGCTTATGGGGCCACAAGCACGATTGTGCATGACACGATATGACTTGGAAGTTTGGCAAGACTCAGGAGGGCGAGGCATGGGGCTATGGTTAGGCTGCGTTTAGATGCACACGAGGGTTCATGTTTGGGTTACGGTTTGAATTGGCGTTATGGGTGGGTTCTGTGCTGATGTTGGGGTCAATATTCCAGGGTCGTGCTGGGGGCCAGAGGTTAATGCCTTGTTTCCACCACCACCAAATGGGCTCTGCTGGCTCTGGAGCAGCCCAGGAGCAGCTGCACAACAGGTTTGGCTGTTCCCCATGCTCGATATTCAAATGAGGCTCACGCGATATGCAGATGGGGCACTATAGATCAGACTTGCACGTGTGAAGAAAAAATAATGTGCCATTCGCAGTGTGGGCAGGAATAGTGGTTTGGTGGGGGTCGTGGCTATTGAGGAGTGGGCAGGGTCGACACGAGTTCCAGTTCAGCCTCCCAGAAACGTGGTAAATCTATGAAGAGAGCTCCTTCCATATGTTTGTAGAACTGCCTGGGAATCGTGATCGATCTCTCGTCAAAGTCTTTAAAGCACCGCAAGTGTAGAGTGTGATCCCCAGCAATAACACGGCCAATCTCTCTTGCCCCGTCTTATATTCTGAACAAGAGCCATTGGTCAAAACCTCAACCGACTAATATGTTTTTTTTTCTTCTTCCACGAGCAGACTGTGCTAATGACAAACGTGGTCCGGTTTCTTGTTTGTTTTTTGTGCTGAGTGTGCCCAGAGCTCGGCTACCGTGGGGACTTGGCCTCTTTGGCCCGGACAGGTCTCAGCGCATTGCCGGCCCAGTGTCTAAGTGACCGCGGCAGCAACGCGGTGGTGAGGTGTTAACTCCCTCGCCTGGTATTCAGGAGGTCATGGGTTCTATCCCGATCCTCATGCATATACAGGGTGCTTAAATTTTTTTTTTTAACACTGATATGGGACTTTCTTTTCATGACAAAAGAACGGATAATACACTGTAACATCATAACAAATGTAATGTTAATAGCTTCAAAAAGCCTCCACCTGTTCACCATCATTGTCAACACGTGGCCTGGAATCTTTTCCAAGTGGTCTCCAGAGCTCGGAGGCACGTTTCTTGTGGTATTGTTGCAAATTCTCGGAAGTGTTAACATTGTTTTTAAGCACCCTGTATATATGGAGTTTTCATGTTCTCCCTGTAGTCACGTGGATTTTTCTCCGCGTCCTCCGGATTTTCCCTCCACATTTATAAACATGTGCTGAGAGCATTTGGCAGCTATAAATGTCCACACGATATGCCACTTTGTTGAGCTATGATTTGTGGCCAGGTCGCTTCTGAAAAAGCACTAAGAGCTCAGTGGGCCTTACCTGGTAAAATAAAAGAAATACTTACAGTTTAACGCAGGATATAAAAAAAAAGTTTTAATTAAATTGAGGTAAAATGCAAAGCCGCTCAACACGCATGGTTGCATTCCGCTTTCGAATTAAGCGCCGAGTTTTGCCTCCTACTTCTCGAGCAACGGACAAGCCGCTGGCGTCCTCCCTGCGGGTGAGGCCCCATCTCTCACCAGAATCGGTCGTCTCGCCCGTCCTGCAGGTTGCAGGTGCCCCCGTTGTGACAGGGTCCGGTGACGCACGCGTTGATCGGCGTGTCGCAGTCTTGACCCTGCGAGGCAAACGAAGGGGGGGGGGGCACAGGATTTCCTCTATTTAGCACGATTGGCTATGTATGGTGCGATTTAAGTTCAACATATACAGTGAGGGAAAAAAAGTATTTGATCCCCTGCTGATTTTGTACGTTTGCCCACTGACAGAGAAATGATCAGTCTATAATTTTAATGTTAGGTTTATTTGAACAGTGAGAGACAGAATAACAACAACAAAATCCAGAAAAACGCATGTCAAAAATGTTATAAATTGATTTGCATTTTAATGCAAACACGCATTTTGCTTCGAGCGCACGTGTCCAGCATCGCTTGCCCGTATTCCACGCCGGTACGATCTGCCTAGCTCGCGATTCGCCATACGAGATCTAGTGGCCCCGAAAGTGACCATTTTTCTTCTCCGTCATCGTTTTTAGTTGAACAAAAATTTTTTAGCAAAAAACCTCCCAGCGGTCGGCGTTGATTGGTGGAACGAAAGCGCCCCCCCCCCCCTCCCGACCTTTGAGTGGCGGTAACGTGGGAGGAAGTGCCGCCAACTGCCCGCTGTCAAATAAACACTTCCCATGTCGCGACCTCTGGCCCCGGCTCTCTACCCCATCCCACCCCACCACCGCCAAGCTTTGGCTTCCATGTGATGCCCCAGTTAGCGGTGGGCCCTACGCACCCCGCCTGGCGTTGCCACTTCTGATTTGCAAAACGTCGGGGGATATCGCGGAGTTCAGGACAATATTTTACAATAGCAGAAGAGGGGGAAAACTGCACGTGAAATGCATTGTATTGAGGTGTATGGATTGCTATGCAGCTGACACACATTGACACTCTCAATGTCCCCCGCAGCTACCTCAACAAGAGGACGATCCCGGGAAAATCAGGGCAGGTGGCAACTCTAAACCTCACCGCTGGCATGCAAAGTAAGACCACGCAGAGGTTTCTCTCAACACGAAGTTCTCAAGATCATCGCAGACTTAAACAGATGTAGGCCCAGGCTTTTGATTCAATGGTCATAACACACCACCACCTTGGTAATTTGCAACTACTGTTTGCAACAGTGTTCACCAGCATTACTTCAACAAGAAGGCACCCTCGCAGACACATGAATGGCACCGCAATCCGCTGTCGGGCAATTTCCGTCCCATTAATGCCCGCGACAACTTTGACAACAAAAAAAACGTAAACGGGGGTATGACCCACCCCCCGATTGCGACGTGCGGTGCATCATTATGCACCTCCAATTACCACGGTTGGCTACGTACGGTGAAATAGAAAGGGACAACATACGTACATACGCGCATTACAGGACGAAAGGGGCACCCGTGCGGCCATGAGCCTTGCCGTTGGAAATTACACCAAGCCAAAGGGGGTCTCCGGGATCGCGTAACGCGACATGAATAGGTTTAGGGTTTCGTTGATGATCAGTGCCCTTTTAGGATCTGCGACCCCTGAAACGGTTGAACAAATTGCCAGCCATCAACCGGGCCATTTAAACGCTAATGCGGCGCAAGCGCAACACAATATCCTTCCGCTGGCGCTCGCTAATAAGAGCCGTAATTGCGACCGATGCTTCGCTACGGCCGCCAGGATAACGTTTCTGCCGTTTTCAAACCCGCTTCCATCTGGAGGGCCACTTCCAAAGCGGTGATGAGTTTTTTTGTTTTGTTTCATGATCGCAGTCGTGCTGCAGTCGGAAGTTTATTATTCCGCCTTAAGGCGGTCGATTGGTTACTCGCTGGCCACTTTTTGCTACACTCAAGAAATGTTACGTCGGCAAGTCTGTCCACGTGTTCGTCTGGCCGAGCCGACGCTTCTCAGGTTTTCATAAAAACTACAAAACCCCCAAAACCAATGACCACTAAACGTACCCACGAGTCGAGTCACGGTGATTTTCTTGCTCTAATGCGCATCGAGGCAGCGCACATCTCCTGTTTACAGCCCTGAGCCGGTCAAGGGGAAATTCCACATTCCTGTGACGGTGGGGAGAGTTCATCCGCAAGACGACCAGTGTCGAATTCTCCACAAAGTGGTACTCATTTTTAACAACCCTGGAGGGTTAATGGGCTGAGTCAACCGCCAATCGCAGGACTTGAACTCGCAACCATCCAGTTGCGAGCCTTTCACTCTACCGCTGAGCCACCTGGCCCGATAAAAAGACAAGTAGCACGGAGCTCATTAATGGTAATGCCCATATCTGCAAAGGTTTCGGGGAAATATTGACACTGAAATACAAAGAAAATGCGTTTTGAATAAAACATAATAATTATATAATTATACGCATCAGCGTGACTGCCGCACGCATGTGACGTAAGAGCAGTGTAGGTGTTCGTGCTTGCCCCGAAAGTGTACACACAGACGTCTGTACGCACGTGCGTACGCGCATTTCCGCACGCGTGAACATTTCTTGAGCATGGTCAGGTGATACTTTTTTTGCCCAATCCTGGCCAGCGGGCTAAATTTTTTTATAAAACATACTGGCTTGCCGGTGTGTTTTTTAATTTACAGTCCTACCCGAGCCGGTCGCCGTGCCGCTGCATGAATGAGCGCCGAATCAAAAGTTGTGCGATCTACGATGCTGGTAGCTGAAGGGGAGAGAGGCGCTCTCATCGCCGCCGAACTCATGGGGAAAACAGCTCACCCTCCTCATTCACCCCGTCGGGTCAAAAGCGCTGAGTGAGACTCGGAAACGGAGAGCCGGGTGAAGTCAGCTACTCCCCGCGATCAATCATCACAGTGCTAAAAGCAACTTTCCCAACCCCGTGTTGTGTGTACGGCGCACGTACATCAGCGGTTACAAAGTGAGAGTAATGATACACCCAAAAAGGTGATTTATCGGCAGCGAACGGCACGATTGTGAAGATCACTCCTAATCCTGCCGTGCGTGGCTCGTGACGTGGCCACACGTAGCCTTGTTTTAGTCCACCAACTCTAGAGGCAAAATTCGTGGCCATTTCGGCCTCCTTTGTCGTATACCCAATTCATCTTGTCTCATGTATGGGCTTTGGCTCGATCCGTTAGCCTAAATATAAAATCTGCACGCATCGAGGAATAATTGACACGGAGCGTGCACGCAGTTCGCAGCACGCATCCAACGAGCAGTACGCGCCGATTCTAATTGCCGTATCAATCGCTTCGGCGCTTCGGCGTGCGGTCCCGGGGTATACTGGGAGGCTGGCCTCGGCCCGTGCGAGTCGTCAACGTGGCCGGAGAAGACTCCGGGGGGGGGGGGGGGGGGGGGGTAAGCACAACAACCGCAACCACGTCCGCGACCACGACCAGGCGATTATCCGTCGATCAGCTGTTGACCTCTCTCGACGGTGCCGGCGCAGACCGCGACGGGACGCGACTGATTGCCGTGCGCTTCCTCAGCCACGGCACTTTGGCCGTTAAAGCCGGCGGGAAAAAAAGATTACTTAAATACACCTCAACGGAAGATGTAATCGGCACAAATAGTTATTTAACTCATAGACACTAAATGTACCTAGGATTGTGTGTGCCCAGGTTGCGCGTTCTGGGCTGTTTGGTTAATGAGAAAAAAAGTCAGGGCAAAATGGGTGCTGGGCTCAGGGTCGGCTAATTTATGTTTGTTGAACTTCTTTCGCACCGTACGTAGTCAACCGTGCTGATCGGAGGTGCGGGGGAAGGACAACAAACTTAACACAAAAAGCAGTTCCAAAGAAATTCGTTTTCAATCTAGATTATTTAAAAGTACATAGCTCCAGTGGCTTCCTAATATCGGAAGGAAGATCGTTCCAGACGGCCGCAGAAGCCGTCTGAAAGTGTGCGATGCGGTGACGATCTTGGTTCGATGGCGAGCCAAGAGCTGCTGCTGCGAGGATGACCGGAGTTTGTGTGATTGTTTATGGTCCATGATGCGATCAGCAAGATATTGTGGTTCACTCTTTGGTTCTTTCGGTGAAGCCATGTAGAAACGAGCGTGACTTTATAATGAAAATGAAGTTTGGCTTCAGGACAGCGAGAGAAATGGAGACAGACGGAGATGGACATGGAGAGAGAGAGATGTAGGCAGACAGGGAGGGAGACACATGGAGAGAGAAAGACACCGAGCGAGACAAATGAAGACAGCGACATACAGATAAGACAGACACACAAAACAAAAATAAGATGCGATACCAAGACATTACAGCGCACAGAGAGAAACAAGGAGACAGACGCACGTAGATGGACAGAAAAAAAATCAAGCAGATTGTCACAAACACCAATGGGCAATGATATTATTTAAATATTTCTTCTATTTTAGGAGAGTCATTCCCTGGGGGGAGGGCAAACAGAAAAAAAACTGCAACTTCTTGTGCTCAAGTGAGACCTCCGACACCTCGTCGACCGCGTGAAACTCAAATCGGCCAATCGAAGATCGCGCTCCCGCCCCCCCCCCCCAACAAACCTGGGGCGACAAAAACCCCCCGCGGCCATCAGCACCCGCCAAGGGGCCCCCAACGCGTTCCCAGGGTGCTCCATTAGCCGGCCGCGCCTTTCAGAGCGGGCCGGGTCAGGCGAGTCGGATTCCTCCCCGCATTACCGCCAACGGGGCGGCAGCGGCGGCACGGAGTTCCCCGCGGCTCCAAAACGGCCAAACGCGAGCGGCCCGACCGGAACGACGCGCGAGAGGCGTCGTTAATCAAAAGAGCGGCGCAGAATGCCACGGCGGCCGCCGCTACCGCCACCACCGCCGCCGCTGCCGGATAATAAACGCGCGCGACAACAGCCCCCATTCACGTCGCTCGGTGGCGTTTTTGGCCCACGCTTTTGTATTTTGCGTGGACCGGAATGTTTTTGGTTGTTTCATGTACCTGCATTGTGCGTGCGTTTATTCCCCCTTTGAAAAGGCACTGAAAAGAGGGAGGGGCAGGGTGAGGGGGGGGGGGGTCTCTTTGTTAGTGAAGGATATGAGGTCAGCAGGCGAAAAGGTGCTCACACAGACAGGGTTACTTTAAACAAAGATTGGGTTTCTTCATCGGGCGCACGTGTAATATGCTTTAAACTAAACTAAACTATTTATTTTTTATTTAACCAGGTAAGGCCCACTGAGCTGTACGGCTCTTTTTCAGAAGCGACCTGGCCATAGATGACAGCTCAACAAAGTGACGTTGATTCTAAATGTGGAGGGAAAAACAGGAGAACCCGGAGAAAAATCTACACAACCACGGGCAGAAAGAGAACATTCAAACTTCAAATATACAGGCATCAGGGTCGGGATCGAATCCACGACCTCCTGCATACCAGGCGAGGTAGTAAACATCTCCTAGCCACCGTGTCGAGATGCTAAGTAATAATAGTTGACAGCTTTTGTCAATCCACTGTTGGACAAAGTTCTCTTCACACCGTGTTGGTTTATGAGGGTTGTTTGACCATGCTTCGCCACGCTGGTCAGCGCAGGTTGGCAGCGAGGTTTAGGCCCAGGAAGGGTTCAAGACTTTGCTCGCCACTGATGCTTGCCATGGCCAAGAGTGGAACTCAGGTCTCCTGGCTCACAGTGTGGTCCACAGATATCACTAGCCACGCATTTTAGTCATAGCCCGGACTCAAACTCGGGCTCTCGGTTTCGTAGCGTGGTGCACGAACCACTCTGCCACTGGTCCCTGTACACTGCACTAACACACGCGTGCATATTGGTATAAAAAGAGTTCAATCAAATGTAGATGAGGATGTAGTTCTTTTTGGAAAAAAATTATTCCCGAATGGCGGGCAACTTATCGATGTGGCGGCTACAGAACAAAATCCGAGCAGTGCATCAATTGACATGGACAGCAGCACAGTGAGGGGTACGAGTGAGGGGGTACTGGGATGACACGGAGAATCGGTGACTCGACGCGATGCTGGAGCACGCGCACACCTCGACGACGGCTTGAGGAGGTTCCCTACGAGCTTCCTGCTGCCACTGTGCGTGGCTGTGGGTCTGAGCTACAGCCACGCCAGAGGTGTGAACCGCAAGTCTCTCTTGCACAGCTCGCGACTGCCACGTGATGCCGCGTGACTGCCGCGTGATGACGTGTGACGCACTCGGCCTCTCCGGCCTCTCTGCTACGAAACGAGGGGCCGTCACCTCGCGCGCGTCCCCTCTCGACGAACGCGTTGACAGTTTTTTTTAGTTTTGCCCTCTACGCCCGTTGCATCGCGCCCCCAACGACGCTAGGCAAGGTCACGCGCGCGTTTCCGTTCGACGCCGGACGCAGCACGTGTGCCGGCCGGGGGAATTCTCTCTCCCGTGTCGCCGCGACGGAGCGTTGGCTGCGGCGAGCCGCCGTACCTTGTATCCGTAGGGGCAGGTGCAGCGGTAGTAGTCGACGGGGTCCGCGCTGCACATGCCCTTGTTCTTGCAGGGCTCCGACAGGCACGGGCTGCACTTGGCCAGGATGGCCACGTCCGGTGGAGGCCCTGCACCAGAGACGAAGATCAACACCCACCCACTGCCAAGCGTAGCGTCCACCCGAGACCATCTGGGCGAGCGCCGTTGGCGACCGCCGACGAAGGCCGCCACGTGCGGCCGTGGTGCTCGCCGCACCACAGGGTCGGATGCAGACACCACACCGGAGTGCCCATTGTAAATAAATGGCACTGTAATTAGATATTGCTGTAAAAGCCCACATTCCTAAATCCCATTATTCATAATAATCCGTGTCCCAACTCTTTTTTTGTTTCATTAATTAGATTAATTATCTTTACATCTCTTCAATGCTATAAAACTCATCTCTCAAGAATGATCTAAAACATGACGTAGTGGTGCGCGCTTTGTAAGAGCACTGCTGTGGACACAGCAGCAAGTCCTCGCAACCGGCCCTTGGCAAGAGCTGTGAGGCAGGGCCTGATTAAAGCATTGATCGAGAGGACCTGACATTGTACACAGCGTGGTCTACAGATCGGAGTGTGTGAAAGCAAATCCAATCCCCCATTTCAGTTTAAATAAATATCTATCTATCTCTGCCTCGCGCGTACACGCGTACACAATTGCGTTTCTACATTTTTATTCAATTTCCAGTCCCGTATTTTCGTTTTTTGTGTCATCATAGAAAAAAAAAAATCATTCCCACAGCAAATTACTTTGCTTGATGTCATTTTTGATTGTCCGTACTTCAGCTGGCCGGCACGGTGCCACACACACACACACGCTCGCCCGCTCGGCAATTCACTATGGTAACGCTGGATACCAAAATGAGGAATTCACACAAAGGATAAATACACTTTTGCAGAAGCATTTGCTTGTTTTTCAGCCTGTTTGTTCCCAGAAAGGGACAAACCACACACAGAGACAAAGATGCCCCTGGAGTCGTAAATCCTGCGAATTCCGCGTGGCACATCTGGTGGTGTGGCCAGGACCACGCCCGGCCACCTTTGTATCCCCAGTGGCAATGTTTTTACACCGTACCAGGTACTTATGTAAGGCTGAACAAGTTTAGATGTCACTCGCCACTGATGATAGCCTTAGCCGGGTTCTTAGCGCAGGGCGTTAACTACCTTGCTAGCACTGCCGACAAGACAAAGATCCCCCATAAAGCTTTAACACACTGTTGAAGCAAGTGCTGTTAGCGAGCACCTATAGAGGCCGGCACAGTATGCAAAGTGGGTGGGTGAGCAGCACCACGCCAGACCGCCTTTGTCTCCCCAGTGGCTATGTTTTTTGCATACTGCACCAGGTACTCATTTGAGGTTGAGTCGACCTAGGGGAGACCCGGGACTGGTTCAGATAATCGTCACTGGTGTTGGCCGTGAGTGGCAAATTGAACTTGGGTCGCCGCTACACTGCCACTCCCAACATGCACAGTCGCGCACCCACATACACAGGCGCACACTCCGCCCGTATACACGTCGACACAACCGTCCACCTCAATCCTGCCTCCAGGCAGCAGCCGACTGCCGCTGATGGACTGCCGGTCTATTCGGGGCCAACAGTGAGCGAGGCGAGTCTCAGAACCGATGAGGACTGCAATCTTCTTCCTGTGGTCGAAATGTCTCGCTCAAGAACTGGGGCGGCCAGTTACGATGAGCGTTCCTATTCCCGGGCGGACCGTCGTGTGTGCGCGTTCATGTGTTGGTGCGTGTGTTTGTGTGCTCGCCCCTGTTGGTAGCATTTTTGTTAAATTCCTTTTTATTCATTTATATATGACATCATAATCCTTTATGAACCAAGAAATTCAACGCATTCGTCAATAACACTGTGGCCTTAAAAGGAAATACGTATTTACATGAAACATAAAGGTGATGTTTCTGGAAGTGGCCCTATATATTAATTCTATGTAATTATTATGTTATTTAAAATTTTGCACAACTGCCATCGCAGCATCGCCAAATCAGTTCTTTACTTATCCAGGACTGATTTTGAGGGTGGCCCTGCCTGGGATTTGCCGAGTCGTTATCCTGCCGGCAGGGTGACCAGGCAGGCAGATCGAACCCACACACATGGTCCAAATGCCTACTTGTTCACGGCTTTAATTGTGCAGTGTGCTTGCGTGTGTCCACATGTGTTTGTGTTCACCACGTGTCTGTGGGTTTCGTTATTTGCCTGTTGGTGTGGCTGTTTGCCGTGGCTGGCACTATTGTTGGTTTGTTTGTCCGTCCGCTATTCCGTCGGTTCGTTTACGTTCTGCACAGTTTCCCTACTTTTGGAGGAACAAAAAGCGGCAACATTCACAGACTACGAGACAAAACATTTAAAAGCCACTGGAGCTATGCACCTTTAAAGCTAAATTTAAAACTAAATTCTTGAGAACTGCTTTTCGCGTCGTCCTTCCATCGCACCTCCGATTAGCACGGTTGGCTACGTACGGTGCGAAAGAAGCTCAGCATACAAACAGACATACCTTGGCAGACGAAGAGCTTGGAGGGCGTCGTGAGCAAGAGCTTGCCCTCCATCTCGCTGGGGCCGATGCACTGAGCGATCCCCGGCTCCTTGTACCCCACCTTTACCCAGTCGGAGAGCCAGCGCAGGGCGCAGTCGCAGTACAGCGGGTTGGCGCCGAGGGCCCTGCGGTGAAAACGAAGAGCCAACGTCACCGTCAGGAACGGCAATGCGGTGCAAGTGGCGGGCGCAAGCACGTCACTTGAGTTCGATTCCAGGCCATGGCTAACGTCAGTGGCGGGTGATGCGTGGATTGGTGCTGTCCCCCACCCTCCACGCCGCTGCCGCCAAAACCAACCTGCAATGGACCTAGGGGAGGCCCAGAACCAGTTCAAATACTCATCACCGATGTTGGCTGACAGCGGTGAATCGAACTCGAGTCATCACATTTGTCGCGCAGTGCGCCGACCACTATGCCACCGCTCCCCGTGCACACACATACACACACTAATGCACGCACGTGTCCCATTGCGTTTTATAGGATCCTTAAGACTCGGAGCGTTTGTCGTTTGGGAAGAATCTGGAATACCTGGAGAAAACCTATCACGCATGTGAAGGAGAGGGCCCGGGTGGGTGGGTAGGGGATAACACACTCACATTTATTTCTGCACAGGTGGATCTGATCATTCACCGCACACACACGTCGTACGCCCGCACGCCCACGCAGAGTGTGAATGTCTGCTTCGAGGGGTTGGCGTGGCAGCACTCACAGGTGTGAGAGCGAGGTCAGGTCGCCAAAGGCTCCATCCGGCACCATGGAGATGTCGTTCCCATGCAGGGATCTGTGGCAGAGAACACGCAGGCGTGTGCATGTTGTTGCCATGGCACGTGCACGCGCGTGTGTGTGTGCGGGGAGCGGCAGTGAAGTGGTTAGCGCACTTCACTAAGAACTCGGCGACCCAAGTTTGATTCCCGCTCACGGGCAACACCAGTGACAATTATCTGAACTGGACCTGGACCTTCCCTAGGTCGACTCAACCTCGAATGTTTACCTGGTGCAACATGCAAAAACTTCGCCACTTGGGAGGCAAAGGAGGCCGGGCATGATGCTGGCCACCCACCCCCTCGTGTGTGCCGTGCCGGCCTTCATATGTACTCGCCAACAACGCTTGCCCCAACAGTCTGTAAAGGCTACGCGGGGGATCTTTGTCTTTGTTTTGTTTCGCAGCAGGCGTGCAGACGTGAACAACGCGCGGTCGCGAGGGTTTTGCAACGCCGCGCCGATTCGCCCACTGCTTCCGATTCTCCCGCTCGTGACATATCGGTCAAATTGCGCGCGCAAGACCAACGCGAACGTTGCGCCGAGGTTAGTCGAGCGAACGGCTGTTTAGAAAAATACACGGCGCAAATTACACTGAGAAGTTCTACCGACCTTCTGTGAGGGTCCGGACCACTTTCGTTTGGTCTCATGGTGACCGAAGATCACTTAGGACACCTAGGGTTCAGTGTTAATTCCCGAGGTTTTAAAGAGCCAGGCTCACCCAGTAACATGGAACGTTGCGGCAACGTTGGGCCAACGGTTCCAACCGCATGCCGACGTTTGTATGTTTATGGGGAAGGCACAGAGATTCCATAGAAGGGGGTGCCCTTAAGAGTCTGTTTGGCCAATTCCAATTCGATTGGGAAGAACCAAGAGTACGTGGAGAAAACCCACTAAACACATGAGGGTAGCTACACACTCGAAGCTCTGCACAGATGGATTCGAGAATCCAACGCTGTACTGCAATATGGTGGTCACCTCGTGGATTGACTGTCAGAGTTGACACATCGTAGAAAGCTGAGGGCAGTGCAGCAAAATCTATTATTGTACCGTACTTATATGCTCCCGTGTGCCCCGCCTTCATAAATCCGCACTGACCAGCGTGGTGAAGTATGGTCAAATGACACATACAAACTGCACAGTGTTGAGGCCCTCATACGATAGTCGACAGACATAAATGGTTGTATATGTACACGTATAATTATTTTGTTTTTCACTAAATATCTTAGACATCTTACATATATATTTAACAAAAACTTACAGTACTCGGAGTGACTTGAGCCCCATGAAAGCCTTTTGCGGAACGCACCTCAGCCGGTTAAAGCTAAGAATCCTGCAAAACGCCAAAAACAATCACGAATTAAACGCGAGAAATTAAACATCAGCTGGCGCCACTGAGATCCGTTTGTTAGAATCCGGGTAGACACCTGCGATTAATCTGGGTTCTCGAGCGCAGCCAGTTGATGGTTTTAGACCCGGTCACCGACAGCTACACACACACACACAAAACCCCATCACAATTAAATGTGGGGTTTTTGTCCAACGTAATGGTTAAATTCCAACGCTACGACGTATAAAAGCGACGCACAGCGAGGGGCCCCTTGAAGTGATTTTGGGAAGTAGTAGTTCTGTGACATTGTCGTTGGGAAGTATTTCTGAGACATCGTCTTCTGCGACATCGTCTTCTGCGACATCGTCTTCTGTGACATCGTCTTTGGGAAGTATTTCTGCGACATCGTCTTCTGCGACATCGTCTTTGGGAAGTATTTCTGCGACATCGTCTTCTGCGACATCGTCTTTGGGAAGTATTTCTGCGACATCGTCTTCTGCGACATCGTCTTTGGGAAGTATTTCTGCGACATCGTCTTCTGCGACATCGTCTTCGGCGACATCGTCTTCGGCGACATCATCTTCTGCGACATCATCTTTGGGAAGTATTTCTGAGACATCGTCTTCTGCGACATCGTCTTCTGTGACATCGTCTTTGGGAAGTATTTCTGCGACATCGTCTTCTGCGACATCGTCTTCGGCGACATCGTCTTCGGCGACATCATCTTCTGCGACATCATCTTTGGGAAGTATTTCTGCGACATCGTCTTCTGCGACATCGTCTTCGGCGACATCGTCTTCTGCGACATCGTCTTCTATGACATCGTCTTTGGGAAGTATTTCTGGACATCGTCTTCTGCGACATCGTCTTCTGCGACATCGTTTTCTGTGACATCGTCTTTGGGAAGTATTTCTGCGACATCGTCTTCTGCGACATCGTCTTTGGGAAGTATTTCTGCGACATCGTCTTCTGCGACATCGTCTTTGGGAAGTATTTCTGCGACATCGTCTTCTGCGACATCGTCTTTGGGAAGTATTTCTGCGACATCGTCTTCTATGACATCGTCTTTGGGAAGTATTTCTGGACATCGTCTTCTGTGACATCGTCTTCTGCGACATCGTCTTCTGTGACATCGTCTTTGGGAAGTATTTCTGCGACATCGTCTTCTGCGACATCGTCTTTGGGAAGTATTTCTGCGACATCGTCTTCTGCGACATCGTCTTCGGCGACATCGTCTTCGGCGACATCGTCTTCGGCGACATCATCTTCTGCGACATCATCTTTGGGAAGTATTTCTGAGACATCGTCTTCTGCGACATCGTCTTCTGTGACATCGTCTTTGGGAAGTATTTCTGCGACATCGTCTTCTGCGACATCGTCTTCGGCGACATCGTCTTCGGCGACATCATCTTCTGCGACATCATCTTTGGGAAGTATTTCTGCGACATCGTCTTCTGCGACATCGTCTTCGGCGACATCGTCTTCTGCGACATCGTCTTCTATGACATCGTCTTTGGGAAGTATTTCTGGACATCGTCTTCTGCGACATCATCTTGTGCGACATCGTTCTTCTGCGACATCGTCTTCTGCGACATCGTTCTTCTGCGACATCGTCTTTGGGAAGTATTTCTGCGACATCGTCTTCTGCGGACCGGGGCCAATTGCCGAATGGGAATGCCATCGTCTAATTGACACCGCACCGAGAGCACAATCGTAAATATAATTGTGGAAAAAAAATACAACGGAAAAATGTCGACATCGTGTGCCTGACTCACCGCTGCCATCTCACCGTTCCCGCCCGCATGCACGCCTGCACCACTTAAAGCCTGTGGCAGGCAACGCTCGGCTCCTATTCGCGAGTCTGCTGCAGCAGCGCCGGTTTAATGGGGTGCCACCTGCAATCAGCGTCACGTCGCCGGCTACGTGGGTCACGGAGCCGCCGTGTTGGAAAGCGAACGCCGGTGCCTCCGCAATGGCTATGCAGAGATCGATAAGAATCTGCCGCAGTTAAATTTTGTTTTTACATTTTTAGCCGTTCCGAAAAAGCTATTTCGTTACGGCACTAAGGTCGAGTTGCCTTGAGGAGTTGTGGTCCGTGTAAGGATTAAAATTGCAATGATTTTTTTTACGTGCTTTTATTATGACAATCATGATTTTAAAATGTCTTAAAACTGTACGTAGCATGGATGCAATTGTGAGGGGCTTGTTTATCTGAGCGAGACAGACTGATTGAAGGAGGGGATGCTAATTGTGAAGGTGAACAACGGTCTGCATCTGCTGTTGTCTGTTGGAGCACTTGCCCCAACAGCCTGTTAGAGGCTATATGGGGGATCTTTGTCATTTGGTTTTGTACATATGCGTGTGTGTGTGTAGTATTGAGCCCTTGGCGCAGTGGATAGTGCACTGTGCTTTGCAACCCAGGAAAGTAGAATAATCTCTTGGCCTCAAATAATATTCGTGGCAAGTGGTATCTGAACATGTTCCGGGACTTCCCCTGATGCGACTCAACTCTAAATAAGTAGCTGCTGCAGCGTACAACTTTCCATCAGCACTGGAGTGACAGAGGTGGATGGGGCTTGCCGCTCGCCTTGCCACTCCTGCGTGTGTCATTCCAGGCCGGAATAGAAAACTCAACACCCTGGTTCGTAACGCATCGTCGCAAGCAACATTGACTGTGACGTGTGTTGAGTTTCTTTTAGTTTTTTGCGCGCCACTGCCAACGCAGCAGCATCATCACCAAGTGCATATGTAAAATAATATGTAAATAAATAGGTGCTTACTAACATAACTTGCCACGACAATGTTCAGTATATGGCGATCGGGGGGATATTTGTCTTTGTGGTGAAATTAATACACAAGAGTGGTTTAATCACATATTTAATTTACAGCGTTGAAGAGGGAGACAGCTGCCTCACTCACAGGGTAGACAGCTGACTCATGTTGGCGAATGAGAAGTTGGCGATGGTGCTGATCCTGTTGTTACTCAGGTCTCTGCAAGAATGGAAAAGTAGAAAAACACGGAACTCGGGTAAACCCATTTTGTTCATAATATTATGAGCGCTATTATTATTTTCTTCTCGGAATTAAACAAGCCCACGGTCTACTTGGAAATATTGAAAACGCACGTTCCGCATGAAATATGCGTGCGATACAGTAAAATAAAATAAGTCAGGAACAATTTTTATCTTGGCGCATGCCTTTTCCTCTCTCTCTCTCCGACTCGTAAAGCAAGCAACCCACTACCACTACTACCACCACCACCACCACTTCCACCACTACTACCACCACTACCACCAACAATACCACCACCAACAATACCACCACCACTTCCACCACGACTACCACTGACCCATCATCATCAACACTGCAACCCACTACCACCACTACCACCACCCCCACCTCTCACACATAAACGATTTTGCTCGCTGCCACTCACAGATAAAAATAAGAAAGCATGGAGAAAAAAAAATAATTGCTAAGAGATAAAATTATTTATCGACTGACAGTTTAACTAATGTTTTCCAGCGGGTGCAGAATTTCACTATGGCCTATTAGGACGAATTCCCACGGTTCCTAATGGGTAGTGGGTCCTTGACACGTGTGCGTGTGTGCGTGTGTGCGTGTGTGCGTGTGCGCGTGTGTGCGTGTGTGCGTGTGTGCATGTGCGCGTGTGCGCGTGTGTGCGTGTGCACGTGTGTGCGTGCGCGTGTGTGCGTGTGTGCGTGTGTGCGTGTGTGTGCGTGTGCGCGTGTGTGCGTGCGCGCGTGTGCGTGTGTGCGTGTGTGCGTGTGTGCGTGTGCGCGTGTGTGCGTGTGTGTGCGTGTTCACATGTCGGGACGGTAACGAGGTTGGAGGAAGGACAACGGGGTGACCTCATGTTCACCACGAGCGGGCGACAAGGCAAAATGTCAAAACTAGGCGATTCCCCCTCCTGGTATTGACAGCGATTAACACCGATCCCTAGGAATCCTAAACGTGCCTTAATCAGACTCTATGAGCCTCAAACGTTACTGTAATGGACCATAGGAATACTGAAGTTGCCTTATTCAGTCTTTCGGTAAAGTCACGTAGATATGTTCAACCTATCCACGTGACTTTTCCGAAAGAATATGAATTCCTGCAGTCGTGAAAGCTTTAAGTCAAGATTTGCCTTAATCAGGTTTTGCGGGGAGCCTTAAGACATTAACTCTGAATCCGAGGAATCCGAACAATGCATTAGTGTGGCTCTATGAGCCTCAAGCATCTCAAACTGTCCCACGCGCTGACGACTGATGCCACAATTGATTTATATATTTTGTTTAGGAGCATTTGCCTGCGTTGTTGGTATGAAGCTTAAGTCAAACGTTTTGAATTTTGATTTAAAGCTTTCGTGACTGCAGTGATTCATATTATTGGTTCTTTCGGTAAAGTCACGTTGAAGGGAAACAATAAAATAATAAAATATATATAAAACAATAAAATTCTCACGACGTTTCGACTGCAACACAAGCAGTCATCATCAAGTGTGAAAACCAACGGCAAGAACCGCCACTTCTTTCAAATGTTCTTGCCGTTGGTTTTCACACCTGATGATGACTGCTTGTGTTGCAGTCGAAACGTCATGAGAATTTGATTGTTTTATATATATTTATTATTTTATTGTTTCCCTTCAACGTTATTTTACCGTAAGAACCAAGAATATCAAACGTTTTGGTCGGATAGCACTTTAAAAAAGGTCGCAAATAAATCCGCCGCACCGCCAGCCTCCACCATCACCCCCCCCACCGCCCCCCCACTACGGCGGTTAGCAGAGCTGACAGAGACGCGGCAGGGTGCGAGCTGAGAGTGCCGCTGTGATTGTGCGTTTGGGCTCCAGTGCAGCGGGACCCACATGAGTTTCAGGTTCTTGAAGTTGGCCAGCTCCCGAGGGACCATGGTCAGCTGGTTCCCATCAAGGTATCTGTAGACGGCACGTGCACACACACGCACACATACACACACGTGCACACACACACGTCCACACACGCACACACACACACGTGCACACACGCACACGCACACGCACACACGCACACACACACACACGTGTGCACGAACACTCACACACGATTCACACGCATAAGCACGCAAGGCACACGCACAAGCATGCGCACGCGCACAGGCGCACACAATTGTTAAGACATTTTTTCATCAATTTCATTTAATTGCAATAATTGAGCAATAGCTGTGCCTTACATAACGGAGTGACAGCGAAAGTGCCCAAACAATTTCAGTGCGCTGACGGCAGTGGTAGTTTACTAAATGAGCACACACAAGCCCACCAGCGCACACAAGCGCACCAACGCACCTCCGATGAGCACGGTTGGCTATGTATGGTGTGAAATAAGCTATAAAGACATATATATATACAAAGATTCCCCATATACAGTAAAACCTTGGATTGCGAGCATAGTTCGTTCTGGAAACGTGTTTGTAATCTAAAGCACTCGTATATCAAAGCTCTCGTATATCAGTTGTGACCACGTAAAGCTTGGCAGACAAAGCGTCAATACGTACACTGCTCGTATTGCAAGACCCTTGCTCGTTTATCAAATTAATATTTATTTAAAAAATTTGCTCGTCTTGCAAAACACTCACAGACCAAGTTACTCGCAATCCAAGGTTTTACTGTAGCTTAAACAGACGGTTGGGGCAAGTGTTGTTCAGGGAGCACTTGTGATAGCACCTCACTCGATGGCCGTTTGGTGGCCAACATGAGGGCTCGGCTGTCTCTTTCCCTAATGCGCACTAGGTACTAGTTTAAAGCTGAGTCGATCTAGGGGTCGGCCCAGGGCCAGTTCAAATGAATGAACGAGCACGCGTGGCCGTACGTATGGACGTGGACACGCACATGCGGGCAACGCACCGTGAACAAAGCAACGATGCTGCCTGGTGGTTTCTCAACAACACAATAACAAATACAAACACCTCCGCTTTGAAACCTAAAATCGCAGGAAAGGGAGTTGTTTGCGTTCGTGATGAAGCAGGAAAACGAGCGACGCCGGATCCATGATCAGTCCAAAGCCTGAGCCCAATTCACTGCTGTTGATTCTATGGCAGGAGCTAATAGGGGGGAAAAGTGAAAGCAGGCCTTCGATGTTGTCACAACGGATGGTAGAAAAACAAGAAATCCTTCAGAGTAGCGCAGCTTGGGATAATATAATAGTTGTGATTTTTAAGGTAAATATATTTAATCGGATTGTATTTGAGCGTGAAAAACTTTACTATGGTATGTGATTCTTGTTATTGCTGCGTGTTTACTGAGGAGAAAAGAACAAAGATGATGGTGATAGTGGATGATTGATGATGATGATAATTACAATCATGATGAACATGTTTCGTTGAAGGGCTGACTATATCATAAGACCTCCTTTGCCAGCACCAATTGGGTCGAGGCTCAAAAGAAAGCCATCCCTTGGTGTGGACCAATCCGTTTCAAGGACAATGCATATATTATTATAGGATGTGTTTTTTTTGCATTTTGACTGCAGGTATTGTGGTTAATGCAGACATGAATCCTCGTAAAAAAGGTTTCAGTTTTGTTGCCAAAAAAGGGGAAAAACCCTATTCTTATATCTGGGCTGACTATTGTTCTGGTGCTACTGTTAAAAATCACGATCACGTTGATAATGATGACGATAATGATGACGACGATCACAATTCCGCCGACAACGCCGACAGCTAATCACGGCGTCGGCGGTGCGCTCTGCCCGCTCGCGTGCTGGCGAGGGCTCTCACATCTCAGTGAGGTCGCGCGGGATGCCCTTGGGCAGGGCGTTGAGGTCGTGGTTGCTGCACCGCACCACCGTGTCCAGGCAGGTACACTCCGCGGGGCAGCGCACCGCCGGGGCACAGCTGTTCTCCTCGTTGCCTGCACCACGGTCCACAAACGGGGGGGGGGGTGGTGTTTAAACTCTAAACTATTGTTTTATTTCACCAGGTAAGGCCCACCGAGCTATATAGATCACACGGACACACGTGTACATATGCACAGAAAGATGAATGGATGGACAAACGCACAGGCGGATCGACGTATAGCTAGCTGCGGAGAGAAACAGCAACTCGAACCCGCAGACAGACAGACCGATGCACGCGTAGATGGAAGACAATTAGAAGAGACTTTGACAGACACACAGACAGAGAAAGAGAGAAACAGAAGCACGGACAACCAGGCAGGTAAAACGACAAACAAACGGACGGACAGAATGACAAATGAAGACACACGACCGGGAGGTCCGAGGACTAAACTAAAACTGAGCTATGTACGGTAACTGTTTTTCAGAAGCGACCCGGATATCACAAATGCTAGCTCAACAGAGTGGCTTATCATCACGTGGCAATTTTTATAGCAGCCAAAAAACTCTAAAGGCACGTCAAAACGAAATGCGGAGGGGAAAAACCGGAGGACCCGGAGGAAAAAAAGAAATCTGCGTTCGAGTTCACGTGTCCGTCTTCCTGCCTTTCAGTCATAATTCCACGCACACGCATCTTGTCAACGCTTCTTGATTCGTTCGTGTGTCTGTCTGATATTCATCTGTTCTGTTTTAAGCAGCATTGTCATCGATTGTCTCCGGTGTAACGTGAGAACTGCCTAAGCAGAGCTATATATATAGAGAGACGAGTCTTACATTGTTACAGTTCATTTAACGGAGTTCACATATTTGTTCCACGAACAAATATATCAGGCGCCGCCGCCGTGGTGGTGAGCGCACTGCTTAGAATCGGAATGCTGCGAGTTCAAATCTCGGTCACGGGGTCACGCCGGCCAATAATCTCACTGCGGTTGATAAAACGGGTACAACTTTGTTGGAAACCCGCAGTGGATGTCCTCCCTAATTAAGCAGACTCACATCTCCACCACGGCAATGTGGATTTCCCGCCACCACTCCCGCGAAAGTATAAATAGAAAATTCCCATAGTCCCACGCTCAATTCACGTGGGGACCCACTTCCACTTGCGTCGTCGACGCCTCTTTTAGAAAACAAAAAGAGAAAAGGTGATCGTCAACCTGTTGAGTAATTCATCATCGAGGAGACGCCTTGAGAGTGCAGTGAACCGGGCGACCCTCGACGTCCCACTTGGGCCCACGGCGGAGTGGGGGACTGCAACTTGCACCCCCCCCCGCCACCCCAGCAGCCTCACGACAATCAGCAGCAGATCGCAATCGGCTCTCGTCACGCGACTGTCCCTGGAGATCCGGTCAGAACCTTTAGACCCCCACCACCCCCGTCGCGGCGACGTCTCAGCAAGAAAAGAGCCCCCCCCGCCCCCCCCGCCCCCCCACCCCCCCACCCCGACTACCGAGGAAAAGAAGCAACAGCCACACGAGAGGTGTACGCTGCTCATAAACCCTTTCAAGCAAAAGAAAACAGACACGAGCAGATGCTATCGTTGGCGTGGACAGCAGCGGGCTCGCTCGTGTGTGTGTGTGTGTCAGGGCTTATTACGCATTCCTCCACAGCTGGCTGCTCTGCTGAATATCAAGGGCCTGGCTTAAAACGACTTTGTTTTCTTACACAATAGGCCAAGGAGAAAATAATAAATGCTCCGTGTTATTCCACTTCTTATCTGTCTCTGCGCGCTGCCATTAACTCTCCCTTCGTCTCCATCTCGTCCTCTCTCGCTGTTTTTTACGGCAGCCAAAAGGCTACTTGTTTGCCGTGCCCGGGAAATGTTGCGTCCATCCGTGCGTCCGTCCACCGAGGGACGCGTCGCGTGCACTCCACAAAACCCTGTCGGGCGATCGCAATGGAAGGCTTTACCACGGAGCTTGCCGATGCCATTTCCCCGATCTAGACGCCGCACATTACGAGCAAGATAGTCCATTAGTCTTTTACCATTTCCTAAACTCCAGCCTTCGCGACGCGCCGTGGTTACGAACGCCCGCACGACGCGAGCGGGCCGCCTGCACGTGTGCTCGTGCGCACACGCTCCCCGTGCGGTAGCTTCGCGTGACAAAACGGAGAAGCTCCCTTGACGGGCTGGCTTGCCAGCTTGTTCGTTTCCCCCCCCCCCCCACCCCGTCCACCCCCATCCGCCTCCCCACAAATCCTGCTGCGTGGCTGGGTTCTTTAACTCGGCAGGAGACAAACACGGCTTGCATTAGCCAGGATCCGCCGCTCTTCTGCGCGTCGCCGCTGACCCCGGTGGAAGAGGTCTGCAGACTTCACCCGGCCCCGTGGGACCGTCTGCGCCCGCGATGCTGCTCACACCGCCCCCCACCCCCCACCACCGCCATCCCAGCGATTGGGATGGATTACGAGCCCGCTGTTTGTCTTGTGAATGCTGCAGCAGAAGGAACTTTCTGCTGCTACTGTGAAACGTGGTCTGCCACACTCCGCCCCAACCCGCCGGTCAACTGCCCCTCACCCCCCCCGCCCACCCCACCTCGGATGCCGCAAGAGAACCTTCGATCCGGCTTCGTGGAAGATTGGGCGACGAATGAAATGCGAAGGCGCGCAGACGAAGGGAGGAGAGATGTTTAGATGGAGAGGCAGATCGCAGGCAGACAGACAAACAGACAGGCAGGGGAGACTGATAGGGATAAACGTTTGTGCACACAGATAGATGGCAGAGAGATTACATGGATATGAAGACAATTGACAGGGAACGGAGAGAAACAAACATATACACTCACATCGACAGACAGAAGGACGGATGGACACAGGGAGCATTATAAAAGCTGATAGAGAGATGGACAGGCAGAACGGCAGGCAAAGGGAGAAACTGAGAATGAGGAAAACTACACAAAAAAGGCAAAGACCCCACCCGTTATAGCCTTTAACAGACTGTTGGGGCAAGTGCTTTTAGCGAGCACCTATGAAGGCTGTTACGGCACATGAGGGGGTGGGTGGCAAACACCCCGCCCGGCCGCCTTTGTCTCCCCAGTGGCGACGTTTAATCACCGCATCAGGAACTCATTTTGAGGCTGTGGCGATCCAGGGGAAGCTCACGACCGGTTCAGAAAATCGTCAATGGTGTTGGCCGTGAGCGGGAATCGAACTCAGGTGGCCGGGTTCGTAGCGCAGTGTAGTTCTAACCGCTACACTACCGCTCCCCATACGCTGACACAGACACACAGACATACATACAGGCAGAAAGATGATGAATGGATGGACAAATTGACAGGTGGATAGACATATTTCTAGCTGCATTGAGAAACAACAATCAAGCTCACAGACAGACTAATCCATCCTCAGATGGAAGACAATTAGAAGAGACGTTGACAGACACACGGAGAGAAACAGAAACACAGACAACCAGGCAGGTGAAACAGACCAACAGATAGACAAACAAGACAAACAAAAGCTATTTTTCAGAAGTGACCAGTCCACAAATGGTATCTCAACAAAGTGGCTTGTCACGTCGAAATTGATAGCAGTGGCAAAATACTGGAAACGCACGTGGATTCTAAATGTGGAGGGAAAAACCGGAATACCTAGAGAATGATCTACCCGACCACGGAGAGAGATAGACTCCAAATATACAGCAGGCGTCAAGGTCGGGATCGAACCCACGATCTCCCGTAGACCAGACGAGGTAGTTTTTGTTGTTGTTGTTGTTCTAACAAAACGTGCGCCCGGTACAGCACGCCACACGGCTCGCATAACCGGGTGTCACAATTCACGGAGACTAGGTTCTGACGCACCGGGACCAGATGGGGGGGGGGGAGGGTCAAAGGTAGGGAGAGGGAGCCGGCCCCCCACTGCACCAACCAAGCGTGAGGACACCGTGGAAATGTACACGGGGAGGGAGAACAGGCGAGGTAGTTAACATCTCCTCGCCGCCGTGGTGGCGGTCAGCACCGCGCTCTCTCGTTACCGTCGCACGAGAAGTCCTGGGCGGCGACGTCGAGCACGGGGATCTCCTTGAGGAAGTACGGCTTCTGGCAGCGCGGGTTCCCCGTCACGATGCGCCGCCGCCGCAGCCACTCACCCAGCCACGCCAGGTGGCAGTTGCAGTTGAAGGGGTTGGCAAGGAGGTTGCTGCACACGCACGCACACACACACACCACGCACACACGCACACACGCACACACGCGTAGCCGCCACAGCGGGAGGGGGGGGGGGGTTACGGCGAGCCCAATCACGTCACCGCTTGTGGTGGTCGCTTGCGTGTCGTTCCCGTGACCGGCAGCAGGGTCTTTCTATCAGCGTTTACCGTCACTCGTGAAAAAAAGAACAAAAATTACAACAAAAATGACGTTTTATTTTGATCCGTCAGGCGACCTGGGTGGGGGGGGGGGGGGGGTTGGGCGGGGAGGGGTTGGGCAGTGGGGGCCATTCCCGACAAAAAGTTTTCCAACAGCGTAAACACCGCTGTGCGCAACACAGTGGAACATTCTGGGTAAAAGCGCAGATCTGAACATTTCTTGCTCATGCAACTGTTGGCGGAAGGGCCTTCACTCGAGGGATCTCTACGGAGACCCTCCAGAAGGTACCTTGGTCTCCTCTACCATGCTGGGAGAGGTGGGTGTACCCACACTTACTCACTGTGGTGTCACCCATTCATTGTCCTGGTCGGACTGAGGAGTGGAGGGCATGAAAGAAACCTGCACACTGCCGTTTCAACTGGCGTGCTGTGAGAACAACGCGGCATGCTAACCATTACACATGGCGAGAGCACCCCAGGTGTCTCCGCATAATTACATTTCAAGCTCTGACCGTACCCTACCTATCTACCAGGCTTACAATGTGCATATATCAATTCGCACCATTGCCTGGAAACTTAGAACATTACGATGGAGGTCCATATGCCTCCCACACACACACACACACGTATATATATGTGTGTGAAGGGCATATTTATTTTGAAATAGATTGTATATTAATACTTGGAACAAAAATGTAAGCTTTATACATGCTCTGTAACTTGCGGAGAACGTCGTGTTTACAAAACGTGCCTTTGTGAGCGTAAATACTTTCTTTGTCACGCATGTAAGTCTGCCTGCTCCAGTCGAATCGTCACGCAAAAACGGTAGCTCGAAGACTTTCCTCTGGCTCTGACCTCTGCCCTGAAATAACAAACAACCCTTAACCTCGCCCGGCGTGCCGCCCTCCATTCCCTCTGTCTGTTGTCTCTGCAATCAGAGACAACGAACCACGGTGAACCGCTCGTTATTCATCGCGTGCTCATTATTAATCGAGTGCCCGCGAAGCAGCGACGCTTCAAACGCAGCCAGCGACCACAGCCCCTGCAAGGACTGAAATCATTCGAATTTAAACCAAAACTCCCACCCCCCCCCCCCGCCCCCCTATTCATCCATAAGGGCTGTAAAACCTCGCTATGTAAGGCGGGCGACGCTCAGCCAAGCGTTTCGACTAAAGCAAGAAATGTCACCATATTGGGGTCGCTATTCAAACTCGAGAATCAATTAATATGATTGTTGCAATTATTATAATGTTCTACTGTGGTGAATTCAAGGTCCCTCGTGGCTGCAGCAGGGGTCGTGTGAAGTCGTTGCGTGCGATAAAATCGAGATCTCGACGGACTTAAAACAAACGGCTCTCACACTCTTGCAGGCCGATGCGTGCATCGCGAGCGTGAAAATCGATTTTGGTTGATCAAACGATCGACAAATTAATGCAATCTACGAGAAGTCAGTTCTAAAGCTGCGCGTTCCTTGAATTGTCCGTAACAGGGAAGGGTGTCCCAGGCATTGCTCTCCTGCCCGCGCCAAGTTCCCTTCGCGACTCGGAAAACGGCACCGCCGCTTGGGATGCGGCGGTTTTGTGATGAAAATGCTGCCCCCTTCCCTCTGCACCGCAACATTTCAGCCCCCCCCCCACCCCCGAGCGTGACATTCGTTCGTGCTGCTCACAGCGTGGACAGGGAGTGAAGCGTTCCGAAGGCCCCCAGGGAGATGGTCGTGATCTGGTTGTCATAGAGCGAGAGGAGGCGCACGGAGCCCAGGCCCGTGAACGACTCGTTGTTGATGCAGGTCAACTTGTTGGTGCGCAGCATCCTGCGCACAACACGGGCGGGGGTGGGGGAGGGGCGGGCGAGACGGAGACGGTGGAGAGATGAGTTAGGAAATAATGAGTGACACAGAGACGCTCGACATAGAGAGACACGGACAGTAGCGGGGTTCCGCAAATTATCTGGAGATTGTAAGTCGTGCGCACGCATTCACACGATGGCTTTTCTGCGATTGCCGAATTACATCGGGGTGCGCTCTCATCCGTTTGTAATTCAACAATGAGGGCTCGGACGGCGATGATTTAGCATGCGGCGCGTCAAAGCGGATCTTTCAGAGGCGTTTAAAATTACATGTTGCGTTTAATTTAAGCGATCACTTAGAAACCTTCATAAATGTTTAAACACAATAATTCTTGCCTTTAATTTGCATTATCATATTATCTCATAATACGCGCACGCTCATCACGCACTTCATCGTGTAATCATCCTGTCGAATGAATTATCTGGGAGCCAGCTGTCAGGGTAAGTGGGGGAAGGGGAGGGGACTGAAGGGGGAGGGAGGGGGGCCTTGGTGAGGGAATCCACTCACAGTCCGAGGCTGCACCGTAAACAGCACATGCGCACCGACCGCCGTGAAGCGCGCCGTGGCACGGTACGCGATAACTTGGTGCGCTGTGCGGTGTAGAGCGGATCGGGCTCGCGTGGGGAGGCATTTGTTGCCGTTGCCTGGTGCGGCCTGGGCGTCCGTAGCTTGCGGCAGGGTTTGGCTGGGCATGGAATCGAATAAGGTGTGTGTCGCGTGGTATCTCGAAGCATGGCACAGCATGGCGCATAGCACGCACATGGTGCAGTGTCGCGAGGCAAAGTTGTATCGTAGCGGTTGCGGTCATACGGTCACGCGGCATGACATTGGCCTGGCATAACGCGATGTACTCCGGTGCAGCATCGGCCGATCTGGCGCAGCGTAATGTGGCACGGCGCGGCACGGCAACGGTATCGCTCGGCCCGGGCACGGAGGCCATGGTGGGGGGGGCGGGTGGTGGGGGGGGGGCCTGGCCGTGTAGCTCACAGCGTCTTGAGGTGCTGCAGGCCACGGAACATAGCCCCGTTCACGTTCTCCAGGCGGTTGGCGCTCAGCTGCAGCTCGTTGACGCCTGCGGCGCCCTCGAAGGCGCCCGCCTCGATGTCGGCGATCTTGTTATTGCTCAGGTTTCTGGCGAGAACGAGAAAGTGGGGACGATGTCGATGAAGTCGCGGGGGTAGGTGAAGGGGGGGTGGGTGAGCCGCTTGGTCGGGTTCGGGAAGTTGCCGTGCGGGGACCCGTCTGTCGCCGTGAGCCGGGCGTCGCGATCGGTCAATGAGCGCAGGCAGGAGACCGCAAGTGGGTGGACGCCTGGGGTTTTTCATGGACATTTGGTGGATGATGATGATGATGATGATATAATGATGATGGAACTAAAAATGATGGTGATATTATGGGAGTGTTGATGATGATGATGATTATACAATTTGCCATCAGACAGCCAATAGACTACAGCAGCTGTATAATGAAGACAATGTGGATAATGAGGTTGATCACGATGAATGGTACGAGCACGTTGCTAGGAGTGGTCGTGTTAACACCACAATTGCTCCTGTAAAGAGTTCAACACGTTCATTTATCGGTATTCATGAATTCACCCAACGGTAATCTGACGAATTGTCTCCATACAAGAGTCATGGTTCATTTGCATTGCTCACCACCCCCCCGTCTCGATTACTTAAGTCGCGCACGCTCCGCAAGCCTCCATGTGACATTACCCTATCAGTCACACGTGATTTGGAGAAATCATCCAATAACCAATCCGCACAACCCCTCGATTCCAGGCATCGTGAGATCGTGAGGACAATAAGTACGCGTGTACGTACGTACGTACATTGAACTGCATTCGCACCGTGCGTAGCAAACCCTGCTTATCGGAGTGGGCTAACGACGAATTGGCGCGCCGCACGGGCAATCGTCGTTCGTGACGGGGGCGCGACGCGTTTGGTCGAGGCGAGGTCGTGCGCGCACGCGCGCTCTCTCACATGCGCTGCAGATGCGGCAGCTTCTTGAAGATTCCCGTCGCCTCCAGCACGCTGAGCTCGTTGTTGTTCAGCCGGCTGTGGAAACAGAGCGCAGGACTCGGCACATCGATAACAAGAAAGCATCTTGCGGTTGTATATTGGCGTAACGTTCTTTCCTTTTTTTAGCGCACGTGCTGAGCACATGGCCCATCGTCTTATTGCGCAAATTATCCAGCAACAGAAACGGGGACTAATAGAGGTTAAGAGTACACCTGGTAAGAATACAGCAGGTAATAGTACAGCAGGTAAAGAGTACAGCAGGTAATGGTACAGCAAGTAAGAGATAGCAGGTAAAGAGTAGAGCAAGGAAGAGACAGCAGGTAAGAGTACAGCAGATAATAGTATAGCAAGTAAGAGTACAGCAGGTAAAGAGTAGAGCAGGTAATGGTATAGCAGGTAAGAGTCTAGCAGGTAAAGAGTACAGCAGGTAATGGTATAGCAGGTAAGAGTACAGCAGGTAAAGATTAGAGCAAGTAAAGAATGCAGCGAGCAAGTTCCTCGACCTGGGCGAGATTAAAGGAACTTGGAAAAGAGACAAAAGACAAATGAATAAAGGGCGTGGACATTGCTGTATCACAATCCAATTGCTGTTACCGTGAATGCACACACGACTAAATACATCGTTCGGGCTGTTCATGTACGTTGTATGTATGTATGGTAAACTTCTTCCGCACCGTACGTAGTCAACCGTGCTCATTGGAGGTGCGGGGCAAAGGATAACGAACTAAAGGCACAAAATGAAAGTGGGCTTGCTGCGGACACCTCGCCAGAAGGGACGAAGGCTGGTGGCCGAGACCAACGATGGAGTGGCAGCCAAAGGAGGGAACGCACCCAAGAGGATGTCGACCGATGAGGTGGAACGATGAGACGGTGCTAAACGGATCGTCATGTTTTAGGTCCGCGTATGACGGCAACGTCTTGGGGAAGCCCTTCATCTAGCGGTGGATTGATCGTGGCCGACGATGATATATCACGATCAAATACATGAATGAAATAACAAGAGGTCAAAAAAATAACCCAGCAAGATGTCAATTAGAGTAATGAGAATGTGTTAAGCAGTGCTGAGAAATGCGTTTATAATTGTCATGACCAACGATAACATTGTTGGCGACTCAAAACGTTCCAAAAATCCAATTGGGATTATTGACCAGGGCACGTAATTAATATTGATTCTGCACGCATTGCAGGTGCGTATGTACGTATGTTAAACTTCTTTCCCACCGTAACATAGCCGACCGTGTTCATCGGAGGTGCGAACCGCGGTCAGCTCAATGGACCGCGGTCAGGGGAAACGCAAATACTGCTGCAAATGCAGAGAGTCTGCATCCAGGTGTTCCCTAAAACACGTGCAGGCCAAAATGCGCACATGTGACAAATTACCAAGCCAAACAGTTCCGTCAACGCTCGCTTCGATTCAACTGCGGAACGCGAATAACCGCTCGCATTGATGCCGCGCAAAGCTCCTCGAACGACGTAACATCTTGGATTAGCGAACACGCGCAGGTAAATTACATCACTCAATCCGTTACGAAAAGCAAATGGGCTTGGGCAGGGCCGACGGTCAAGAAGAAGTGGCAGCCAAAGGAAAGGAGCGTGTCCCGGAGAAGGGGCGACGGGTCGCCGAGGAGATGGAGCTATGAAATCGGCGTAGGTGTAGGGTGGGTCATCACATGACAGGATCGTGAGAGATGGCGATGGCTTGGGCAAGACTCCACCGAGCAGCGAAGTAACCATGGCCAACGATGACGGTGATGATACAGTCTTGATTTAAAGCTTTCGTGACTGCGGGAATCCATACTCTCTGATTCTGCCACAACAGCAGATCCTTTTCTCACCTGAAGACGGACGCTTGTGTTGCAACCGAAATGTCGTTTTTTTTTTGTTATCTACGTGACTTTACTGAAAGAACCTGAAAAGTATGGTGATGATACAGTCACATTGAATTGTGCTGCATACGAACGTGTAAGAATATGATGTGTCTCTTCTACACGTGACGAGCTTTCTCTCTCAATCGGTTTCCCACGATTAACTTGATCCGTTGCTCAGTCAATCTGATTGGAAACGTCACTGCACCTCGCCTAGTCTTATATTTTCTTTGTATTACTCATTTGCGTAAATATATTCCACTGTTAAAATACTTGAACAGGTGTCACATTCTCGGGTCAATTTAAAGCACTGGACACAGTTTGGAGTTTTGCTTTGCAATTTGGTGGAACTATTTCTTTGTCGTATACCCGCTCTTTGCAATCCAGATCTCCCTTCCAAAGTAATATGCCTGTTTTCTCAACGGTGCTCTCACCTGGTTACAAATAAGCATTCCTATCGGTTTGCGCGTTCATTCACTTTCCCGTCGCGTCTGACGGCTCGCGATGTCGTTCCGCCGCGTTGTGAACGAAAGGTTTCCCCCCCACGGTCCGGGCACGAGGCTCGTCAGTCCCAGCATCGCGAGACCGACGCTAGCCAGTGGCCCGGGCCGACTCGCGCGACGAATCACCGGCCTTTAAAAGGCAGCTCCGTCAAAACCGCGCAAACGTCGCCGAGTGGGTAAAGTGCGTGAAATTGAGAGAGTTCGGAGCAGTTTTGTTTTCCCGCGAAGGGGGGGAGGGTGCGCGTCGGCGGTCACCCTGGGATTGGACGCCGCTGCCTCTCTGCATCGTACCATGACCCGTCTGGGGTTGCGTCTCCATCAGCTGACCTGCATGGTTGCACTGGGTAAATAGCGCTCTGTTTTTCCACCGATTCTCAAATCCCAAGGATGTGAATCTCAACTCCCCGTGACCTGGGACTCGTATCTCGTGTGGGGGGAGGGGGGGGCGTGTCCCGTAACCGGAGAGAGAAAATAAAATAATAATTTTCCCCGTGTTTGTGTTTTTGCTCTTTCTGTAAATGGCTGCCCGCGCAATTTGCAACGAGGAATTTTGGGAAATCGTCGCACTACAGGGACCCGGGCGCGACGTGCTCAGGGAAAAACCACCGACGACGATGTTGTCACGTCGCGCCGATGCGTCGTGGGCCACGGTCGCCGCTCAAAATCCAAGGGCACCAAAGTAAAGCAGGGGAAGGGGGGGGGGAGCAGAGGGCCCTCTCTGGCACACGGGTGGGTCGCCCGCTCTATCACCCGTATGGCGTCATGCACAAACTATCGTGCAAACAGCCGGGGGGAGTGGGGGGCGGGGAGGGGAGGGGGCAGGGGCGGTGGGGGGGGCAGGCGAGGGAATTCTGGGTCACGCTCAGCTCACTGGCGAGCCGCGAGCAAGCTCTGCGTTGACGCGCGTGCGTGCGCGGCGCGTTGAAGGATGTTGCGTTTTTCTTGGCAGTTGCGAAAGAAGCAAAAAAATTACGTGCTTCGTAATGTGTGCCAGAATACACCGTTATAATGTACGTGGAGATTTATGTAAATGTGTATATATATACGTATGTATGCACACATACTACTAAATGTGCTTTGATCTGTTGTGGAGTACACGCGTGGTGAAGCGTGCCTTGTGTTGTACACATGGAGGGCTTGATTTGTTGTCTTGGCGAATGTTACATTTTGTTCGCTTTTCTGTCAAAAATGAGCCGGTTTCTTTCACCAGTGGTGGGACAAATTGCCGAGCGGAAGAGCTTTGTCCATTTTGCTCAAGATCTGAACCCATCTGGGCACATCATCTTTAAGTCCGACATTGGAAACGTGATGACAAAACCCAATGGGTTCTCTGATAGTTAAATAAAATATGATATACATCTATATAGCAACCACCACCGTTATTCGCCACTAAGTGGTGGTGACATCACCACGGTGCATGTGTCACAGGACAGGCCCAGGCGCTTTCAGTTGACTGATGTGACTGGACTGACTTACAGGGGCACCACAAGTGCGTCCTACTTTGCCAACTGGCAGCATTTTAGCCGCCCCGACGCTCCGCTCGTTGTTGTGAGGGTCGATCCTCTGCCCTCCGTTGTTGCCGAAGGGCGGCTGCCTCCAAACTGCACAGCAGCGTCCTCCAGGTCCTAAACTGTATGAGCCCATCTCCTGTCTAGCCCGTGCCACGCCCGTTTAGCCCCTTCTACCCAGCCACAAAAAAACTGCTTTTGCATGCGGTGGCTGGGCATACGGGCTACATCACCCAGTCAACGCAGCCACATCTTTGTCAGGAGCTCACTGACGATGGGGACCGATTCCAGATCTTTCAAGGATCTGTGAGCTCCTCGCACAATCCAGTCTGGTTGAAATTCAGGAAGGATCGTAATCTGGCCAGCCTGAGTGTTTAAGAATAGCGCCGGTGTTCCTCTCAAAGGGGTCCATGTTTCGCAAGCAGAGAAAAGAGGGAGCATAGCTGTGGCCAAGAAGATCTGGAGCTTTATAGACATTCACACAGATACCCTGCGTGGCCCACATACGACTTGTGGAGCAAGTGCTGTTCGTGAGCACCGAGAAAACCCGGTGTGGCCAGCGCCACGCCTTAGCTCTCCCAGTGCTGATGTTTACATGCCATACCAGGTATTCATTCAAGGCAGAGTTGACAACGAATATACACACACACACACACAAAGCCCTCTCCTTATAGCCGTAGAGCGGGTGAGAGGAAATTCCATGTGGAAAGCTGGGCTGGAAAATGAATAACTCTAAAGGATTCCACGATCGACAATTGAACTCCACAATCTTCCGAATGTGCCAGTCTCACGGCTCCCAAAGCTGGCTTATACAACAGAGACAAATAACCCGCATATAGCCGAAACAGAGTGTTGGGGGGTAAGTGCTGTTAGCGAGCACCTCTGAAGGCCGGCACGGCAAAAGAGGGGGTGGGCAGCACCAAGCCCGGCTGCCTTTGTCTCCCTAGTGGCGATGTTTACACAACGCACCAGGCACTCATTTGAGACTGAGTCAACCTAGAGGAGGCCCAGGACCAGTTCTGATATTCATCACTGGTGTTGGCTGTGAGGAGGATTCGAACTCGGGTCGCCGCGCTGGTATCGCAGCGGACTAACCCCTACACTACCCCTCCCCACGGTGTTTTCCAAAATTATCCAACACACACACACACATTGTGCGGTATCAACATCATCATCATCGCCCAATTACACTCAAGGCTCCGTCGGTTTTGCGACGCGTGGTGCGGCACGTGTCTGGCGCAGCGTTGTGTCCGAGGGGGTTGGGGGAGGGGGGACGAGGAGGGGGAGGGGGGACGAGGGGGGACGTACAGCTCGGTGGCGTACTGCGGGATGTGCGCGGGGATGCGCGCCAGCTTCTGGTTGGAGCAGTCGACCACGGTGCCGTCGCAGCGGCACTTGTCAGGGCACATCATGTCCATGAAGCACTCCCCGCCGGGCTTGCCCCTGTGGTCCTCTGTGCCTGCGCACGTGTGCACGCGCACGGGCACACGCACACACACAAAAGACAAAGATCCCACGTATAGCCTAAACAAGGACGTTGGGGCAAGTGCTGTTTGCGAGCCGCACCCATGATGGGGGTTGGTGGCCAGCACGACGCACCAGGTACTCATTTGAGGCCCATAAATGGTTGGGATAAATGTTGCAGGTATTTCCGTGAGTGGGAATTGAACTCGGTACGCCGGGTTTGTAGCACAGCGAGGTAACTGCTCCACTACCGCATATGTACAGACACGCACATACGTACACATACATCTACCCATAATTCAGGGTGTACACACATGCACAGATGAACACACGCACACTCAGGGCACAACTTTTTGTCGCGTGTCAACCTGAAAATATTTGGCCTAGAGATGCATGAAATTAAATTTAATTTAATTCACTTTTTGTGCAGTCATCGGTAACTGGGCTGAGACCTCTGGCTCTGAGAACCTGGTTTAAACACAGACGGCTGCTTGGAATTGAACCCAGGATCTCAGCAGTGCCAGCTCAGTCGTCCTATCTTGTATTATTATCCCCCCCCCCCACCGCCGAGCTATCTGAACACGTCTAGAGCTATCGATGGTCAGTGAATGTCAACACGAAATCCTTTATAACCTCTTCACACGACACCTCAACAACAACGAACTCTTATTTAATAAGGACAGCCAGCACCTCAAGGCAAGGCGCCTCAAATCCAAGTTGTGAAACGAGTTGTCAGCGCATGAGGCTGCGTCAAAAAACAATTAGTCAATGGGCCACAGCAGAAGTTGGTACCACAGTAACACAAGTGAATTATTTGATAACCCAACTCAATCCCACAGGTAATCACATAATTCACAAATATTGGCAACCACTAAAGTTACGCCACTTGGCTTGTGCCGGCAAGTGAAATATCTGGTCTGGCATCATGCGCTAAATATGAAAATCCAAACGAACAGTCGCCATCAGCCAGCCGCCGGTGTTTATCAAAACTCTTTTGCTGCACGACACCACGTGGCAAACGATCCTCCTCCTCCTTGTGCTTCACGACAAGTGAAGCACGTTTAAGGCTCCTCGCTGGACACTTTTGGGCCAACCAGGGCTTCGGAGGAAGAGTGGGCACAGTGGCAGGCAGGGGTGCAGGAGCCGGAGAGGGAACACACACGGGGGGGACAGGACGCGGGGGGAGGCGGTGCGCTGTGCCGTGCAGTGGCCTGTGCGGTGGCCGTGCCGGCGGTCGGTTTAGCGGAGCTCGCATGTGCGGCGTCCCGTGGTGCTTGACAGAACCATGGTGTTACTGTAGCTCCCCATCGCATGGTTAGATCAAGCACAACGGAAAACCGCGCGGGGATCCATGAGGAGCAGGAGGAGCAGGAGAAGAGTCGCGGCACAGATTTGGTGGCGGCGGCGGCTGTGGTGGCGGCTGCGGTGGCGGCTGCGGTGGTTGTAGCCATGGGGGCGGGGCCCGTTTGTGGCGGTGGCGTGTTCAGGCGGAACGTGTTGAGGGCGCACGAGGGGAAGGGCAATCAGATGCAAGAGCGGCGGAGTTGAGGCTGGCACCGATATGACCCGTTAACGCCGGTGCACTGGTTAACGGCGGTTAACTCGTTAACGGCGGTTAACTCGTTAACAGCAGGCGGCATCCAAACACACATGGAACAGCACCGCATCTTCCTTATGTTAAAAAACGACTCCTTCCCAAGCCGCTGTACAGGACAATGTTTAGACAAGAGTGCTGTTAAACGCCACCGCAAACCTCATTTCCCAATGGTATCTCCCTTCATTTTGTACGGTTTTTTTTTACGCTTACATTAGCACGCGCTTATCTGTTAACTTAATGTCAAGTAATCGCTGGCAGTTTAGGCAATGAGACATATATTGTGCGAGTGACTCCCAAAAAGGGTGAAACCTCATTATTCCATTGTTGTTGTTCAGATTTACAAAGGCCACCCTTTCTGTTCTCTCGAGCTGTCACCATCACAGGCTCCGTGAGCTCAATATATGCAACAAAAGTGCCATCATCTTGGCACGCATGGCATGCTGTGACTTTCTCTTGTACTTTTGCTGTTTAAAACATATTTTTCAAATGTAATTTTTGGGTTGCATATTCATTTCAGGCATTCTGTTCTACTTAATATTATGACCGTGTGTGATGTCAGTTTGAATTTCGTTACATCATGAACTATGAACAATTTTGTTTTATTTTACCAGGAAAGGCCCACTGAGCTATACAGCTCTTTATAGAAGCGACCTGGTCACAAATTATATCCCAATGAAGTGGCTTATCATGTGGCCATTTATAGCAGTCAAATACTCTAAACGCATGTTTCTAACTGTGGAGGGAAAAACTGGAGGACCCAGAGAAAAATCCACGCGACTACAGGGAGAACATGCAATCTCCAAATATACAGGCATCGTCAGGGTCGGGATCGAACTGAAGACCTCATGTATACCATCATCATCATCAGCTGTCATCAATCCAATACTGGATGAAGGCCTCCCCTAACATTCGCCGTCTCTCACGGCCCTGCAATGTAACACCTTCATTATGTTATACGTGTCCTGCATCGCACAGACAGCCCCGCGTTTAATTTCGCAAAGAGACGTTTCCTTTGTCTCAATGGGGCTGTCATCAATTGGCTTCGAGCTGCCTGCCTCTTTCGCAACACAAACACAGCGTGGATTTTAACACAGCCTGTCGTGGGGCTGAGGCCACACAAAGACCGCAGTTGACATTGGGGGCTAAGAGGGGAGAGCACTGCCTTCTTTCGTTTTTCTCGCATGCTCTCCGAGTCCAATGCACGTGACAAATTGTGTTAAAAAAGAACAAACAAAAAAACCCAGTCGACAATTATTTATATTTTTTTCTCTTCTTAGCGCACCGCAATTCTTTTTTTTTTCTCCCATCGAGTTATTGCCGGACAAAGTCAAAGGCCGTCTTTTTACTTTAAAATAAAAATCAGAACGGAAAGCGCAGAGGCACGAGCTGCAATGTGTTTCCAATTCCGACTCCACGGTCTAATTGCCGGTTGTGAGCCTAAGTGCGTTACTGCCCACTGTGGTTGTACATCATTTGGGTTTCGCATACACACACACACACGCGCGCGCGCGCGGTGGTATAATGCACACGTATATAGAGTGAGACGGAGGAGCGGTAGGAATGATTCACTCTCAACCACCCGGCCCACACAGCCCCATCCCCCAACCCCCACGAGGCGACACTGTGAATTGTAGCATTCAGCATCGCAAGTCGATTAAACAGATCTTTTTTTTGTTTTAACATTGTGAAAAGTAGCAGTGCCTCTAGTGGCTGCGGGAATTTGCTGTGAGCCCACTCCATACAACTACAAATAAAATACAAATCAAAAACCCCCCATCATTTTTTATCCACGGGTTTTGATGCATGTGCCGTGAGATTAATTAGAATTGATTTTTTTTCCACGACTGACGTTTAAAGCACTAAATGGAATGGCACCCGTTCACTTGCCAGAGGCATATTGCCTCCCCATCAGCCTCGGCGTGCACTGCAGTCAACTGATGGTGGCAGGCCCTGCTCTGCGTTCAGGCTCAGCGCTGGGTTTTCATGTTTGGGCTCCACGATTGTGGAACTCTCTTCCCGATCGCGTCAGAGGTTCTTACGCCCACACTGGTTACTTTAAAATCAAGGTTTGAGACCTATTTCTATACTTGAGGCCTCCTGATTTCATTCTGGCACCGTTTAATTATTTTACCCTTTTGCTCGTTGTTCCTTCTCTACGAGTGTTTTTTTTATTCTGTGAGTGTTGTCTTTGTAAATATTTGTTCCATCTTAACTTGTATGACGTGGCCTCTTGACCCTTGGTAGCATTGAAAGGCACCCCAACTAAGGTGAAGCTTAACAACTCTAAATGTATCGAACAAATTTGGAAGCAATGGTATGTAGGGATCATGATCAATCTAGGAGCATCGCATTTACAAACATTCACATGTTTAGAAAAGTGACAATAACTGTGAAGTACGCTCAACCAATGCCTATTGAAAATTCATCCAAGATGGCCGTGAGTGTTAAACTCGACTTTGATCGGTGTTAAATCTACAAATGGTCAGGGATAAAATATGACTGGTAACCTCAGCTGCTTATACGACTGTGTAACCTGGGACTGTTGCTGTGTATCCCGCGACACTGCACTCCCGTGTACTGACAAGTATACACACGACAGAGCCCTACGCTCAGCGTTAATATTCCCTTAAAATCGATCGCCCCTGCACCAAACGTAACCCTAACTGGAAAAAAGAACCTGAAAAAAACAACAACATCGACCCATGAATATTACTTTGCTCCCAGCAGTCAATACAAGCAGGAAACTTAAAGCGCTTACACGTTTACATTATTTTTAAGTTTAGCGATTAATAGTCTTGGTTCTTTCGGTAAAGTCACGTACAAGGGAAACAATAAAATAATAAAAATATAAAACAATAAAATTCTCACGACGTTTCGACTGCAACACAGGCAATCATCAGAGCAAGAAAATTTTCTTGCTGTGGTTTTCACACCAGATTATGATTGCTTGTGTTGCAGTCGAAACGTCGTGAGAATTTAATTGTTTTATATTTTTATTATTTTATTGTTTCCCTTCTACGTGACTTCACCGAAAGAACCAAGAATACGAATCCCTGCAGTCACGAAATCACCCACGTGCAAGGGCTAGGTGCCAGGGGCAGCGATGTCCACCGTCGGGATCTTTCATAAAACTTTTGCGTCATTAATCTTATTCAGCCGCTTTTCTATCGAGTGCATTGCCATCGCGCTATCGGAGTCGTAACAGTGGCGCAGCGTACATGGTATGGGGCCCTGGTGCAAAGAATTAAACTGTGCCAATCTCGTTCCAATTCCACTCCCCCTACCCCCCCCCCCCTTTCGGCCTCCCTCTTCATGGCCAGCCATTCTGGGCACCCCGTGCAGTTGCACCGCCTGCACACGCACCAGGAACGTCACACGGGTCACTGCGGATACCTTGGGCACTCGAGGAGACTCGGAGAGACATTCAGAGTGCGAATGTGGTGAGCAGCTTCCAGCGTTGGAGAGGCAAGTGAACGCCTGTCCACTGTTACCCATTCCCTGGAAAATGTCCCTGAAATTCATTCCGCATATCCTGAAGATCTTGGCCGGGTATCAAAACTTAACATTGTACTGTAACCCACGGCTATTCATGTGTACATCATCATTATCATCATATGCGAGTCGACGGGTCTCCACGCTAGTCCTCTGGGTCTCTTTGCAAGTCCACATCTCTTAAATTCGCTCCGCATTTCCCGAAGCTCTGGTGCCCGGACATCAAAACGTCACGTCACACTTCATAAGATACCACTGCAATTCCTACGCATGACATCACCACCGCCTGCGCCAGGGCCATCCACGTTGGGGGGCACGGGGGCCCAGGGCAAATCACACCGCATGGCCCCCCCCCCCATCCCCTATGCCTTCAAACTAAACTGTAAGCATCACACTTGACGGTGTGATGCAAAAGTGAGGGGCCCCCCCCCAAAGTGCGGGGCTCAGGGCGGTCTCCCAAATCCGCCCGTTACCCAGGGGAATGGCTCTGGCCTGTTTGCTCGACGGCCACTCCGCCGAATGTGCCACGTGTTCACCCCAGCGCGTGCACGCGCTGACAGGAGAGGGCCCCCACACGGCGGCACCCCCACACGGCGGCACCTCCACCGTGAGGGAGAGCGCCGGTGCCGGCGGTGTCCGCGGGGCGCGTACCGGAGCAGCGCAGCTTCTTGCTCTTGATCTGACCGATGCGCTTGTTGGCGAGGCGGCGCGGGCTGGCGCAGCGGGCGCCGCTCGTCTCGATCGGGTTGGCGTGGAGGTAGTCGGCCAGCCACTTGAGGTGGCAGTCGCAGATGAAGGGGTTCTGGGCCAGGTGGCTTCGCGGCCGGGAAGCGAGCCGGCGGGCACGGGGATCGTGCGTGCGTTTGGTGCGTGCGTGAGTGTGTATGAGCGTGGCGTGCAGGTTGTACGGAAGTAGGTACATGCGTGTGAGTGTGCGTGTCATGTACAGCATACACGGGGGGGGGGGGGGGGGGGCGCGCACAGCGAGCAGAAATGCAGAAAGTCAAAATTATGATTCTCCAGAGATTGTGCAGAAAAACTTTTATAAAAATGGTTCGGCTGTTTCATGTTATCGCTGAAGATCGCAAACATTCACGAGAATCATATGCATATGGCTATTATTTTCCATGATAAAAACAGCTCGTTTTACATATCTATACGTGCGTGTTTGTCATTCCTGGAACTGCTTATGGGTGGGTGTGTGCATCTGGTGTATGTGCGCGCATAAATGTGTACTTACACATGTGTGCTTGTGATTATGCTGCACGCGTGTGCGTGTGCAGCTTGTGCGTGTGTATGTGGGGAATGGTAGTCGAGCGGTTAGCGCGCTGCGCTACGATCCCCGCTCACGGCCAACACCAGTGACGATTATCTGAACCAGTCCTGGGCCGCCCCTAGGTCGACTCAGCCTCAAATGAGTACCCTGGTGTGGTGTGCAATCATCGGCACAATGGGGAGACAAAGGCGGTCGGGCGTAGTGCTGCTGTGCCGGCCTTCATTGGGTGCTCGCTAACAGCACTTGCCCCAACAGTCTGTTAAGGCTATACAAGGGATCTCCATCTTTGTCTTTGTGTGCGTGCATGTGTGTGCGTGTGTGTGTGTGTGTCAGGTCTTCTCGGCCACGGTCATTCCCTCCCTTCTCTACGCTTGCGAAACGTGGACCCCCCTAATGGAACATCTTCGCCGGTTAGAAACATTTAGGCTGGCCTGCCTACGATCCATCCTGGGTTTAACCAGACTGGATTGTGTGAGGAGCTCACAAATCCTTGAAAGATCTGGGCAGGGTCCCATCGGTGAGCTCCTCCGGCAGGCAAGGCTGCGATGGCTGGGTCATGTAGCCCGCATGCCCAGCCACCGCATGCCGAAACAGCTTTTGTTTGGCCGGATTGAGGGGGCTAAGCGGGCGCGGCACGGGCTAGAGAAGAGATGGAGTGATGTGGTACAGGAGGACGTGGAGCTGAGTGGACTTGCCGATGACTGGTACCAGCGGTGTCAAGATCGGCCTCTGTGGAGGAGGCTCGTGAAGGATGCTACTGGGCAGTTGGAGGCAGTCGCCCTCCAACAACAACGGAGGGCGGAGGAGCGACGCTCACAACAGCGAGCGGAGCGCCGGGTGGCTAAAGCACAGCAGGTTGGCACAGTAGGGGGCACAGGTGGTGCATCAGCCAGTCATCTCAGTCAGTCGACCCGTGGCACCTGGGTCTGCCCCGTGACCTCCTGCCAGCGGGCGTTCGACACTTCACGTGGCCTCAGGGTGCACATAGCCTGGCACAAGCGTCGTGGTGACGTCACCGCCACTTAGTGGCGAATGGCGGTTGTTGTTGTTGTTGTGTGTGTGTGTATGTGTGTTATCGTGGCCTCTCGAGCCGCCACTCACAGCGTTTTGACCTGGCGGAGAGGCGTGAACGTGCCCTTGCCCATTGTCTGCAGCTTGTTGTCATAGAGCGAGAGCAGCTGCAGGTTCTGCAGGTCCTGGAAGGCGTCGACGCGGATGCACGTGATCTTGTTGGCGTTGAGAAGCCTGAGGGCCGCACAAAGACAAAGACCCCCGCACAGTGCTGTTAGCGGGAACCTATTAAGGCCGGCATGGTACACGAGAGGAATAGGTGACCAGCACCATGCCCGGCTGCCTTTTTCTCCCTAGTGGCGATGTTTACACACTGCGCCCGGGGTACTCATTTGAGGTCCGAGTCGACATAGGGCAGGTCCAGAACTGGTTCAGCGGGAATCAAGCTCGGGTCACCCGGTTCGTAGCCCAGTGCGTTAACCGCTACGCCACCGCTCCCCATACACGTACGCCAACATACACACACGGCCACATACACACACGGCCACATACACACACGCCCACATACACACACGCAGGGGAGGAAAAGGTGTCAAGTTGTCTGGGCTCTATGGGCGACCTCAATTTAAAGGGAGGGGTAAATCAGGGCTCCTACTACATGCCCTGAAATCCGACACTTTTGGGATCTGCTTCGGTGATGCGCCAGCCGCCGTGTACCCCCGTACAATGCAATGCATTTCCTTGATTTAGCACGGGGTAAGAAGAGCTTGTCGAGAAGAGAAATCCTCTTTTTCAAGAGAGACACCTGGGACAAACGGTCGTCTCAGAAGAGAGGAAACACGTTAAATTCTAAATTCAGAATTGAGCAGCAAACGGAACGGCGAACACGTTCCGGAGTGCGAGAGACGACGCCGTTCTCGTGGAAAAAATTAAAAACCCCACATTAGACGTAACCGAACAGCAAACGCCATCGCAGCCGGAGATTCTTCAGCTCAACGAATAAAAAAAATGCCGAGTTGAACGTCAGTGGCCACAGAATCTAGACAGTGAAACAAATTAAAAAACGCGGCTGTATAAATTAAAATTCACATACATAAAATACAACACAAGATATTAATTACAAATCATGGAGGCGGTGCTGAACTGATTAACGTGTTGCGCTATGCACCCATGCGCCTGAGTTCGATTCCCAGCCACGACTAACATCAGATGCGAGTGATATCCACTCGTGGTGGTGGTGATGATGATCTAGATGTTACATGGTGGTGGTGGTGGTAGTGGTGGTGGTCTCGATGTTACGTGGTGGTGGTGGCCTCGATGTTACGTGATCCCAACTGAAAATGCACGGCGACCGCGCTTTCCTGATCGTGGGGGACCCCTCCGCATGAAGCGACGCCCGAGCGGACGAACTCAAAAACGACGAACACCTCGAGTTCGGCCACTCCGAGTGACACCGAAACGTCCACAGCGCGACAGAGACGCCTTTAGCGCGATCGTGCGTTTCTTAAATTACTATTTACATGACGACGGTTGGTCCGCCCCTCGCTTCTCCAACCGCCACTGACCAGGGGTGAGTGGGCAAGGCACGCAGTGGACAGCCGAGTGGATACAGCAGAATCCACTGTCTGACTGAATACGTCTGTGCTCCACGGTCTGCGCTGCCCACCGCCAAACACACTAACCGGCAAGATCAAACAACCCCCAAGCCGGGCGCAGACGACACGGGGAGGCCCCCAGCCAGCAGTGGACTGACAAAAAGAACCGCACGTGCGCATAATGCGGCGTTGATGAAGAAAGTGGAGAAAGTCTCTCTGTGATACGTGGATGCGCACAGCTGCCCATTGTGGTCCCCTTAATATTTGATCTGGTTGCCTCCCACTCAACGGGGTCTCACCTGGTTAAACAAACTCCGTGCATTGAATTACGCGGGCAAGTGGCTTGCGGAAGCCACGGGATTACCGCTCCAGTGCCGCATAATCTGCCTCTATCTGCTTATCGTGATGAGGTGTTAGGGCCGAAGATTGACGAAGATCTTTGCTCCGCGCCGCCCACTCCCATCCTATTAACTTTGTTTGATTAAAGCGACACGCAATCCAACAGAACAAACAGCTCTTATCTCGTAGATACACGCCTGGGCTGTACGTCCTATCCTAGGCTGTTTCGCGAGAGTTTGTCACTTATTCTCATCGTCGTCGTCATCAGCCGCTCTCAATCCACCGCTGGACGTGGCTGAACGTGGCCCTGCCCGAACCATTGCCATCGCTCACAATGTATCGATCCCACCTGGCACCTTCGCGGGGGAGCTGATTCCATTGCTCCATCTCCCCGGCGGGTGCGTCCCACTGCTCGGTTGCCCAAACCATCGATATTCGTTGTCTAGCGACGTTGTCCTGCCCAATTTAGTCTCAAGCTTCGTTATTGAGGAAATAAACTTGGAGGGTCAAAGAGGTCGTGGGGTGGCTCGTCATTTATGGCACTCGAGCGATGTCACTGTGATGGCATCCCCACGTTGATGAATACAATGACCAATGCAGTGATGTCAATACAGCGCTATGGTAGAGTGTCTGGCTGTGATTTGAAAGTCTTTTGCATCATTGATGGAGCTTTGAAACCCACGGTGGTATATCGTCGTCATCACCGTCATCACTAAATGTTCTCCCATTTGCCATCCGCATTACTTTGAGGAGTCACTGCCGGTCAACTGGTGATGGCTTCTGCGTAATCTCTCTGCTTAAAGAGGTCTTAGAATAGGGTCCATTTCCATTGGCAGCCTTGAGACGGCAGCATAAATTCCACATTCCGTTGGCAGGGTCAAGTCTATGCGTAGAACAACCACTTTAGACAGCCGCCCGACATTGAAACCTAACGTGTATGCGACCAGCCGGAAAGTATCTGACCCACAGAAAGAAATTCCACATTGCTATGGGCAGGATTCAGTCAGTCTGTAAGGCAAACACTGGCCAGGAACTGTAAACAGAACCCGTCGGTGAGCAGCGAGGCTCATGTATGTTGAACTTCTTTCGCACCGCACGTAGACAACCGTGCTAATCGGAGGCGTATGTATGTATAATAATGGGGAGATTGGAAAAGATGGGGGAAAAAAAATATGTTTTACTTGCACTGATTTGATTAACTCAGAGAGAGATGTTTTTTTTTTCCTCTTTCAAAACGGAACCGGGGGGAACTGCGCGTTCTCACACAAACAGCCAGACCGCTGGCCGGTCACCGCAGCTGCCGCCCGCAATAACGATGCCCCCGCGCTGGCTGCCGCTTCGCCTCTAATCGCGGGCATTCTCCGTGAAGCCTCGCGAGTGCAGAGGCCGCGCGTTCTTACCGACAATTACACAGCCAGGGTGGGGATCATTAGTTCATTAGCAGCGTGGCCCAGGCTCTCGCCAGCCACCCCCCCCCCCCACCTCTCCACCCGCTCGCTCGCAACTTCAAATAATGCAGCCGAACGCCTTTTGGTATCGGTCAGGGCCTTCCCAGGGGCAGGATCAGAACGCGGCTAAAAGCTCCAGGCATGTTCGTCAAGAGCGGACTCGTGGAGGGGAAAAAAAGTTAAAGCCGAAAGAGTAAAAAAAAGCTTTAGAGAAAGACAAAAAAAATCTGAAAGAAAGAAATGAAAATGAAATGAACACCGAGCCTCAACTCTAATCTAAATACTTTCAATTATGAGACGACCCCCTACGTTCCTGTGCTTGGGCTGCGCGTTGAGCGAGCTGTCGAGAGGAGGAGGAGGAAAAGAAACGCTGGATGGGGGTCGGGGGGAGGGGGGCGGGGGGGGGCAAAGGGGGGGGGGGCAGGGGGGGACCTTTTGGGGGAAGTGGCCGAGGGGACTTCAAAGCTGTAAAGTGAGATGCTATCGCTCACGGTGGGGGCGGCTGAGTGAGCACGTGGGGCCTGGTCACTACAGAGCCTCCACTCCACGCAGCCCGCTCGCTCGCTCTCTCGCTCTCTCTCTCTCTCTCGACATGAAAGGCCGTTGTGCGACATGAACCGGCTCTTACGACGCGCCGGGCTGGCGGACTGCGAAGCCGAGAAGCGTGGCCCTGTGCCATCCGCCAGGCGATTCCAGTGCCCCCCCCCCCCCTCACAACAAAAGAATGGGGGGTGGGGGGAGTAGAACATTTTTTTAAAACGTAAACACAGAGATAGCCGGGCAGCTGAGGGGTCGGAGCACTGGGCCGGTGGCACCGCTCAACCGAGTGCGAGATTCACGTGCCCGGTGATTACACCGTATTCCATCTGAAGCGCGGGAGAGTTCACGATCTCCACCTGGTTGCCAATGTCTGAACGGGAAAATAAACCTCCGTTGGGTTGAGTTTGGTTTTTCGCTTAATTTTTCCACTTAATTTCAGGTTTAAAAATAAAATATATATATGTTGGTTGGACTGCCATGTGATGATCATTTCTCCGTAGAAGGGCATGTGCGACAACTCATCGGTTCTCGTACCAGACGGGACCCCAGAAGTAGTCCTGTGAAATCCGCTTCCATGGGCCATTCTCTACCACGATTTGATGAAAGTTCCGAAATGACGTGGACAGCGCAGTTGGAATCAAATTTGGAATAGGACGCAGCACAATTCATTTTTAAGTTAGACCCAACAAACAGGAGTGCATTCATCAGGAGGTGATGCACCTCTAAGTGCCCGGCAGGGGGGTGCGGGGACAGACCATCCAGGCTGTTTCCCCACAAGACTCTGTTACAGACCTCGAGCCAAGTGAGACGTGCGCGCGTGTTCGTGGGTGCGTGCGTGCGTCGACACCACTCGTGACCCCGGGATCTGGGAAAGGATGCAATGGCTTTGATCTCCAAGCTTCCACTCACGTGTTGACAAACCCGACGGCTTGTCTTGCTCCACAGAAGGGCTTCTGGCCCCCCGCAAAGGTGAAGGCAGCTCGTTTTGTCCGAGTAAAATGGCCAAATAGTGGACTCCTAAAAGCCGCAGTGTTTATTTAACCAACAGCACAGTTCGTACAAGTGACAAAGAGAACTGGCTATTGATATATATTGCCTCGTTTGTTCATGGGGCCTGGTCTACTTGTTAGGGGTATTGCAATTCACACGATTGACATCCCTACGATATAATTGTCATGATTCGAGGTTGTGATTCAATTCAAGAATCAATTCTCTTATGTTTACATCGTGATGAATTGCAGCACCTTCCCTCGGTTGGAGAGAGTGCTGTGGACACGTGGCGTTCAACGCGTAGACCAAATCAAACCTTATTGATTTTCAAGCCACGTGCGATTTGATGGGACGTGTCGTGAGGCTAAGGGCCGACGTGAATCAACGTGTCATGCACTGCCAAGGATCGGTTATGAAAGGTTCGAAAACAGATTCGTAGCGTTGCTATGACCGTTCACAAGTTTATCCGTCAAAGACGTAAACACGGGTGCTCATAATGACGTAACCAAACCGACATTAACATTCAATTCTATAGTTTTTTTCTGCCTGCTCTTGGCAGCTAAAATAATTTCAACGGACATCCAATAACAAAACAACATAGCTGATTTAATGTTACTCTAAAAAAAAAGTCATATTTCTGCATGTCATTATTTTTTTCTTTGAATTAAAAACAGCTCTCTGCAAACAAATACATATTCCCCATGCGTGCTGGGTCCCAGCGATGTTCTAGATACGACGATAAGAGCCATTTTTTTCTTCAAATTTCCTGATGGTGCGGCACGCGGTGTATATGTGTGTGGCTTTATATGAATGTAAGCATACACACGTGAATAATTGGTTAAAAGAGACATATCGGTTTTCTGTGTTTATACTTTGGTTACACTTCGTGTGTGGCAAGAGTATGCTGTGTTTATCTCAGTGGATTGTGTGCGCATGTGGAAGAGCGTGTGTGCGAGTTCTTTCGCGTTCACATTGTGCGAGTGTGCTAACGGAATGTGGGGAGTGGTGGTGCATTGCTTAGTGCACTGCGATACGAGCCAGTCTGATCTGCAGCCAAGGCTAATATGATTGATGAGTGATATCTGAACCGGTCCTGAGATTCCCTGAAGTCGACTTGGCCTCAAAACGAGGATGCGGAGCGGTGGTGCGAGACACACCACCCCTACCCGTGTCATCTTGGTATTTATAAGTGCTCACGAACAATATTTGCTTCAACAGTCCCTGTAGCTATACAGGGCATCTTTATCTTTGTGGTAAATGGATGTATAATACTTTATGCACTTCACTATAATTCTAGCAACTTTGGGTTCAATTCCTGTCCTTGCACATGACCAATGGCAATTGGTATTGAAATGTGACCTGTGCCACTGCTAGCTCTACTCAGTCTAATTTGACTACCTCGTGCGTTAGTGCGAGCTACAGCGATTCTGAGAAGACAAAGGTGGTCAAGGTGGCACGTCAACAGCTGCCCTCTCAAGCCTCACGACGGACTTTAATGGGTGCCCGCAGTCGCCCACGACAGTTGCTCGTGGCCACGAAGGGCGACCTTTGCCCTCTCGTGGCCACCGGACCTGCCATCGTCACCTGCCCCAGAACCAACTCACGCCCCCCCCCCCCGCCCCCCCCCGGCCGCACTTGGCCCCGCAAGTCAAAGCATTTAAAAAAATATATTTAATTAGATTTTAAAATAAATAAATATTAAATTCGCCGGTCCCAAATACGGGTGAGGCGGCAAGCACGGACGTCCACGCAACGACCGCGGGGGGACGATTACCCACGCGCCTGCAGAACAATTAGGCGCGTTATTTCAAATATGAACTCACATGCCCCCCTCTGCGTTGCCTTTTGTTCTTTGGCTCTCTGATCTGCGTGCCGCGCACACGCGGCCCAATTACAATTCGGCGTTTATCTTGAGACTCAAGAAGAGAGCTCTTGTTGCGCAAACACAACGATAATTACAGCCTGGGAGCAACATTCAAGACACAAAGAGTACAATTTTGAACATTACTTCATGATTGTACTTTACATTGTTCGTAGTAATAATAAGTAATAATTTTGATTCTTTATTTCTATTTTATAATTCGCTGAACAGGGCCACTGGGCCAGAAAGTCAAGGTCTTTCTTTCTTTCTTCTCAGTGACAGTAAAAAAAAAACACCCCTAATATTATTATCAATTAACCTGTAACGCATTGCATACTTGGGTGAAGTGGTGACACAGTGGTTAGCGCACTGCACTGTGGACTCGGCAGCCTGCGTATCATTTCAGATCACGACTCATATCAGTAGGGAATATCTCAACGCATCCTGAAGCCCTCCACCCACAACCACCCCTTCACCAACCCACACTGAACAGCGTGGTGAAGTATGGTTAAACAGCCCTCGATAACTGACACAGGATGAGGATGCCTCCTTCGGCCAATGGCTCGAAAGTGCTGCAACATGCACGTGATACGCATTCACAGGATGCAGCAATTATTCACACTTCGTTACCGTTTGCTGCTGTGAGTCAATGCAGCGCGCCGCTACTCACAGGAGCTGGAGGGAGTAGAGTCCGCTGAACAGGCCCTTCGGCAGGTCGGTGATCTTGTTCCCGTACAGGACCCTGCGGAGGGAGACAGCAGTCCGGCCACCGTGAATTTCGGCACAGAGGAGCGGAACCAAGCGGCGACCGACCCGGTCACATGCAGTGATGTAAACCGCCCCTCTCCTCCTCGCTCGCGTTGCCAGCGCGAAGACACCGGGGTCACCGCGTGCGGCAGGCGGGTGACAAGGACAAGCCACACAGAGATGCCCTCTCTCGCACGGCGTAGAAGACCTGTACTTCACCCAGCACAGCGGTGGGGTTGGGGGGGAGGGTTAGGGATGGGCACTGCAGAGAGGAGGGGGGGTGAGGAGCAGGAGCAGGGGGGGCAGGAGTAGGAGGATCGCAGGGTGAATTATGGGGACGTTGGCTGACGCCGCATCAGAAACGCTGAGCCGGCACCGATGAGAGTCTGGGTTTTGAATCCCTGGCTTCAGCTGCACGTCATCAAAATGGGATCTCAGGCGGAGTGAGTTGGCGGTGCCAGCCTGTTCATCAATGGCCACTTAAAATATAACCGTGTTGAATTTATTTCACTCGTTGCAGTTGTGAGACTTCATTTTTGTTTTATACTTCTAAGACAAGTCTCGTAATGCCATAATTAACAACATGACTCAACGCATTCGGGAATAAAACTGCGGCCTTAAAAAATATATACATCAGCGGCCAAAATATGTATGAGCAATTGCCATTCTTCATAGCATACAAGTAAAGGGCAATTGTCTGAAACGCCACCACTGCAATATTTATTTGTTTTCTTTTAAGGCCACAGTGTTGTGGACGAATTGGGGTCGAGTCTGTTTGTTAACTATGCCAACGCAGCAGCAGCATCGCCAAATTATTGATTCCTTTTTGGCGTGGGGTCGGCTGTTTAGATCAGTGGTGGGGAACGTCAGGCCCACGGGCCGTATGAGGCCCGCAAAATCATTTGGTCTCTGGCCCTGCCAAGGCAACCGCAGGCGGGACTCGAAATTCAATAAATCTAGGAGCAAACCTGGAAAAGCAGTTGCGAGTAGCAACATCGTCAATACCAGCTAACATCATCACACGCCTCACCAAAGAGAAGCAGTTCCAGCCATCGCATTAGGGGCGAGTTAATTAGATGTTTGACCAAATATAACAGGCTAATTTTTAAGTTTGTGATTTTGTATGGCCCGCGAATGATGTTATATAAATATCCAAATGGCCCTTGGCAGAAAAAAGGTTCCCCACCCCTGGTTTAGATGATTGAACTCCGTGCCCTCCTGTGGTGTCAGGGCCGGCCAACTAAGGCTTAATTGAAGGTCCCAATTGAAAGCACGAGACTCGGATTTAATACCATCTGTCCCGTTGACATGCAATGGACACTCTTTGCGGAGTGTGTGAACGGCGTCCATCCACTGTGAACGAAAGAAACGAACTGAAGTGGCTTCAGATGTAGATCCGTAACATCTTTTGGAGTGCTTCCTTCGACACGGTGACCCGGTGCAGGCCACGGATACTCGCAACGGTAACGTCGTCATCGTGACACAATGCCAGCAGGCATTATTCAAATGAAATGCCAATGCAAAGTCGGCATACAATTTTCATCAATCATAAACGAGTGGATTCCCAAAATCGCGATTGCATGCATGCATCATGAGCATTACAATCGAGTTTAGGCTACAACCCCATGCGTCATGGCACACCTACTCAACAATAATTACAAATCGCATGCATTGCCTCCGAGTAACACTACACCCCGCGAAGGATAACAATATGAATGGTGATAACAATAACATAAGGCAAAGGTCGAGCGCGAGTGATTTCTTGCCTAAATGAGCATTGTTTACAGCCCTGAGCAAGTGGTGAAAATTAAAAATTCCGATGGCGGGGGCGGAGTGTGGGCGGAGGGGGGGCGGAGGGGGGGCGGAGTGTCTCCATGGGAAAACCACTGTTGACTTCGCCACAAAGTAGTACTCGTTTTATAGACCCCAGAGGGGTTGATGGGTTTTAACCAACCCCCGAAACAGGCTTTGAACCCATCAAACCCCCCGGACTGCGAGGCCGCTCGCCACGTGGTCGAAGTAAAAAATGATTAACAATCAAAATAATAATCACGACCGCGACGATGGTCGCAACCAATAGTTAATGAGAACGCAAGACCGTGAACCCCTCGTGCACACGCGGTCGGACGAGGGCCTGCCACGGGGAGACCGGGCCTGTGCCGCCCTGGGTGCCGGCGTCGCAAACGGTGGGGACGTGGCCTTGCCCCCGCCGCCATCGCCGCATTAGCATTCCTGGGGCCAGCTGGAACGTATATCGCCGCTTGTTTGCGAGGGGGGGCCTGGCACTCAGTGGGGGTGCCATGAGATGTATAACAACGTCTCATTATGTTTGCCTTTCTCCCCACAGCCCCCCCCCCTCCCCACCCTCTCCCCCCCCACCCCTTCGCTTTCTTCCCTTTCTTCTTCCAGCTCGTCCACGTTTTTTCTGCAAATGTTTAATTCGTCCTCTTATTTTTTCATTTGTTAGCGATTATCCTTCTAAGCTCTCTTTTCTTTTCCTCTTAACGCTGCTTTGTCTTTCATTTCCATAATTGCGCCGCCATTTCCCTGTTTGTCCCATTTTGACGTTATTAAATTTAAGCATTTTTAAACGATCTTTTTTGTTGTTTGTCTACAAACAGTCTAACCGCCCTCTTTATTCCCACTTTCTCAATTTCCCTCTTTTTCTCCGCTTGCCGCCGCACCGATTTGTACATTTCTTTTGCGGCCTAACGATGAGGGATACACGGCAGTAGCTCTCGGGATTGCTCCTTGCGTGACCCGAGTCTCGCCGGGAGCCCAGCGATCGGCAAACTCCGTACCCCATGGTGGTAGGAAATGAGCTAAGGAGCCAAAGGGACAAAAAATTGAACACTTGACTTTGGTAAAACAAAAAAAAAACCCACTCTTAGTTGGAGTTGTCAGTCTTTTCACCTCTCTACTACACGAGCCGACTTCCCACACGATGCCCTCATGCCCCCGCCCCCCCGCCCCAACCTTCCCAACCCCCCACACCACCCTCGCCCTTTTCTTCCCTCAACTCCACTTCCAACTTCAATTGGCTCCCGGTAAATGTAATCGGAACCGCGTGAGTCAGGATTGTCTAATTTGTCTGGAATTAGTCACAATATAAAAAATGTGCGTGGCGCACGCGGAACCGAAGCTCCGGGCGGCTGCTCACTGACAGCAACTTTCGTGGCGGTGGTGGTGGCACTGCGAGCGGTGGCGGTGATGTGGGAATTCGGTGACAAATTCAAAGTAAATTCGCGGAGAAGTGGCCGGGTGGCTCAGGAGGTTAATGCTGCTGCCAGCGGACACTGGACCAGAACCGCCAAGACCCTGGGTTCGAGTCTGGGTTCGAGCCACCCGTGATGATACCAGGCTCGCAAGTGTTAGCGAGGTGATAGTCTCAGCCTGGTCACTGAAGACTGCACAAATAAAACACTGGATTTTCACTTAAATTGCCTAAATGCCAGCTGCGAGAATAAAAAATTGACGATAGAGTACACACAGCGAGCGGTGCACCACCTCGTGTGTCATGGGCATAGCCGCGTCGGGGCCTAGCATAGGGCACGGCGATACTTGGAATCCGACAGAGCGGCAGCTCCTTCTCGACACGTCCACTGCCACTGCATCGTAGTTGCCGAATTATGCAAGATCATTCAATTTCATTCAATTTCATTCAATTTCCCCCACTTGCACGCAGGTGAGGGCTGACCGAGTGACAACGCCTCCCTCGTGTAGGACACGCCAGTGACCCTAACGGTAACTGACCTCTATTGGTTTCAGGTGTGCCCCGAGACGTGGGGTAGGGCACCGACGTGCGTACAATGGCCCACTATCGAGAAACGGTGGCGTGGGGGGTCTGTAGGGGTCTGAATCGCGGCGCACAGTGAGGCCCGTGGTGACGACTGCCCACGTGTGCCACGGGGAGGCCGAGGCTGCAGGGATCTCCCACCAAACCACTGCTCTCCCACCAAACTAGAGCTCTCCCACCAAACCACTGCTCTCCCACCAAACCACTGCTATCCCACCAAACTACAGCTCTCCCACCAAACTACAGCTCTCCCACCAAACCACTGCTCTCCCACCAAACTACAGCTCTCCCACCAAACTACAGCTCTCCCACCAAACCACTGCTCTCCCACCAAACTACAGCTCTCCCACCAAACTACAGCTCTCCCACCAAACTACAGCTCTCCCACCAAACTACAGCTCTCCCACCAAACCACTGCTCTCCCACCAAACTACAGCTCTCCCACCAAACTACAGCTCTCCCACCAAACTACAGCTCTCCCACCAAACCACTGCTCTCCCACCAAACTAGAGCTCTCCCACCAAACTACAGCTCTCCCACCAAACTACAGCTCTCCCACCAAACTACAGCTCTCCCACCAAACTACAGCTCTCCCACCAAACCACTGCTCTCCCACCAAACTACAGCTCTCCCACCAAACTACAGCTCTCCCACCAAACTACAGCTCTCCCACCAAACCACTGCTCTCCCACCAAACTACAGCTCTCCCACCAAACTACAGCTCTCCCACCAAACTACAGCTCTCCCACCAAACTACAGCTCTCCCACCAAACCACTGCTCTCCCACCAAACTACAGCTCTCCCACCAAACTACTGCTCTCCCACCAAACTACAGCTCTCCCACCAAACTACAGCTCTCCCACAAAACTAGAGCTCTCCCACCAAACTACAGCTCTCCCACCAAACTACAGCTCTCCCACCAAACTACAGCTCTCCCACCAAACTACAGCTCTCCCACCAAACTACAGCTCTCCCACCAAACTACAGCTCTCCCACCAAACTACAGCTCTCCCACCAAACCACAGCTCTCCCACCAAACCACTGCTCTCCCACCAAACTACAGCTCTCCCACCAAACTAGAGCTCTCCCACCAAACTACAGCTCTCCCACCAAACTACAGCTCTCCCACCAAACTACAGCTCTCCCACAAAACTAGAGCTCTCCCACCAAACTACAGCTCTCCCACCAAACTACAGCTCTCCCACCAAACTACAGCTCTCCCACAAAACTAGAGCTCTCCCACCAAACTACAGCTCTCCCACCAAACTACAGCTCTCCCACAAAACTAGAGCTCTCCCACCAAACTACAGCTCTCCCACCAAACCACTGCTATCCCACCAAACTACAGCTCTCCCACCAAACCACAGCTCTCCCACCAAACTACAGCTCTCCCACCAAACTACAGCTCTCCCACCAAACCACAGCTCTCCCACCAAACTACAGCTCTCCCACCAAACTACAGCTCTCCCACAAAACTAGAGCTCTCCCACCAAACTACAGCTCTCCCACCAAACTACAGCTCTCCCACCAAACTACAGCTCTCCCACCAAACTACAGCTCTCCCACCAAACCACAGCTCTCCCACCAAACTACAGCTCTTCCACCAAACTACAGCTCTCCCACCAAACTACAGCTCTTCCACCAAACTACAGCTCTCCCACCAAACTACAGCTCTTCCACCAAACCACTGCTCTCCCACCACATTACTGCTCCCATCGAGGCGACAGCTTTCTGCTTTATTCCCACGAATATCTGTGGTGTCACCTCAACTTCGCCTCCTATCCTCTAACCTCGTTCTCTGTTTCATACCCCAACCGTGCCTCCCCCCCCCCCCCCCCCACAGACTTGTTAAAAGATTGGAGCCGCCCCAAGGAACGTAACAAGGACCAGCTCCACGACGATTTACACATTGGCACGTCCTGCAGAGTATGCGGATGGTGATGAACATATTAATGGATTTAGCAACACGACAAAGTAAAATCTTGTTTGCTATCACAGATTTCCTGGAGAACTCTAGGGTAAAATATCAAAAAACAAAACCCCATTTTTTCAATCTTAAAAATGCACCTCGTTTGCAAAAGAATGATCCATTCATATTCCTTCCTTCGTTCATTTTCTCCAAGCTCACAGTCTAACTGGCAGCAAATCAAATCGCCTTGATCTGCCTGGTGCCATGAAAAGTGGCATAAATAATAAAAGGGAATGTTTAACCGCTCGCCGCTCGCGATCGCAGGATAAGGCCCTCTCCCCCCCCCGCCCGGACCTGCCAGGCAGCGTCAAGTCAGGTGCGCGACCACCCAGTGGCTCCGGCAGCAGGGGCGATAGGAGGCTTACCAAAGCCGAGATGTAAATCACGGGCAACACGGCGACAGAAGATTGACGTGACCTTGGCCTGATAGACATCGGCGAGAGAAATACTCTTTCCTAGACACATGCTGCTTTCTGTGAGAATTACTTTAGATCAGGAAAAGAGCGGTCTGGACTTTATTACAACATCGCACGCATGTCGACACGCGTGCTCGTCTGTGTACGCGCGTGTCTCTACACGTTGGTAAAGATTAGCGTTGTTGTCATCGTCAGCCGTGGCCTATCCACTACTGGATGAAGGCATTCCTGCTCCCAAGCCGTCGCCATCTCGCGATGCCTGGGACGGAGTGATGAATCCACGTAGCGCCTGCCTGCTCCATCTCCCTCCAATGGACGACCTCTCGGGCACGTTCAATTCCATACACCGAGGAGCGGAGTTAAGCAAAAATAAATAAGGAAAAACCTGCAATTTTATTATTTCCTTTCCTAATACAGGAAAAAAAATTGTTGTTTCCTGAATAATGTCAGCTGCTTAAAATGTCATGTTTCTCTCTCTCTCTTGCTCTACGCGTGTATATTAAAAGTAACATAAAAGTTGCATTATTTGTGTGGTCGCTGAAGTAGCAACATTCCAACTTAGTGCGTACATGGATAGAGTGTCTACAGGCACTCGCAAAAAGGCTTCTCACAGCTGAGAAAATTAATCAATAAACGAGAGGGATATAATTCCGCTCTTGGCAAGGGCCTGACTTTTTCGAAGCATGAAAAATTAGACGAAATATATAAGCTATGAATTAAACGGGTGGCTTGCATCACATGCTTGTTGAGTGTGCTTATGTGTGCGTGTGTGCATGCAGCCGTGTATTCAATGTGTCTGTGTATATAGTGTGGGGAGCGGTAGTGTAGCGATTAACGCGCTGCGCTACGAACCTGGCCACCCAGGTTCGATTCCCGTTCACAGCGAACACCAGTGACGATTATCTGAACCGGTCCTGGGCCTCCCCTAGGTCGACTCAGCCTCAAATGAGTACCCGGTGCAATGTGTAAACATCGCCGCTGAGGAGACAAAGGCGGCCAGGCGTGGTGTTGGCCACCCACCGCCTCGTGTGCCGTGCCAGCCTTTACAGGTGCTCGCTAACAGCACATGCCCCAACAGCCTGTCTTTATGATAGTTTGTATGCATGCGTGCGTGTATTGCACTGTGCGTTTGTATGAATGTGTGTGTGCTGTATATTGCATTGTGTGTGTGTGTGCATTTGTGTGTGTGAAAGGCTACACAGTGAGGGGGGGGTGGGGGGAATCTCTGTCTTTGTGTTCGCACACCAAACAAACGACGCGGTGAGACAGTCCGTGCCGGCGGAAACTCACAGGGAGTTGAGGAACCGCAGGCCCTGGAAGGCGTCGGCCGCGATCTCAGTGATCTGGTTGTTGCTCAAATCTCTGCAAAGCAAAAAAAAGGAAAGAAAAACACGAAACGGGAGGAGACACAAGCAGGGTGTTAGGGGACAGAGGAGCGAGGGGGGTGGGCGGGGGTGGGGGACGATGAACCCGGGCAGCCTGAGGTCTATTCCCAGCTGGGGTTAACGTCAGTGGCGAGTCACCCCCCAACCCCACCTTCACCAACCCGCACTGCTCCAATCCGGTGAGGGATGGTGAAACAGCCACCACAACCCACATGGAGCCCCTCATCCAGCAGCGGACTGACAAAGCACCGTAAATTATTACAGTAAACATGTATATTACACTTCTTCATAGTTTATTTATTTTGACCCTCTAGAGGGATTAAACAGCTTCATTTTGGCCTGATGCATGAAATGTAAAAGATGTTTATTTGCTTGTAAATCTTGCAAGGGTATGCGCTATTAAAAACCTCACCCTAGCATAAATAAAATGTCTGAACCGATGCCGCGAAGAACTGGGACGTCCTACGAAAGCCGTGCGAGCGCGATTTGAAACCATCTCGTTCTCAAAACATGACAACAACAAAAACACAAACACACGGAGACTGCGGTGCGATCCACCGCAGGAAAAGACGGCGCGAAGATCGATCCTCGGCCTCTTGACCATTAAAAGTCGTGCCCTGATGTTTTTTCACGTTCAACAGCTCGGCAAGCTCAGCAGCCGTTTCTCCCTCCTCCTCGCTGGGTCACCGTTCCAGCGGCCGTGATTAACGGCGCGGCGGCCGTTCAAGCAGAAGCTTAAAATCGATGCTGACGGTCGGTGGGCGGGGGGGGGGGGGTAGTATGGGGTGGGGGGTCGGACTAAAAAGGTGGATGCCCCTTTGTTACCGCCACCGCGTATTTCTGCGCTGTGCTGCTGCGGGAGCGGAGAGATTAAACAAACCGTTAAAACAACGGGCACTTACATCCTGCGCAGTTTCTTGTAGGGGCTGAAGGCTCCGGGAGGGATCATCTTGATGGAGTTCTGTTCCAGGCGCCTGGGAGAGATGCGGGCGCGGGAAAAAAAAACACGACGCACGCGGTTACCGCGTTCGCTCGATCGCGGATGCGTGTCGCTGGAACGGAGGCTGCTGCTGCTGCTGCTGCGGTGGTGGTGGTGGGGCATGGTTGGCATTGGCCCTGATGCAAGGAATTAAATGTGAGGGCCGCACCCCATTTCCCCCCCCCCCATCTCCCCCCTTGTTCAATTTCCTCTTCCTCCTCCTCTTTGCCGCCCGGTGCCTGGGACCCTGTGGCGCGTGCCCCCCGGTGCAGTTGCACCGCCTGCGTACTCAGCAGCGACTCCGCCCACCTGCAGAATTCCCAAAGCCCACGCCCAGTCACAAAAGGCTGTGTCGTCAAAAGTTGCCCGCTCGGCCCCGTGCTTTGTTCGTTCCTAAAGGATTTGCCGTCGAGCGGACGGAATTGCAGACGAGCGACGCAGTACTAATTTAGCTCGTAAGAATTACACGCTCACGATCAATCTTTCCCATCGTGCAAGCAATGATCGATTATTTACGATTTGTACCTGGTCACGGCCATGGTTCGACCGAAGCTCAGCATGATGGCCAGTGCCTCCGCCGTGGAACAGAGGTGGCCTTGACCGATCGTGACATCGCACGCCAATGCGGCGAGCCGCGGCCATGCATCGAAGTCGGCTTTCCTCCGGGCTCCAAGTGGCGGTGCGCGCTAACCACCGAGCCGCCACTCCGAGCCCACTCATTTAATCATTCAGCACCAGGCGAGGGAGCCGTGAGCATCTGAGCACGGCGGAGCTGAATTCCATTCCGGTTAATCGGATCTGGGTGGTGAGCGGGTTCCCCCCCCCCCCCGCCCCCGTCGCACGTGGTTCTCTTGTAGCCGGCGTGAACCTCCCGCCGGTCGAATGAGAACTACGTCTGGGCGCGCCCGAGGAAGGGAAAGGTCACCTGTAAAGGGGGTGCCGGCCACCCACGACCTCGTCTTCCAGGCCAAGCATAAAGAGAAGCTGCTGCCCGTCGTAGCGAAGTCCCCTGCGGGGGCTCTCTGCCTCTGCCTGTCTCTCTCCCTCCCTCCCTGCCCCCTCTCTCTCTATTTATAGCACGGTTTAAATAAAACAGTACGTGCATTAAAAATAAGATGATGAAGGGGTCAGTAACTTAATAAAAAGCTTTCAGGCCGATGAAAAGTTATCGGTGCGCTGGCGCACATGGCCCCTTCTCGGCCGAGCGGGTTATAGCGCGTGCATGTGCATCTTCCCTGCCTGACGGAGACCCTGCCTCACAGAGACCCTGCCTCACAGAGACCCTGCCTCACAGAGACCCTGTCTCACAGAGACCCTGCCTCACAGAGACCCTGCCACGTAGAGACCCTGTCTCACAGAGACCCTGACTCACAGAGACCCTGCCACGTAGAGACCCTGTCTCACAGAGACCCTGCCTCACAGAGACCCTGCCTCACAGAGACCCTGTCTCACAGAGACCCTGCCTCACAGAGACCCTGTCTCACAGAGATCCTGCCACGTAGAGACCCTGTCTCACAGAGACCCTGTCTCACAGACACCCTGCCTCACAGAGACCCTGTCTCACAGAGACCCTGCCTCACAGAGACCCTGTCTCACAGAGACCCTGACTCACAGAGACCCTGCCACGTAGAGACCCTGTCTCACAGAGACCCTGCCTCACAGAGACCCTGCCTGACAGAGACCCTGTCTCACAGAGACCCTGTCTCACAGAGACCCTGCCTCACAGAGACCCTGCCACGTAGAGACCCTGTCTCACAGAGACCCTGCCTCACAGAGACCCTGCCTGACAGAGACCCTGTCTCACAGAGACCCTGTCTCACAGAGACCCTGCCTCACAGAGACCCTACCACGTAGAGACCCTGTCACATAGAGACCCTGCCTCACAGAGACCCTGCCTCACAGAGACCCTACCACATAGAGACCCTGCCACGTAGAGACCCTGCCTCACAGAGACCCTGCCTCACAGAGACCCTGTCTCACAGAGACCCTGACTCACAGAGATCCTGCCTCACAGAGACCCTGTCTCACAGAGACCCTGCCTCACAGAGACCCTGTCTCACAGAGACCCTGACTCACAGAGATCCTGCCACGTAGAGACCCTGCCACATAGAGACCCTGCCTCACAGAGACCCTGCCTCACAGAGACCCTGACTCACAGAGATCCTGCCTCACAGAGACCCTACCACATAGAGACCCTGCCACGTAGAGATCCTGCCCCATAGAGAACCTGCCTCACAAATACCCTGCCTCGTAGAGACCCTGCCTCACAGAGACCCTGACTCACAGGGACCCGGCCACAAAGAGACCCTACTCGCGAGGACACGAAGGCTAAAGACCCTAAGAGATTGAATGGCCCTAAGTCCATGTATTTCCTTAACAGGATCTGCGATGTACCTGGCTCAGAGGAATATTGGATTAGATAATTACGCAGAGATGCATCTGTGAGGGCCAGAGGCTTTCGAACATAAATGGGCTTTTTTTTATTAAATGCTTTAATAATATAATCCTATTTTTTACTTTCAGTGTTTCTTTTTATCATCCCTTATTTTTGTCAATTTTTTTTTCCATTCCTTTCTATTACAGGGTCAATTGCAGCTTAAGCGCTCCCTCGAGTCAATCCGTCTCATCTGGCTGGGTTTGGCCAAAGATCCGTACGAAAACGAGGCCACATCACATCTGCTAAATGCTATCGCCCAGGGAGGAACCTGCAATCCCCGGCACTGATGCTTCTAATTACTCCTCGGGTAAAGTGGGGGACACTGTCAGAATCCATTTACCTTAACCCTTGCACCCGAGGCATTCGTTTCTCTCCTAAGTTTTTATTTTTGGAGCTTGGCCACCTACGGCACCGGCTTTGGAAGAAGAAGAAAAAAAAACGATGAAGCTGAAAGCAAATTTGTTTGTTTCATTAGCGTGGCGTCTCTCCACGGGAGTTGGCCACGGTTTTTTCCGGCGACCGCCTGGCTTTCGAGTCGTTCGGAAAAAAAATTCCGGCGAGAGCGGCCCAAGTCTGAGGAGCAGCAGCAGCAGCAGCAGCAGCGTCAGTGCATAAAATACTTGGTATGTTTCCCCACAACCACGCCGTACGATCATTGTCACCGATATCACTTTATACGTTTTTTAAAAATTTCCGAGCGTGCCAAGCGAAGCGCATGGTTTGTCACGGAGCTGCTGGGATGTGCGTTCATTGAGGGGGGGGGGGGGGGTGAGGCGGAGAAATGGTTCAACGATGTTCCGATAGATGGCTCTGGCAGGAATGACGGGGTGAGCGTGAAAATGGGACAGGAAATCCTCGCCTCCTCTGCCCTGTTCTTAAGGGTGGCAACCAAAATACAACTTTGTCTGTGCCAAGGTTGAAAACATCTCGCTTGATTTGATTGATTCATCCCCACGTATATTTATTACAATGTTCGGGCGTATATATTTACTTTTTAATTGTTGATGCTGTGAAAAATGACAGCAATGTTCTTGCCTGCGTTAGGGGTTTTTTGTGTTTGTCGTTTTGAGTTGTTAATTAGAGCGGATAATTTAGTTCATCTGTTTCAATTTCCTAGACCGAATGCACTCTGTTTTGCAGAAACAAAACACCCGCGCGTTATGTTCATTAATGGAAAGCAAACAAACAACACTTTTAAGGCGCAGAGCGCTCTGCCGCCGCAATGCGACGTCTCAACACAAACACGCTCCAGCCCGTCGGAGTGTAAATTATGATTACTATCCCCGCTCCGTGTGTTCATCGCGTCGAGAGCTCAGCTTGACGTCGCCATGTGGCGCCGCATCAGCGAGACACGGGCCAGTCTCTTACAGCGGACGCTTCTCATGAAGTCGGCATTGGGGCGGCGGCGGTGGTGGTGGTTATGAATGGCGGTGGTGATGATTGGCAGCGATGGCGATGATTGGTGGTGTTGGTGATGATTGATGGCGGTGGTGGTGGTAATGATTGGTGGCAGTGGTGGTGGCGATAATTGGCGGTGGTGGTGATTGATAGCGGTGGTGGTAATGGTGTTGATGATTGGTGGTGATTGGTAGAGGTGGTGGTGATGGCTTGTGGCAACGGTGGTGGAGCTGGTGACTTGGTACAGAGGTGGCAGTGGGGCGCGGTGGTCAGGAGCATCAATCGCATCTGAGAGCCACGCAAGAGGACGGTGCTCATCCCCCCTCTCCTCCCCCCCCAGGCCCCCCTTCCGCATCCCCCTTCTCCACCCCCCACCCCTCCCGGCCGGCGGTGCTCACAGCTCGGTGATGGCGTTGGGCAGATTGTGGGGGATGCTGGAGAGGCTCTTGCCACGGCAGTCGACCACGTTGTTGCTGCACGTGCACACGGACGGGCACGAGCTGCCGAACGCACTGCACGACTGGCCCCGCGAGTAGTCTGCAGCACACACGCACACACGCACACGCACGGGACACGCGCACGATCTTACATGGTCACATCCCTCCAGAGGCACTCAGGGATTCACCTCCCTGAACCTGACTCCGTGAACCCTTGGACATCAACGGTGAACTCTATCGGTGAATCCCCCCGAGCGTCGACAATTAACGCCGAAAGTGCTTTGTGTCTCTTAGATTGCTTCGCTACTCTTAAGGCTCACAAAGGTGCCTCAGGCCTGGCTATCCTAGCCTCGAGTATTAACAGTGAACTCCAACGATCCTAAAGGGGCCTCCAGCCTGGCTCTCTGAGACTCAAGCATGAACACTCAATCCGTAGGTGACGATGCTTACATCAACGGCATTGCGACGTCAATTGCCCCCTGCATGCCCGCTGCCTTTCGTGGCGATGGACGCATCTGGTTAATGGAGACGCTGGCCTGCAAGGGCAGACCCTGAGACATCCGTGTGAGATAAGTGATGGCCAAAGAGGGAGTATCGATCTACTTTGCGTTAGCACGATGGCGAATGAGACACCGCGGCACGGATGTTTATGCATTTGACGATGATTAATCTATCCATCGATTAAGATCGATTCCTACGCTCGCGATACGTGCGTTGAACCTCCGTGAGTATGAACAGATTGTTTGTAGATCTTGCGTGTCAAAGATTTCACCATCATCTCTGCATCCACCACAATGTTTGAACACAAACCATTTGAATTACACACATAGCGATCACGGTGTCAACGGCAACAGGATCCACACGTGCACCAGTGCACGACTACAATTTTAACTGCACCCAGTTTGTTAATAAATAAATATACAGCCTTGAAATTAAATGTTCGAGTTCAGCTGCTTATTTATGTTATTACTATTCTTGGTTCTTTCGGTAAAGTCACGTAGAAGGAAAACAATAAAATAATAAAAATATAAAACAATAAAATTCTCACGACGTTTCGACTGCAACACAAGCAATCATCATCAGATGTGAAAACCACAGCAAGATGATGATTGTTTGTGTTGCAGTCGAAACGTCGTGAGAATTTTATTGTTTTATATTTTTATTATTTTATTGTTTCCCTTCTACGTGACTTTACCGAAAGAACCAAGAATATAAATCCCTGCAGTCACGAAAGCTTTAAATCAAAATTTATGTTATTACTGTTATGCCACACGCACACACACACACACGCACGTTTGGTTTAATGCGGTGCATTAAATGCGGCGGAGCAAATTTGCTTGAACGGTGGAGTACGTTCCTGGGACAGGATGTTCCAATTTTTTGCTGAGCGTGCTCGATCGCAAACCGTAATAACCACAACATCTGATATTTGAGGCGCACCAACTCGGTTGTTCGCGCGGGCAGATCCGCAGTTGGCGCGTCGATAAACGTTCCCCATGACGCGCGCGCTGCACGGCCGCTGGCGATCGGCCGCATCGTCCCATTGCTGTTGCCCAGCTTTTTAAAACCAAGCTCAAGCTGATTAAAAAAAAGTAATACAAACTCAACATTTATAAACATTTTAAAATTAAAAACAAGATTATATGTAAACTCTACGAACATGCTCGCATGATATAAGATGGCGATCGCCCGATAACTTTTCTTTCAATGCTCTCGCTACAGAGGTAACTGCATGGAGCTTTACCGCATAAGTGAGATCTGAATAACCGAGATGTCTAATCCAGACAGATGGCTATAGATAGATTTTATTCATTTCCAGCAGGAAGGGCCCAATAAGCTTCGAGGCTGTCTTTCACGAGCGCGCTTCGATGGTGCAGCTGTTATGCGGTACACATCTTAGTTACATTCATGGTTTACGCAGGTTGTCTTCCGCGTGTCTCAAGCCGTCCGACTCATCTTTAAATCGACGTCAATGAAAAACGAGGAGTGGAATCGGCGTTCAGGCAAAGCTCCAGAGACGTGGTCACGGTGACGTCTGGTACATTACGGCAATCACGCTGCAGCGACATTTTCATTTAAAGCCACCAAAGTTCTCGCTAACAAAGCAGCAAACGCATATCGGGCAGCCCAAGACATAAGTCCCAAATATGTCGCTATAAGATAAGAGTTCTTTGTGTTTTTTTAGGTTGTGTTCTGCTTTTAGTTAAACGAGCTTATCATTATTATTTCTGCACTCGGTTATTTTTTTTAATCTAGGGGTTGTTTTATATTTATATCTCTCTCTCTCGCTTCGGCCTCTGTTGGCGGTGAGAGTGAATTCACTGCTCCGTGTGAATTAATTGACCTTAGTGGAGAGTTTAATGCAAACCTGACAAGAATTAAGCACCGGACAAGCTCCCTGGCAAGGGTTCCCGGAACAACACGCGTGTTCACACGCTGGCCAAGGAACCATCGAACCGTGCTGGAGCACACACCTACGACAAGACGCGCACGCCAACGCACACACAAAGATCCCCCGACGCAGCGAGTAGCCTACGCAGCCTGCCGGGGCAGCTGCTGTTAGCGAGCACCTATTATAAGGTCGGTACGGCGCACGACGGGACGGTGTGGCCGGAAACCAACGGCCGGACCACCTTTGTCTCCCCCGTGCTGATGTTAACACGCGCTGTGGCAGGTCGACCAAGGGAAGGCCCAGGACAGCTTCAAATATTCGCCGCTGTTTATTGGTCACGGGACCGGGATTAAACTGGGGTCGTCGGCGGGCTTCGTAGCGCAGTGCGCTCATCACTACGCGCCCGCTCCCCACAAACACCCGCGCACGTGCGCACGCGCAGATGCACGTGGACTACGTTGCTTGCACATCGTCGAGCCGAACGTTCAAACCAAACTGTGCAATCGCAGAACAAGCGCCACCATTTTCAAGTCGGCAGCAGAGCGCGACCAAAGTCGCACAGGCAAAAGGAGGTCCCTCCGAACGCCGCGACGCCACTCTGGTTAGAGCCGTCCATGAAAGCGGTTTAAAAATATAGACAGATACAAAGACAAAGATCCCCAGATAACCTTTACCAGATTGTTAGGGCAAGTGCTGTCAGCGAGTACCTACCAAGGCTGGCACGGCACACGAGGGGGTGGGTGGGCCACATGCCATGCCCGGCCGCAATAATTACCAAGAAATAGGCAGAGCGAGTAAATAAATTGTGCACGCGTAATTAGTCTGAAGGGACCGAATCTGCATGGGAAATCTAAACGCCATAAAAGCGCACAAAGACTTGGTGATTATACCACGAGCTTAACGGGCAATAAAGGGAGGAGCGGCCGCTATTAGCGCACACACCTGGCTGGCGGCGAGCTTGGGAAGACAAGCGGTTAGGATGTCGACTGCTGCATTAATTTTCTCATCAGTGGACGGTGGGGAGGCGGTGGTGGGGGCTAGGGGGGAGTCCAGGTGGCCCTGCCCTCTGTCGTCATCTCGCCACCGACGAGGCTTTCAGCGAGCGGACTGAGGCGGTTTTAGACTCCTCGCTTTTATTGATTCGCGCCTCAACCCGACACGGATGATTTTATGCCAATTACGGAACACAGCCGCGAAAGATTGTCGTGTGAGCGCGCGAGCGTGTAAGCGCCCTGTCCGGGTGTCTGGGGAAGATCGATTTTAAGTCGCGGCTGACGTCGCCGGTAAACGATATCCGAAAGATGTGGTGGGGTTCCCCACCCCCACCCTCCCCTCTAGGTCGACTCAGCCTTAAAAACGCGTGCCCGGATCAATACGCGAATGGTCGGCACCGGCGATGAGAGACGAACTCGGCCAAGCGCCGGCGCTGTCCGCAGCGTGCGCCAGGCGATGCGCCGCCCTTCGTTTGCCGCTCCGTGCCATCGTGCGGCCTGGCGGTCTATACGAGGGTGCGGGGGGGGGACCTTCGCCTTTCGTGTGTCTGCGTAAGATTGAGGATTTGCATTTATATGTGTGCATGCCCAATTAGGCCGCGCTTTGACAACAAGCGGCATTTCCTTCACTTTGCAAATGCGCCACATTCCGCCGGCGATTACACAAATACTCGAGTCACTTAAACGAGAGCCGAGACTCGTCGTTCGTTGTATATACGCCCCCAGCGCTTCTAACTTGTTAACGCATTATTTTTCGTGAGAATTCAGATGAAAGGGGGGCAGTGGGAGGAGGGCGGGGGGCAGGGGGAGGGATCCTGGAGGAAGATGGGACGGCGCTTGGGTGCAATGCAGGATACGCGACGCCCTTCAAACTGAAGAAAATATGGACCGAGATCACGCGCGCACGCACAACAGCGTCGCACTTCAAAGACATTCAATTCTGGCTCACAGGTTCCTCGGGACAACGGCGTGCATTGAATGACGCAGGTGCCGGGTGATGCAAGGAGTGAAAATAGTGCCGAGGTTCCTGGGACATTGCATCTCAAATGTCTCCTCCCCACACTGATCAGGAACGGGTGGCCTCCGACCAACTAGGGGGGGTGGGGGGGTTGGGGGAGAGTTTGGGGAGGGGGGGCATGGGAACCGTGGAACATTTGCAGGCCCCGTTAAATCACCGGCGAGGAATCTTGCGAGGCCCATGCCTAAACAGTAAGCCGATTTGCTCTCGTCGTCGCTCAAGTGGGCCTCCTTGAACGAGGTGAAAGGAGAGGGCACACACGCACACGCAAGAGAGAGAGAGAGAGTGAGAGAGAGAGAGCCGGACGAAGATGAAAAGGGAGAAACATGGGAGCTGATGGGGAGTGGGTGGGGGGGTTTGGTGGGTGGGGGCGGGTGCGTCGAGCGGGTGAGTTGTGCGTCGAAAGGGCAGGGGGTTTAACACACGAAAAGTCACAACGCTCCATCCTGTCGTATTTATCTCCAAGAGCAGCCTTTTAATTACACAGTCTCCACGGCAATCTTTCACCCGTCGCAAAGAGTGCGGGGCCCGCTAAATTAGCCCGGGGCTTAATTGCAGAGCACATTAACCGCGGTTTCAATAACCCCTTGTTTTTTTTGTTACTTTGCCGACGCGCGGAGGTTTTGTCTCTCTCTCTCTCTCTCTGTGTACCTATTTCCCTTTTTTCAAAGACGTTTCTTTTTTTATAGCTGCAGATGAAATGATGAAGTGGCACGCGGTCTTTATGCGCCCCGCACGTGCGCCGAATACGCGATGCGTTCCATGAATCGACTCGAAAATGCGGGGGGATTGCGAACACAATGGCGCCGGCTTCCCTTATTTTGTCGAATTAATTAACGCACGCCTAATTGGACGCTTTTGTCCCATTCGCCCCCCACCCCCCCACCCCCCCCCCCCCCATTTTTTCATTCACCAAACTTAATACTTCCTCTTTAACCTCACGATGATCGTAGCGCCGTTCTCGGGGACTTACGCAGCAAACAGAGGCGTGCGGAGGGAGAGTTTTTTTTATTTTGCTGCGGCGAATTTGCAGCGCGGCAGCTCGAGGGAAGAGTTTAATCGTCCACCGAGCGCGCTCCATCCCGCGCGGCTGAAGCTGTCGCGTCTCTCACCCGCCCAACGCCCCCTCGACGGCGACCGTCGCTCCCAAGATGACCCCCCCCCTCCCTCTCCCCGAGGGAGATCGAGCAGCCGTCGCGTTCGCAAAATCGGAGCACGATTGCGTTCTACCCGCTCGAAAAGGCGTCTCGTGACCCACGGGGCTGGCAGAGAGAGAGCGGGCGGGTTGGCGCGCAGAATGCGAGGGAAGGAAAGAGGCACCGTGGGCACGCAAGGGTTAAGTGCTGTTACAGCCTCCTTGCAGATGGCTGCAGAGTGGCGGTTACAGACCCTGCATTTCAATAAGTAGCGGTGGCGGAAAATGAGTGTTCTGCGCTGTACATGACTTCCCCGGGTAAAATCATACACTGTCCCGGAGAGGTTTTATTCCACTCTTTCGTTCTTGCTTTCTCACCCGCTCGCTCATTCACTGCCTTGTACTCTTTTAATAGCCCGAGACTTGGGCAGAATGTACGATGGAAAAATGTATCACTAAACGTGCCCCCCACCCCCCCCCCCCCCCCCCCCCCCCCCGTCCGCAACCTTCCCCCCCTCTCCATAACTGCCAACCACCCACCCCGATGTTCGCTTGCAAAGCCCGACCTCTCAATCCCCTCTGGTGAAGCACTGGGCATGCCAAGGAGCACACGAACATGCCTGTGCCACCGTGGCGGGTGACGCGGTAATACGGCGCACCGCCACCCCCCCCCCCCCCCCCCCCCCCCCCCCCCGCTTACCCGTGCGGGGCGGTATTCTCTGAGTAGGTGCCAAACTCTGAGCCCCAGCGCCATCAATTATTCCATTTGTTGGTTTTTAACCCCAATTATCGGGCATGTAAGGATTCACCACCCACTACCCCCCACCCCCCACCCCCCCACCCCATCACACATGGTTGTATATTAAGTGGCAATAATTTTTTCTGCACGTATTAAATGTGTCGTTGCTTGCATGGCCAGCAATTATAGAATTACTTATATATCAACAGGATAATATATCTGGAATTCCCTTCAGTGGAATTGTTAATCGCGCTCGGTGGTAACTATTTTTGCATGCCCTGCAAAGAGTATTCATCGCGCGGCCATAAAAAGGAAATATTGATTTCGCAGAGCAGGAACAAGCTAAATTCGGTGGCTAAACCAAATTTAATATTGCGATATTTTTTGCACAGCAATTGGCAACTGGGCTGAAACCATCAACTCACCGCATTTTAGAAATGGGGTTTAGGGTTGGGTGACTGAAACCCAGAGTTGAACCTGGCGTGTCAGTGGTTGGTGGCTCCGTGTCTCCACCGCACCCTTTATTCATCGTCCGAGTCACCGGGACACCTCCGAAGCTGCGTTGTCCAATCAATGCATCTTTATTTTCCCCTGCGCCATTAAAACGTGGCATTCGCACAGTTGTCTGAGACGTGCCAGTGCTTACCGTGGACACAAATGCAAAAATGTTCCCAACATGTCACCAACATGTTAACACATCGCCCCACGTGGCATTGCCAGCACTGTAAACGTTAAGCCATCTGCATCTACGGAAATTGCACTCACGGCACGGCAACTACGTGCATTTGGGAGCCGTTACAAAAATACACTGAAGGTGACGAGAGAATAATTGACAAGGTGGGTGAAAGTATGGAGGATTAAATCAGGTCGTCATATTCAATTTGTACACGTGCACACGCGCGTGCATGCAAACCTCCTCCTCACAACACCAAACCCCCCCCCCCCCCAACACTGCACCTGACTCCCAGAAACCTTAAAATCTCAAAACGAACAAAGGCAGAGTGAGCAAAACGTTCCCACAAATTCCCTGCGCGCTCCGTAATTTTACAGGCAATCAATTTGCGCATGAGTTGCGTGTCGCATCGTCCCAGGGAAATGTCTGGGACAAAAACACCTCGCGTAGCTCCATTTCAGCAAACGACTACAGACAGAATTACGTAATCAATAAACGACTCAGCGGTTTTTTTTAACCAAACATTTCTAAATGCTCTGGCCGTCAGGGAGCGAGGCTGATGGCATTGCCAACAGACGGGTGTGCTTTGCCAGCGGAGAATTTCAATGGACGAATACTTCAGGGTCAGAGTTTCCGATTCCGTCGCCTTGCTTGGTCCAAAGGCAGCCCCGTGCACTTCTTTGCACCTCAATCGAGACGAGGAGAGTTCCACGAAGACACGAATCTCTACTCCATCGCAGCGAATCGGGCGACGCAATGACCCCTGTGGTCTTGGTGCCTGAACGGGCTCTCGATTGAGCGACGGTGCGTTGGCAGTGGTGCACGAGCATTAATAACAAGAAAAGTAACACGTCAGTCACCCGTGGCCTTAAAAGGAAACAATATGTAATAGATGACGTTTCTGGGCAATGGTTCTTCCTCGTGCACAGGTCTATGGGACACATGTGCCATGGGGAAAGGTCATCCCCTTGAAAGGTAATCCATTCTATATTTTTCGTCTCAAGATCACGGTGTCGAGTTTTTAGATAAAATTCAGGTTTAGTGAGGAAATGAAACGCTGGTTTCAAATCCTGGTGGTCAGTCGCGAAATTATGAAGCCAAGTGTGGAGAGTTGACGGTCTCTGCCTCGCCTGCAATGACCGCGTAAAAAATATCAACGTCCAAGTTGGCTTGCCGCGTAAGATTTTTTTTTCTCTAGGGGCTCGTGGAAAAGTGCAGCACTGCGATTGAAGGGATCTCAGGGGTTAGTTCTGTGATGTCTACTTCTGAGGGCTCTTTTCTAACAAGGTGCGATGCGTCTGTTCTCTAAGAGTTCTGAATGGAATAGCTTGTCTCACAAAGTGACACCAAGAATACAATTGGAATAAATTTGGGGACAAAAAATATTGAACTATGGGCCAGTGGTCATCTCTGTTACCAACCTTGAGCAGCCAATGGTGGAAACTCCAGAATTCCATTGAAGCAGCCAGCCTCCTCATGGGACGACCGATACAAAAGTTCACAAGAAACACCTCACTTTGATCGACGCTTAATGATGCGGTGACCAAACAAAACGTGTTATGAAGTTCACGGAGCAACGGTGGTCAGGGGTCGAGGAGCGGGGGGCGGGGGTCGGGGGGGTCACGGAGAGAAGCGGGAAACTGACCGGCGCAGGTGAACTCCTTTTTCTGAACCTCAGCGACGTTGAGGCCGCGGAGGTGTACGGGGCCCATGCACTGGGTGAAGAGGCCCAGGCGCGGCCTGAGACGCAGCCAATCAGAGAGCCAGGAGAGGCGGCAGTCGCAGTGCAGGTTGTTTGAGTGCAGGCGGCTGGAGTGGTGGCGACGGCGGTGGAAGGAGAAGGAGGAGAGGGTAGGGGAAGGGAAGGACGGAGGAGGAGTGAGGGAAAGGGTTAAAGCTGTAACCTTTTCACACGCAATGAAGCTACTCAACCGCCAACGTGCGTCTGCATACATTTTTAAAACATCCGCAATTTTAACAGAGTATTCATCACAATACAAAACGTTGTCATGAACTAAATTGCAAAATTTATATGCAAATGCACCGCTAAATTTTCCCCAATCAAGCTCAGCGCCTAACACTCGCCTGCGCGCATTAATATATATTTAGCAGCTTTAAATATTCTGCTCTGGGCTTTGACGTGTGTCAGTGCGCGTGTGGGGGCCGCGGTGGTGGCACGGATGGGGGTAGTGTCGCGGTTAGTGCGCCGAGTTACAAATCCGACGACCCGAGTTCAATTCCCACTCACGACCAACATCGGTGACAAATATTTGAACCCTTCCTAAGTCGACTCAACCTCAAATGAGTAACTTGTGCGGTGTGTAAACATCGCCACTGGGGAGACAAAGGCGGCCGGGCACGGTGCTGGCCACCCACCCCCTCGTGTGCCGTTCCAGCCTTCATAGGTGCTCGCTGACAGCACTTGCCCCAACAGCCTGTTAAGACTATACAGGGAATATTTGTCTTTGAGGGCGCAATGGTGGTGGGGGCAGGGCTAGGATCTCTGTGGGACTGTGAGGAGGGAGGTGAATTGTACTTGCGAGATAGAACCATATCATAAATCAAATCTCCAGCAATCCAATCTCACCTGCCTCTGGCTTCCGAACGCATTGTTTTGCAAAACGATTCCGCGTTCCTCTTAATTCCTCGCTTTTCAAACCCTGACAACGTTGACACGGCGGGATGATTGGTTGGGCGGATGAGGGGTGGCAATGAGCAATGGAAGTGGACGCATCGGTGGAGGGTGGCCAATGGGGAGGCAGCTCGGGCCTTGTACGAGGCTTTTAGGATATTAAAAGTCAGGTTATGGATTGTTCCAAATTCTTGCTGCGAAAACAATATGTTGCTGCCACTTGCACCCAATGTTTTCCCCGAGATTGTAAGACACGCGATGAATAATACATGCCTCCCTAACCTTTGCGTGCGCGAGTGTAGAAGTTCGGCACGTCTAGGCGGTTCTCATTTAACAGCGGGGCCCGCTCCTCTCCCTCTATCGGCGAAAGCTCGCCGAACAATGCGGTCGCATTACATATCGGCGCATTAGGCGTGTCAAATCAATTTACGTCATTTTGTCTTTTAATTTGCGACGTTCCGAGAGGAGAGAGAGAGAGAGGAGAGAGAGAGAGGCAGCATCGGAAATTCCAATCACGTGGCACCAGCGGTCACGAGGACGGCGCTTTATCTCGCGAGCGGCACCGCGGCGTCGCATGCTGCGGACAGGTAAAGGACATCTCCTGTTTGTGCCCGCTTGATAAATGTCACCTCCTCCCCCCCGCGCCACCCGTGCATCGTGGCACTCCACTGAGTTTCTTTGGCATCGTTTGGCGGCCAAATCCTCGGCCGTACCACGGCATGCTGCTGCCCCCCCCCCCCCCGCCGAGGCCCCGGCTCTGATTAGCTGGAAGCGGCCGTCATGAGCTGTATGAGCGAGCGTCCCTGTGCAAGGGTTCACCGAGCTGTGTGCAAAGGCGGAAAGCATGCAGGAGCGTGCTGTAATGCACCGATGTCGCTTCCCTTTCAGTAGGTCGGTGTGGCTCTGTGTCGTGACAGTCATTGCCGCTATCATTATCTCATGAATAATTTTCATCGTGATCATCATGATCTTCATCTCGATCATCATCATGAAAAAAACTTACATAAACCAGTCAACATCATCAACACGAATACCATTTTCATCAGGATTAAAACAATCTCGTCATTATCATCATCATCATCATCATAATTACCACCACGTGGTTATAATGATAATTAATTTACGGTACTCATCATTATATTCAGTCAATGCATAATTATCATCATCAGTCAATTCATGAACAATATCATCATCATTATCATCGCCATCATCACACAGCCAAAAGAAACACGCGCAGCTTACTCCACAAAATAATTACATTTCCTTTTTTTGTTTGTGACATTTGCAGGAAGAGATGGGGAGTGATGGAGCAGGCCGAGCCTCATGCGCGGACGGACCGACAGAGCCACACTGGCCAGGCCACACAGAGCAATGGAGCCACGTTAACTGAGCGGCCCGCGTGTACTCACAAGGTGCGCAGCTTGGGCATGCTGTTGAAGCTCTCCACGGAGAGCGCCGTGACGTTATTGTTGTTGAGGGTGCTGGAGGCACGAGGGATCGGGGTGGCGGGGAGAAAGAAGGAAAGATAAATAAACAAATAATAACAATGGAACGCCTAGCAGCGTAAGTCCGCCCCGAGCTGGAGTGCGCATTTGGCCCTTGTCTCCATTCACGGTCCTGCGCTAGCGGTGGAAATTCCACATTCGTGTGAGGAACGGTAATTTCACAGGACATCTGCCACTGATTTCCCATGAATTGGTGCTCTCCAGACAGTGCAATGATGATGTTTGACAGATAGTGCTGCTGCTTATGATGATTTACAGATTATAGTGACGATAATGATTAGCCAATGCTTTTGGTTATGATAATGATTGACAAGATGATGGCCATGAAGATGAATGGATGATGATGACTAAAACATGTAAATGGTGAATGCTTGTCGATAAAATGGGCTGCGATGACCCTGGCAGTGATTTGAATGTACAACTTTATGATCGAGAGCCCTGTTGCTCTACCAACCGAGTTAGAATCCCAGATGAATAAATCACACATACGTAAGAAACGTATTTTCACTTCTATAAATAAATTATAACATCTCCCTTTTCGGGGTATAATTACCGTACTGGGCGAGTGTTGTTAGCAAGCACCTATTAGGGCCAGCACAGCGCACGAGGAAGCCGTGTGGACACGTGTCAGCGGCCACAAGTAATGTTTCAAGGGTAAAGAGTAATTGAATTTAAAACCTGTTCACTTATTCATTTAACCGAATGCTTATTTACTAATGCACTTAAGGGGTTATGAAGGCGCCACGCTTCGGAGCAACACGAAGCTTGTGTTTTCGACCGCACGGCGCCAATAACAAGCTCGTGGGGGCCCACGCGAAGTGGCCATGGGCCACTGCATTGGCACAACTTGAGCTTGTGTCGGTGGAAGGATGACACAGAGTCAGGGGGCATCTCCACATTCATCGCCCGCTGCTGTACATTCCCACGTGATGATCAGCCACTCCGCTGAGCTATCATTCGTGGCCAGGTCGCTTCTGAAAAATAAGCTAATGTAGCTTCAGAGGGCTTCACCTGCTAAAATAAAAAAATGTAAAAATTTCGTTTACATTTTTTTGTGATTTGCTTACCTCTCCTATACTTTGCACTCCTATCGTGTTTTTTCTACTGTTTGTTGTTGTGACTTTCAAATGTCCAACCAAATGAACACACTTGTGAAGAAGAGCTTGATAGCTCATCGGATTCCTCCAGGATAAGTAAAGATCCCGATTGGCAATTCTTCACGACCGGTGCCGCCACTGGCTCGATCGCTCAAACGCTTCTTCCTTATTCTGGTCCCTTCGCCATTGGGCCCGGTGCATTACAACCGTTGCCTTCGTGGATATTTCCGTGCGAGGTATCTCCACCTCTCAAAGCGGACGCTTGGAATTCACCAGTCGTCGATGTAAATTGGCCCTACAGCAGCAGGGGTGCCCTCGCATCTGTCTGCTGATCTAAAGCACGTCCTCTGCCGCCCGCGAACCCCCGCCCTTGTCGTGTGTAATTTGCGGGCGGCCGCCTTCGATGCTGAATAAATGTCCGTGAGCTCGACGCACTCTATACCCGTGCTCGGCAAACTTCGACAAACGTGGAGGACACGCGAGATAATCGTAACCCAAGCAATGGCGCTCGGTGGGAGTTCACGCAACATCTATGGGCCACTTTTTCCGCAGCAGTCACGTCAAGAGTACAAGCCCTCCTCCACCCTCCGCTGTCGTCTCTGCCAAAGGCTTCGCTCCGGATGAAGATACCACCTTAGCGGTCTGCCACATTGCGGTGTTACGAATAATAACGATAGAATACGTACAGATACAACGTGAACGCGCGACCAAGGTGTTTCAAGCACGGGCAGAGCAGGACGACGATGCGCTTCCCGCTTCTCGCCGCCAGACACAGCCGTCGTGCCACCGCCACACATCGTTTTTGGAAAATATCGCAACGGCACAACCGTGACAGCACAGCCGCGACGACAGCACACCCGCGTCGTGTGACCGCGCGAACAAGTGCGCTTGTGCGCCCGCGGAACACCCCGCTACTCACAGCACTTCCAGGTCTCGCAGCGCTCGGAACGCCCCATCTTCGATGCAGCTGATCTGGTTGTTATCCAGATGCCTGGAGGACAGCAGATTTTGATGAGAAGGAGAGAGAGAGAGAGAGAGAGATAAAAAGCAGGAAAACAAACGAGAACAAAAAACATGAAATCGAGAGATCGCCTTGCCGCAATCGTCACCGCCACCACCGCCGCTGCCACTGCGACCGCCGCCGACAGAGAGATGCACGCTGCGGAAAGGCGTCGATCGCACGCACGGCACCACGCTCGCTCGCTCGCTCGCTCGCGCGCCCCGCTCACGCGCTCGCTCACCCGCCCACGGTCGGAATACGTTCGCGCGGGCGCACGCGCAGACACCGGCGAGCACGCACGCGTCAGGCACGTGCGAGCGGGCGTCTCCGCGTCGAGCGGCGGCAGCGGCCCAGGTGGTGAGGTTCGGAGGTCGGAGCCGGCACGAGCGGTTCCACCCACCAACCTCTCCACCCCACTGTCCGCCGCCGCCGCCGCCACTCCCGTCACCCCCTCCACCCATCGTTCCGCTTCGCTGCGCCGTCGCCGTGAGCAGCCCCCCGCGTGACGAGGGCCGCGCTCGCGCCCGCGCAGCCTTTTTATCTGAGCGCGGGAACGGCCGTCGTTTTTATTGCGCATCAGTTTTATATTCCTGCAACATCGCGTTCCAGTCACATGGCACTACATCACCAGCGGCCGTGAATCAGCTGTGCATCCTACCCCCCCCCCCCCCCCCCACCACCACCGACCCACCCAGACTCCTCTTTGCTGCTTCTCAGTAAAGCGGAGAGCTTAATCATTCCAGCTCTGGCCACAGTGCTCATTTCATTATCTTAATTCACTCTACCCATAAAATCCATTTTTACGCCTCTACAATAGAAAGCAATTCCGCTAATGCACCTCCGGGGTTTATTTATTTATTTTGTTATATTTTTTTGTTCTCCCCACTCCGCTTTTGTTCTGACGGAGCAGCAGGCAGCATCAGCAACCTGAACGTGGCTCAGAGCCCCCCGAAACCGCACCACCTACCCACCCACCCCACCACGCGAGTCGGCGGAGACTGCAGACACAGCAAGAAGGCATTCCGATGCCTTGCCTCGCTCGCAACATTTGACGCTTTCACTCGCACTTAAGAGAAGGGCAAGGGCTCCACTTTCATTTTCTGGGGGATTTGATTGTCTGGAGTTGCTGCTCCGTGCGAGGTTGAGTGTGGTGGGAGGGGGGGGGGGGTTTATATTTTTTTTCTCGTTTAGGGTAAAGCCGCACTGCACCAAAGCTTTGAAAGTTCTCAAAAAGCTGTGGAAGCTGCCAGGACCCCCGCCGGCTGCTATCGGTCGTTCAGAAGCCGATGGCTCACTCGACCCGATAAAATAATCGGTGCCATCAAAAGGGAGTCGTTAGCGACGCGACACGTGGGGCCGCTGTCAACGACCGCACACGCATGCGGTGAAGCTCCTCTTTGTCCGATTCAGCGGGAAGGGGGGGGGGGGTGACACTGTCGGGACGGATTTTATTATCCGTGTTAATTCGCACAAGTCACCGATTGTATGAATTTTCCGCCACCAATTTTGAGCCACTCATGCACATATTGATAATAGGGCGCATTTGGCACAATTTCCCAGTTACTTCTCTTACCCATGCAAAGACTCGGATAATGGGATGGCTTTAACAATTCCGGGCGGCCAATTCCAAATGACTCATCCGTACGAAGCTTCCGATAACAGATTAAACTTGCCACCGCTTCCAGGTAATGCCTCTTCTTCGCGCAAATAATAGGGGCTTGGATCAGAGGCTAATCACTATTTGTGTTGGCTTGTTTGTCTCGCGCACATCACTACAAAAGGCCGGAGAGCCTTCGCCATATTTTAGAGTGCGGTAAAAAGCGTGAATAAAAAAAAACTAAAGAAGAAGAAAAAAAAACACCCCAACAAATAAATGCAAAAGCGGAGACCCTCTGAGGCAAGTCGACACACCGCACGCCGACCAATCAGCAAAGAGCGTGGGTCAGTGCCCATCACCTAAACGCCTCCCTTTCACCGGGTCACTCGCACCCTTGAGCACAGCACGTGCAACATGCTCAACGTCGCAACTCTCTACAGCCCAACATTCATCAACATCGGCACGAACGTCTGCCGGGCAAGTGAGGCGAGCGAAGGGAGCGAGGGAGCCCCTGTGGCTCAGGCCCAGCGCAAGGCCGTGCCCTCCGTTGCCATCGACAGTGGCCAGAAGAGTTCAGGCCTGGCCCCAAAACATGCTTCATCTTATTTATCAAAATTTCAAGGATTTTTTTTTTTACGGGAGGCAGGGCAGAGACACCAAATGTTTGGTTGGCTTAAACAAAAAATAAAGGTCGATATTTTGTTGTTGTTTAGTCAAATAAAACAACTTCTCGGGGTTGTCTTCGCCTGTAACATAATCTTATCCACCCTGATTATGCTGACAGTCGCACCTGTTATCACCGTTTAAGCTGTTATTTAAACTTCATTATTGTTTCTCGCCCAAGCCTTGCCCCCTGGTGCATTTTTCCGAGAGTGAGAAAGGCGCGTGACCCCTTTATTGGGCACATTTCTCATGTTTTGACACGGCCAGTGCACGACACAAATGCAAGCAAAGGGTAAAGGCGCATGCACATACACGCACACACACGCACACACACACACCCACATGCACACACACGCACACATACACGCACACACACATAGACGCACACACACATACACGCACACACACGCACACACACACACGCACACATACACACATACACGCACACATACACGCACGCACACATACACGCACACACACATACACGCACACACACTCACACGCACACACGCACACACACATACACGCACACACACGCACACATACACACACCCACATGCACACACACGCACACATACACGCACACACACACACGCACACATACACACACACATACGCACACACACACGCGCACACAGACACGCACACACACGCGCACACACACACACACGCACACACACGCACGCACGCACATACACGCGCACACACACACGCACGCACACACGCACACACACGCACACACACAAGCACACATACACGCACACACACGCACGCACACACACAGACGCACACACACAAGCACACATACACGCACACACACGCACAGATACACGCACACACACGCACACACGCATACACGCACACACATGCACACACGTACACACACAAGCACACACACACACGCGCGCGAACGCGCAACCGCATACAAAAGCACACGCGAACAAAACCATACGCACGTACATGTACAAATATTGGCCCTGTGCCAACCACCCTCATCAGTTGGTAATAATGCCAGAGAATAACCTGTAATTATATGCACATAATGCCAACGAATAAGATAAAACAAATTTTAAAAAATATGCATTTTAAATCACTTAGACCTGATATATGTTTTACGAGCGGACTCATGCCTTAGCTTAAATGCAGGGATAAACCAAGATTTTAAAAAATCATAGGAAAGGAGCACAACATGGGACCTTTTTGCCAGGATCAAAGTATGAAAAAATAAGAACAGATTTTACCCTTTCTGGCAATACAACAGTTGTTAAGATGTTCAAAACACCAAATAGAAACCCTTTGCAAGGCATTGTGTCTGCATTCACCACACACTACTTGTGGTGAACATGCAAAGAAATTTGCTCTGATAATATATTTTTTCACACTGAACGGAGCACGAATGCAGATGCAACAGAATTGACAACATAACTCGCTCGCAATTACGCACACTTTGAAATGCGCCTTTCTTGAGGTGACAATTTAAACGCCAGGAATCTTTTGGCACCTCGCTTGATCACGCTGAGTGAGCACCGAGCCGTGTGGTGGCGACAGGGATACATTTTATTTTTTCTCTCTCGGTTTACGTTTTCACACTAGCCCTTCGCACACTGCGCTCCAGCCAATCGCATTCGCCGTTTTTACCAGATTAATTTCTCGAGATGGCTGTCCCAGCAGGCATATTAATCTCCAGACCTCTGCTCTCACAAAATGTAATCATCGCTCAAAGCCCCGCGCACCCACTCCTCCCCGATACAAAACACGCTACCCGCTGACCCCGCGATAACGCGTATCTTGACGACAACAAAAAATAAAAATAAATCCCAACTGCTCTGAGATTCCCCTGTCGTACCACCCTCAACACCGGCTGCCACAACAGACGGCGAAAGCTTAACGAGCATTTGAGGTTTCAAGTAATTTTTTTTTTAATAACAGCTGAAGCTTTGAAACGTGCGCGCCTGAAGGTGAGGTGGTGTTTGGAGGGGAGGGGGACGGCGCTCGCAGCTTCCCAGAGTGCAGCCCTCCTCAAACCTAGGCAGTTCATTACATTGCCGCTCGCCTCCGTTAGCCGACCTCGGCTTGCCGTGGCAACGCCAAAATAATAATCCTCCACATGCCCATGGTGGGCTGCCAGTCCCTCCATAGAACGACCACAGCTGACTTGCCCATGAAGAGTTACACTAAATGGAGTTCATCGTTTGATTCCCGACCAGGATTTGACCCTAGCCATTGCTCTAGGATGATTTAGCCTTGGTATCAAATCACCCTGAATATATGGCAGATCTGATCAGACTTCCTGCGCTTTAGCAGAGTTGAGCTTCATTAGCACTCGGGATGGCCGACTGCCTGGGAATACCAGGTGCTGTAGGCTTGGACAGGAGATGCCATCAAGAAGGCAAACATGCTCGAATCTTTCTTTGGAAAGCTTTATGTAAATATCCCCTCCGTGTGCCCTGGTTTGTTCCCGCATGAAGCCAAAATCCTCACAACGGAATTGGCCAATCATCCCAATGTAAAAACACCCTCCTGAAAGAAGAGTATTTAGACACGGTGAGATTTCCCCGGATATAGGGCATCATAAATGTTATTATAAGCGGTGTGACACTGCTGAGGCACGTTACTGTTATGCCAGTACGCAGTGAAGTGTCTGTCCGTGCATGTAAAAGAAAACAACTTTCAACTACTTATGTTATCAGGTAAGGCCCACTGACCTATACAGCTCTTTTTCAGTGGCGACTTAGCCACAAATGATAGCTCAATGAAGTGGCTTATCGTGGAGACATGTATAGCAGCCATACTCTGCAAGCACGTTTCTACATGTGGAGGGGAAAAGACCAGAGGACCCAGATAAAAATCCACGGGGAGGACATGCAATCTCCAAATATACAGCAGGCGTCTGGGTCTGGGTCGAAACCACGACCTCCTGCATACCAGGCGAGGTTGTTAACATCTCGCCACCGCGGCGCCCATCTGAGACAGACAGATAGTGAGACAGAATTCAGCCCCTGGGTTGTCTGGATAGATACTCACAGGTTCTTGACCTCTGGGATGCCTCGGAAGCCTTTCCTTGGGATTCCTCGGATTGCATTCTCACTCAGGTCCCTGAAGGAGATACAGAAAACAACACAGAAAACACATTTAGATTATTGAATCCATCTGTGCGGAGCATTGATAGTTACCCCTCACCTACTGATAGCCCTGTGCTCTATCACAGCAATCAGTATTCAAAATGCATCCTAAAAAGTACAGCATGCTCTTTGGAAATGTATTTTGAGGTAATAAAACATTTTTTATGACATTATGAAATGCTACGTGGCGCTATCATATGATGACCATCATCATTATCACGAATCAAATGTAATTTAAAAAAGACGTAAGCTCTATTAACATAGTCCTTGCCATTACCACCATCAACACCACTGTCTATGGGATATATTTGATGACGCAATGGACACGGGCTCCCACGTGGATCCTTGCGAAGCCGGCACGCTCGATCACCTGCCAGGCCAGAGTTGGGATTCTGGCAGCTCATCACAAGTGACGCTCGCGACGCAGACGACGAGCCTCCCGCGCCTCCGATTCATTAATTCCCGACGTGGCGCCGTTCCTCCGCCTCGCGGCACTACGTGCGGGCGTCTGTCAAACACCCCCATTGCTACCCCCCTAGCCCCCCCTGCCATTCCCCTATACCACCGTGGACACTTTTTCTCGTGCACATTTCCACAATAACGTTTCTTCTTTCGATGTTTTTTTTGTTAACCCGGCAAAAAAATTATGCCAGCTTCCAGAGAGAGACAGACAGACAGCTGACGGATTGGCAAGAATCAAAGAAAGACAAGCACTAAAGACATCTTCACGGAGATTATGCCAGATTATTATTTGCACGAGAAGGTAGTGCTTGGGGATGGGCAGCGTTGAGCTGGGGATGGGCAGCGTGGAGCTGGTGGGGGGGGGGGGGGTTCAGCGTGGAGCTGGTGGGGGGGGGGGGGTTCAGCGTGGAGCTGGTGGGGGGGGGTTCAGCGTGGAGCTGGTGGGGGGGGGTTTAGCGTGGCGCTGGTGGGGGGAGGTTCAGCGTGGAGCTGGTGGAGGGGGGGGGGGGTCAGCGTGGAGCTGGTGGGGGGAGGTTCAGCGTGGCGCTGGTGGGGAGAGGTTCAGCGTGGAGCTGGTGGGGAGAGGTTCAGCGTGGAGCTGGTGGGGGGAGGTTCAGCGTGGCGCTGGCTGTCAGGATCTCCGCGCGTTCCGGCTCGACTCGCGTGGCGGCGTCAGGAACCCCGGCGCGCGCCTTGTCAAACATTTCACGGACCACACCCCGGCGGCGGTGGCAGCGCGTACACTCTAACACCTGCGCGAGGCATGGGAACTTAACCACATTACCCTGGGGCTATGTAAACAAATCATTCCGCGTGGAACGGACTCCCCTCCACCACCACCCTCCTCACCGCCCCTCCCCCGCCACCCTCCCGCTCCCCCGAACTCCGCCGCAGCCGCCGCCACCGAGGTTAAGCCGCTTCAAAGCTCAACGCGAGTGGCTCGTCGTCCGCCGGGTTCGTGAATAGCTATGGCGGGCAACACGTGCGTGCGTCACGCGATTATCCTCGGGAACCCCGCCGAGACGGCGAGGAACGCGTGACGAATGGCTCTCTCTCCCTCTCGCCGCGCGCTGACCATTCACGGTCGGCGGACGGGCAAAAGGACGGGCCGAGGAGTCGTCCCGCTAACGAGACTCGCCCGCCGCGATCATCATCGGCGACGCCTCGCAAGGGGGAGGCGCACACAGTGGGAGGCCCGTGCTGTGGGCCCAGTGGGCTGCTGCTTGGCGCAAAGCCAGCACGGGAGGATTCGCAGATTTCTTAGTCGACGTTGAGGAAACATTTTCCAGTTTTCTCGATGATATTTTTCCGTTACGCATGTGCAGCCCCTTTGGTCGACTTTTTCGGCTGGATGAGGGCCTCTTCCCCATGCCGTGTCGGTCGCTCGCGGTGTCCTTTGACCATAACTTTGGCATGGTGGTCAGTGCGGGTTGATGAGGGCACAGAACCCAGTTCAGATACCACTCGCCACTGACGTTGGCCGTTGTGAGGAAGCGTTAATTACGAATATTGTGAATACATTTTTACTGAGTTATCCTTGTGCACCACCACCATCACCACCAAGGAAGTCCCTTTAATTCTTTTGATAAAAGTAGACCATTCCTCTTTTAATATATCAATATAAAACCTATCTAATAATAAAAAAATTGCTGAACCTCACCCCCCCGGCTATCAAATTGTAAAACCATTGTGATCCCTCGGAATTGAAATGCTAAGGGGCACTACATTTCAACCAACCCAAGCGATCTTCGAGGAAATTACCGCAAATGAAACAGGAGACCTGGAGGGGATGGAGTCATAAGAATGCGTCACGGGGGAATTTAACCGCTCTGCCCCCGAGATAAATTAAAGGGCTCGCAAAAGACCGATCACCCCCCTCCACCCCACCCATCATCTCGGTCCAACCCGCCCACAAGACCCCCCTCCCCCACCCCTCCCGAGTCGTTACAATCATATGGAACAGAGGGGATGGGCCAGAAATTTGAAATTCCTATTGTACCGCATCACGTGAGACAACTTAAGGATGAGAATATAAGGTTGCCCAGGCGTCTCTGGGTGAGATGAGACTGCGAGAGACACTGAACTGGCACTGCTGAGATACTGGGTTTAAACTGCATTTCATTAAACCGAGTTCTCAAGGGGAGCCAGGTGATGCTTCACAAGTTCTGACCACTTATGACTGCGCGCAACAACAACAAAAACGACATCATATTAAATGTGGCCTTTCATTATTAACTCGGACAATTGCGGCTCAGAGAATTAACATCTTCAGCTTGATGACCATGTCAAGGACATTCTTCACCAAGCCATATACAGCCGTGCCCCCTGGTCGCGAATGCAGAAGTGACTTCAGGTGTAGTCTGCGACGACATCCTACGGAGACGCTCTCTGACACGAGGCGGTGGACTTCTTCACTCCCGAGAATCCTCCGCGGAAATTCGCTCATCTCTCGGCAACGACGACTAAACGATCTGGGCCATGAAGCAGCGGGCCAGAGGCACGCCAACGAAGCAGCGCGGAACAAAAAAGCAACGACGCATAATATGACCCCGATGAGAACCGTGTCTCCATTTGAGGCCGCGAAGGGCTTCGCCGCCGCGGCCCCGCGAGCGCTGAACGACGAACGGCCGAGTGAACGGGGCTGGCAGGGGCCCTGCTACGAGGGATTAAAATGCTCCCCCCGCCCCCCCCCCCCCCCCCCTCTTCATTTGTCTTTCCTGCCTCTGCGTAGCCCCGGCACCTGGGTCGTTCCGGCCCGTGGGCCCCAGTGCGGTTGCACCGCCTGCATGCTGGACAGCGACGCCAACCGCTTACTGCGAGGAGCGGGCGAAATCGGCATTCGCAGCCGCTTCAATTTTTTGCTTCTCGGAAAGTTGCCCGCGCCGTGTAACGCCCGGCGACGGCTTCGTTTACCTGACGCTACCTCGTGGACGGGGGCGTTCGCTGATTTTCGCCGCCCCCCTGATGAGCCATCGTTGCGCAAAGGCTCGAGCATTTGTGCTCAATTAAGCACTCGCTCGGGCAAAACCGAAGCGGGTGATTTTTTTAACAGCCTTCTCGAAAACTCCCGTGAAATTTCCCCAGACGTGCGAGGTGAGCGTCGCGTGCCGTGCGGACTCACACCTGGCCACGCACGCCCACAGCTTTCCCGTTTCCGCCCCGAGGCTTTGAACTGGCACCGGTCGGTGTCGGCGCTTGAGAGAAACCCAACCGCGACTCAATCAGCGACGTCGCCACAATTATTAAATTATTAGCTGTGTGGCTGTCTGTCTACACATGTTTGTGTGCAAGATGCGGTGTGGTGAGCGGTGGCCGAGTATACTTTGTGCACGAAACCATCATCTATTAGTGGATAGATCATGGGAGCTGCTGCTGCTGCTCCTGATGAAGATGATGATGATGATGAAACGGGTGCAATAATAAACCGTGCCGTGTGAAGTGGCTGTCCACCCGGTGCCCGGGTCTCTCAGCTCGGTAAATGGGCAGCGGCCATCTGCTCCCCATTACGTGCGTCCCCTTAACGAGCGGCCGAGCGTTCGTCAATCGCCAGCTCGGCCGAGCATCGGCGATCGGGGACGGATCAACGGGCCGCGAGCCCTGAAGGGCGGGCGCGGGACAACGCGAATTCGAGCGCACACACTTCGCGCGCGCGCTCCCACACGCAAACGAAAACACTGAGCGAGCCACAGCAGCAGGCAGCGGCAGAAGAAGTTTATGATGCATTTTTACTCCTGATTGCTCTGATAGAGTACAGGGCTATCAGACGGAGGAGTAGAATGAGGAGGGTCGGAGGAGGAGGGGGCGGAGGAGGAGGGGGAGGATGGGGAGGAGGGGGAGGAGGAGGGGGAGGAGGAGGGGGAGGAAGAGGATGGGGAGGAGAGGGAGGAGGAGGGGGAGGAGGAGGGGGCGGAGGAGGAGGGGGAGGAGGAGGAGGGGAAAGGGGGAGGAGGGGGAGGAGGAGGCTGCTCAAGAACTCCTTATTCCATAGCGTGGCTAAAGGTACTTTTTTCCCCACTCAAATTTTCTCCTGTGAATAAAATCGTCCGCTTCGAGACCTGCGGTCAAACAAATACTGCAACAATAACAATTACGATATTGAATCGTGACCTTGATCAGATCGGACAAAATTAACCTTTGGAAGCGCAACGAGAGTGTTGGCCGATTACGGGAGCACGCCCCAACGCCGAGACCCATGACACGCGGCGCTGGATATTAAAACGCGCAGAGAGTTGGAATGCAATAGCAGTGGCGTGTGCGGCATTCGGTCGTAAACTCCCGCTGTGCGATCGTGTGCACGCAGCTGAACTGTGTGCCTGTATTACTGAGATGACGCATTTAGCTACCGAGAAATGACTGCTGCATCGCATTATAGTTTGCAAGCTGCTGTGTGTGTCAGTGGGGAGCGGCAGTGCCAGCGGTTAACGAGCTGCGCTACGAACCCAGCGACCCGAGGTCGATTCCCGCTCACAGCCGACAGCAGTGACGATTATTTTAACCGGTCCTTGATCTAGC